ACTATTATACCTCATTGTAAATGAATGAACTAGTCTTCTGGATCTATGTTTTTATCTTATGATCCTGGTTAAGATGATTCACTCTGAGAAGTGTATCTGTTCTGAGCCTATAAACAAAATTTAGTTTTTGATGCTGCAGGGCTATAGTTCAAACCATATGCCATGAGAAATTTACCCTCTGAGACCTGTAGTCTTGTCCTTTTAATCCCTGGATAAATTCAGACGCTACCCCCATAGTTGAAAAAGTGCAACTGAATTGCATTACATGTAGGGTTTTGCATTCTGCTTTTTCATGTTCCATTACATCTTGAGCATTTTCCTATGACATCATCAGAGAAAAACAGTCTCTGAGAATATAATTTTTACTGTGTCTATTATATTCTAAGATATAGGTATGCTTTTATTTCTTTGATCAGTAGTGTGACAAGTCCCCCACCAGGTTACTTAAGGGTATATGTCTGCTGCCTGAATCCTGAAGGCTGGGCAGTGAGTCATAGTCATGATGCCCAGCACAGAAGCAAACAAGTGTCCCTGAAAACCCAAACATCCTGGAGAGTATCTGAGAACCTAACAAGAAAAACAGTTTCATTGCTCAAACACCGAAGGCAAAGAGCCAGATATTAGCTTAAAAGCAGTTTAGAAATGGGAGGCAGTGTGGATCTCTGGAGGTATCCTGCCACCATCCAGGAGTGTCCTGCTCATGAGTCCCAATAATCTATGCGTCAAGCTGGACTTATTCGAGTCACTTTTTGGTCTCTTCATTCCTTCTCTGTTTGAAGAGGACATTAAAGTCCCAAGTTTTTCTCATAACAAACCAATTTCTATTATTGGAAATCTGCCTATTTCTAATTGTTCGCTGTTATTCTACAGAAAGATACCATGAATAACACTATAAGTAAAGCTTTTTATACACGTCTGCTTATTTCATTCATAAATTTCTAGGACTAGAAATATTAGATCAAATTGAATTAATTCTGTGGCCAACTGCAAATTATTCTCCAATATCCATTTTCCTCTCCTAAATGAGTAGAGTTTTATCTGGATCTATAGCTACTTCATTAATGATATTTGTATGTAGGCAGCCTTGCAGCTAAATGTGGCTGTGTGACTGAGGTCTGGTTAGTGAGATGTGAGTGTGATGATGTGGGCTTATTAAAGAATTATGCTTCTATTCCCTGTTGTTGTTTATTTTCCTTCAGCCCTTTAATGGTGGGAAGATGGCAAACATCCTGAAGCAGGCACAGGATCCACAAGTGGAAATTACAACAGGGCTGGCTACATAATTTGTGGGGCTCAGTGCAAAATGGAAATATAAAGAAAGAGGGGGAAATTGCCATTAAAGGTAATAAAAGATAAAGTTTTTCTTCCAAGCTCTTTCTTTTAATTTTTTATAGAATTTTTGTTACTTTTTAATTTTTCTAATTACATTTTAGGTTTTGAGGTACATGTGAAGAACATGCAAGATTGTTGCATAGGTATGCACATGGCAGTGTGATTTGCTGCCTTCCTCCCCATCACCTATATCTGGCATTTCTCCCCATGTTATCTTTCCCCAACTCCCCCCACCCCTCACTGTCCATCCCCTATTTCCCCCTGACAGACCCCAGTGTGTGATGCTCCCCTCCCTGTGTCCATGTGTTCTCATTGTTCAACACCCACCTATGAGTGGGAACATGTGGTGTTTGATTTTCTGTTCTTACGTCAGTTTGCTGAGAATGATGGTTTCCAGGTTCATCCATGTCCCTACAAAGGACACGAACTCATCATTTTTTATGGCTGCATAGTATTCCATGGTATATATATGCCACATTTTCCCTGTCCCATGGATGGGCATTTGGGTTGGTTCCAGGTCTTTGCTATTGTAAACAGTGCTGCAATGAACATTCATGTGCATGTGTTCTTATAGTAGAATGATCTATAATCCTTTGGATATATACCCAGTAAAGGGATTGCTGGGTCAAATGGAATTTCTGTTTCTAGCTCCTTGAGGAATCGCCACACTGTCTTCCACAATGGTTGAACTAATTTACACTCCCTCCAACAGTGTAAAAGTGTTCCTATTTCTCCACATCCTCTATAGCATCTGTTGTCTCCAGATTTTTTAATGATCGCCATTCTAACTGGCGTGAGATGGTGTCTCAATAATGTTGTTTTAAGTAAAAAAAACTACAAGCTTAAATCATTAGTATAAATTTTCATTTTTATATTGTACCACACCCATTTTAAATGCAAATATAAGAGCATTAACTCATGTAGGATCACAAAAATTATAATTTTGTATTTTGTGATTCATACATGCATATGTAGTTCACTCTTACCAGAAAAGTAGGAAAAATGCACACACAAAAAATTCAACTGTTTTTATTTCACTGCTTGATAACATATATTTTATCAGCATTCTCTGCCTTCCACCTACTGATGAGTAAGGAAGAACTGACAGGAAAAGGAACTACAGATCACCCTCTTGTTCCCTTTCTGTGTCATCATTTTCAAAGTAAGTGGCTGGCTGACACGGGGAAGTAGCACAAGTAATAATGGATGTGATGGGATTCCTTGGTTGTTCATGTTTCTTACAATGCCATTGCTTTCTTTCTGCAACAGAACAAGTCTAGTTTGAAAAGCTTGGCCTTTTGAGATCTGTCAGTACTGTCTCCCAGAAGCTTCTTAGTCAGAGACATAACACACTTAACTTGTACTCACTTGGAGTCTCCCTGAACTCCCATGGATTGTGGGCCCATTGGGATTCTGTGCTCAGAGAGCATTGCCATTACTACATTCAAACATGGTGGCATGACACGATAAATCTACTGTGAATGACAGGTGTCACACAAAGGAAGGACAGATACACCTACTGTGTATTCCTCTGCTTATGTGCATGCTTCATTGTTCCACTGGATTTGACTTACAAAATACAAATTCAAAGATGAAATTATTAAGCATTTCAAGACGGCAGCAGCAGAGTATTAAGCTGCACATTGGGCCCTTCCGATTGTGGGGCTCTGTGTGACTGCACAAGACAGACACTCATAAAGCCAGCTCTGGAGAGCAGAGCCCTGGACTGCCTGCCTACTGGATGTTAAACAAGATTGAAATACATTTTAACCTAGCTTACGCTGTTGTATTTTGGGGTCCCTTTTGTACACTTTGTGTCTTGACTAATGAAGACACTTTTAGTTCTCAAAACATACTGCCAATTGTATAACAAAGAGAGTATGTCTGTATGTTTAGTTAACACCCCCATGAGCAGTATATGACCACAAATGCTTCCCTCTGCTCTTGCTATTGTCTTCATTTGATATTTTAACAGCATGTCCAATTCAAACTGCCCCAAACCAAACTCATGTCCCCTCCAACAGCAAACACAGACACAAACCCAACTAACATTTATTTAGCTTTTAACATGTATCAAGCATTTTGCAGGGTTATTTCATTTATTAGGTATCATCATTCGTTGTGACCATTTTCCAGATAAGGAAATGGAAGCTTCCGTAACTTACTGAAGGTAATATTGAGCTGAGACATGATTTCAGTATTTATGGCTCCAAAGCGTATGAGCATAACCACTTCTCTCTATTTTTCTATGATGGCAAGATAATTCCTAAAACAATGGTGGTATGATTTCAAAAGCAAATGTTTTTCTTTACATCTTGCAGCAAATCAGTATCTCCAATAAATTCAGTATCCTGTCAGATCACTCTTTTTATCATGTTTACCATTGCCAGCACATACTCTGAAAACTAGTGTGTTTATCTGGGAGAGTTTGCTCAGGGAAAGAGGGTTTTTTTTTTTTTTTTTGAGACGGAGTTTCGCCCTTGTTACCCAGGCTGGAGTGCAATGGCGCGATCTCGGCTCACCGCAACCTCCGCCTCCTGGGTTCAGGCAATTCTCCTGCCTCAGCCTCCTGAGTATCTGGGATTACAGGCACGCGCCACCATGCCCAGCTATTTTTTTGTATTTTTAGTAGAGACGGGGTTTCACCAGGTTGACCAAGATGGTCTCTATCTTTTGACCTCGTGATCCACCCGCCTCGGCCTCCCAAAGTGCTGGGATTACAGGCTTGAGCCACCGCGCCCGGCCAAGAGGGTTCTTTTTAATCCCCCTAGTGACCTCTTGTGGCTGACAGACACCCTGCCAAGACCCTGCCTCTGGAATATACCTGGCTTGCTGCTTCATGTTCACCGCCACTGCCACCCCACCTCCCACCCCAACACCCAGGCTACTGAAAAAATGCTTCAAGGAAATCACGGTTAGGAAATGGGTCATCACCTTGTCTCAAATAAAGGTTATCATTCCAAATGTGTCTAAAAATAAACCCTCAAAATATGCAAGAGAGATGGGTTTTCTGCTTCCCGAACTTGCCTTTCATATATATTTTTTTCTTCCTTGCCTCCTCTCTCATTTTTCTTAATTTAGGTGAGGAGAAAATGTAATGACATGCAAATCAGATTAGATTAATAAATGATGATGTTGTAACAAGCCTGGTGTCATAATAGTATATACAAAGATGTTTACTGAAGTACTGACTTTAACAGAAAATATCTATCTATCTCTCTCTATATATATAGATATATGTTCATTAGGAGGAGATTTTAAGTGATTGTATTACCTTTATACAGTGAAATACTATAAAGCCATTAAAATGCATATATGAGTACACACTACAGACATACACACACATACAGGTGCAGGTAAAGAAACTGAGTTACAAAACAACCTGTATAGTAGCCCTTTTCTGTAATTTATCTTCTCTATGCTAAGAGAAGATAAATTCACTAAAATATTAACTATGGTGGTGGTCATCTCAGAGTGATAGAATTGCATATTGTTTTTTATTGTATTTGGGCTCTGGGGTACATGTGTACATTCCGCATCCCGCAGGATTGTTACATAGGTACTTACATGCCATGGTGGTTCGCTGTCTCCATCCCCCCTTCCCTGTTGCCTACATTTCAGTGTTATCCCTCCCCATCCTCCCCCCAACCCCCCTACCTATCCCTGTGAGTGTTGTTCCCTTCCATATGCCAAAGTGTTCTCAGTGTTCATCACCCACCCATGAGTGAGAACATGCGGTGTTTGGTTTTCTGTTCTTGTGTCAGTTTGCTGAGAATGATGGTTTCTAGGTTCATCCATGTCTCTACAAAGGACACGAACTCATCATTTTTTATGGCTGCATAGTATTCCATGGTGTATATGTGCTGCATTTTCCTAGTCCAGTCTATCATAAATGGGCATTTGGGTTGGTTCCAGGTCTTTGCTATGATAAACAGTGCCACAGTGAACATACGTGTGCATGTGTCTTTATGATAGAATGATTTAAAATCCTTTGGTATATACCCAGTAATGGGATTGCCAGGTCAAATGGAATTTCTATTTCTAGATCCTTGAGGAATCGCCACACTGTCTTCCACAATGGTTGAATTAATATACACTCCCACCAACAGTGTAAAAGTGTTCCTATTTCTCCACGTCCTCTTCAGCATCTGTTGTCTCCAGATTTTTTAATGATCGCCACTCTAACTGGTGTGAGATGGTATCTCAATGTGGTTTTGATTTGCATTTCTCTAATGACCAGTGATGATGAGCATCTTTTCACATGTTTTTTGGCTGCATATTTGTCTTCTATGGAAAAGTGTCTGTTCATATTCTTTGCCCACTTTTGAATGGGTTTGTTTGTTTGTTTGTTTGTTTGTTTTTCTTGTAAATCTGTTTTAGTTCTTTGTAGAGTCTGGATATCAGCCCTTTGTCTGATGGGTAGATTGGGAACATTTTTTTCCCATACTGTTGGTTGTCGGTTTACTCTAATGATTGTTTCTTTTGTGGTGCAGAAGCTCTTAAGTTTAATTAGGTCCCATTTGTCTATTTTGGTTTTTGTTGCCAGTGCTTTTGGTGTTTTAGTCATGAAGTCCTTGCCTGTGCCTATGTCCTGAATGGTATTGCCTAGGTTTTCTTCTAGGGTTTTTATGGTGTTAGTTCTTAGGTTTAAATCTTTAATCCATCTGGAGTTAATTTTTGTATAAGGTGTAAGGAAGGGGTCCAGTTTCAGCTTCCTGCACATTGCTAGCCAGTTTTCCCAATACCATTTATTAAACAGGGAATCCTTTTCCCATTGCTTGTTTTTGTCAGGTTTGTCAAAGATCAGGTGGTTGTAGATGTGTGGAATTGCCTCCAAGGCCTCTGTTCTGTTCCATTGGTCTATATCTCTGTTTTGATACCAGTACCAACAAGGCTGTTTTGATTACTGTAGCCTTGTAGTCTAGTTTGAAGTCAGGTAGCATGATGCCTACAGCTTTGTTCTTTTTGATAAGGATTGTTTTGGCTATGCAGGCTCTCTTTTAGTTCCATATGAAGTTTAAAGTGTTTTTTTCCAGTTCTGTGAGGAAGGTCAATGGTAGCTTGATGGGATAGCATTGAATCTATAAATTACTTTGGGCAGTATGGCCATTTCACAATATTGATTCTTCCTAACCATGAGCATGGAATGTTTTTCCATTTGTTGGTGTCCTCTCTTATTTCCTTGATTAGTGGTTTGTAGTTCTCCTTGAAGAACTCTTTTACTTCCTTTGTTAATTGTATTCCTAGGCATTTTATTCTCTTTGAAGCAATCGTAAATGGGAGTTCGCTCATGATTTGGCTCTCTGTTTGTCTGTTATTGCTGTATAGGAATGCTTGTGATTTCTGCACATTGATTTTGTATCCCGAGACTTTGCTGAAGTTGTTTATCAGCTTAAGGAGGTTTTGGGCGGAGACAATGGGGTCTTGTAAATATATGGTCATGTTGTCTGCAAATAGGGACAATTTGACTTTTTCTCTTCCTAATTGAATGTCCTTTATTTATTTTTCTTGCCTGATTGCTCTGGCTAGAACTTCCAATACTATATTGAATAGGAGTGGTGAGAGAGGGCATCCTTATCTAGTGCCAATTTTTAAAGAGAATACCTCTAATTTTTGCCCATTCAGTATGATATTGGCTGTGGGTTTGTCATAAATAGCTTTTATTGTTTTGAGTTATGTTCTATTGATACCTAGTTTATTGAGAGTTTTCAGCATAAGGGCTGTTGAATTTTGTCAAAGGCCTTTTCTGCATCTATTGAGATAATCATGTGGTTTTTGTCTTTGGTTCTGTTTATGTGGTAAATTACATTTATAGATTTGCATATGTTGAACCAGCCTTGCATCCCTGGGATGAAGCCTTCTTGATCGTGGTGGATAAGCTTTTTGATATGCTGTTGGATTCAGTTTGACAGTTTTTTATTGAAGATTTTTGCATCTATGTTTATCACGGATATTGGCCTGTTTTTAGTTGTGTCTCTGCCAGATTTTGGTATCAGGATGATATTGGTCTCATAGAAAGTGTTAGGGAGGATTCTCTCTGTTGTTTGGAATAGTTTCAACAGAAATGGTACCGGCTCCTCTTTGAATGTCTAGTAGAATTCAGCTGTGAACCAATCTGGACCTGGAGTTTTTTTTGGTCAGTAGGCTATTAATTGCTGCCTCAACTTCAGACCTTGTTACTGGTCTATTCAGGGTTTCAACTTCTTCTTGGCTTAGTTTTGGGAGTGTGCAAATGTCCAGGAATTTATCCATTTCTTCCAGATTTACTGCTTTATGTGCATAGAGTTGTTTGTAGTAATCTCTGATAGTAGTTTGTATTTCTGAGGAATTGGTGTGATTTCCCCTTTAGCGTTTTTTTTTTTTTTTTAATTGCATCTATTTGATTCTTCTCTCTTTTCTATTAGTCTATCTAATGGTCTATTTTGTTGATCTTTTCAAAAAATCAGCTCCTGGATTTATTGATTTTTTTGAAGGGTGTTTTGTGTCTCTGTCTTCTTCAGTTCTGCTCTGATCTCAGTTATTTCTCATCTTCTGCTTGCTTTTGAGTTTTCTTGATCTTGCTCCTCTAGCTCTTTCAATTTTGATGATAAGGTGTTGATTTTAGATCTTTCCTTGTTTCTCATGTGGGCATTTATTGCTATAAATTTCCCTCTAGACATTGCTTTAAATGTGTCCAATATGATCTGGTACATTGTGTCTTCATTCTCATTGGTTTTGAAGAACATTTTTATTTCTGCCTTCATTTTATTGTTTATCCATTCATCATTCAGGAGCAAGTTGTTCAGTTTATGTGTAATTGTATGGTTTTGAGTGCTTTTCTTAATCCTGAGTTCTAATTTGATTGTGCTGTGGTCTGAGAGACTGTTTGTTATGATTTCCATTCTTTTGCATTTGCTGAGGAGTGATTTATTTCCGATTTTGTAGCCAATTTTGGAGTAAGTGCAATGTGGTTCTGAGAAGAATGTGTATTCTGTGGATTTGGGGTGGAGTGTCCTATAAATGTCTATTAGGTCCACTAGGTCCAAATCTGTATTCAAGTCCTGGATATCCTTGTTGACTTTCTGTCTTGTTGATCTGTCCAATATTGTCAGTGGAGTGTTAAAATCCCACTATTATTGTGTGGGAGTCTCAGTCTCTTTGTAGGTCTTTAAGAACTTGCTTTATGTATCTAGGTGCTCCTGCATTTGGGTGCATAAATATTTAGGATAGTTAGCTCTTCTTCTCACATTGATTCTTTTACCATTATATAATGCCCTTCTTTGTCTCTTTTGATCTTTGTTGGTTTAAAGTCCATTTTAATCAAAGACTAGGATTGCTACCCCTGCTTTTTTTTGCTCTCCATTTGCTTGGTAAATCTTCTTCCACCCCCTTATTTTGAATCTATGTGAGTCTTTGCATGTGAGATGGTGTCTCCTGAATACAGCACACCAATGGGTCTTGATTTTTTATCCAGTTTGCCAGTCTGTGTCTTTTGATTGGGGCATTTAGGCCATTTACATTCAACGTTAATACTGTTATGTTTGAATTTGCTCCTGCCATTTTGTTACTGGCTGGTTGTTTTGCCCGTTAATTGACATGGCTCCTTCATTGCATCATTATTCTTTACCATTTGGTACATTTTTGCAGGAGCTGGTACTGGTTGTTCCTTTACCTGTTTAGTACATCCTTCAGTAGTTCCTGTAAGGCAGGTATAGTAGTGATCAAATCTCTCAGCAATTGCTTGCCTGTAAAGGATTTTATTTCTCCTTCACTTATCAAGCTTGGTTTAGCCAAATATGAAATTCTGGGTTGAAAGTTATTTTCTTTAAGGATGTTGAATATTGGCCCCCACTCCCTTCTAGCTTGCAGGGTCTCTGCCGAGAGATCCACTGTAAGTCTGATGGTCTTTCCTTTGTGGGTGACTCGACCTTTCTCTCTGGCTGCCCTTAGGAGTTTTTCCTTCATTTCAACTCTGGTGAATCTGACAACTATGTATCTTGGGATTGCTCTTCTTGAGGAATATCTTTGTGGTGTTCTCTGTATTTCCTGGATTTGAATGTTGGCCTGCCTTGTTAGGTTGGGAAAGTTCTCTTGGATAATATCTTGAAGAATGTTTTCCAACTTGGATTCATTCTCCCTGTCACATTCAGGTATGCTGATCAAGTGTAGATTAGGTTTTGTTTTTTTTTTTCACATAATCCCATAGTTCTTGGAGGCTTTGCTCATTTTTTTCACTCTTTTTTCTCTAATCTTGCCTTCTCATTTTATTTTATTGATTTGATCTTCTATATCTAATAGTCTTTCTTCTGCTTGATCGATTTGGCTGTTGAAACTTGTGTATGCCTTACGAAGTTCTCGTGCTATGTTTTTCAGCTCCGTCAAGTTGTTTATGTTCTTCTCTAAGCTGGTTATTCTAGTTAGCATTTTGTCTAACCTTTTATTCAAGGTTCTTAGTTTCTTTGCATTGGGTTAGAACATGGTCTTTTAACTCAGAAAAGTTTATTACCCACCTTCTGAAGCCTGCTTCTGTCAATTCGTCAGATTCATTCTCTTTTTTTTGTTCCCTTGATGGTGAGGAGTTGTGATCCCTGGAAGGAGAAGAGGTGTTCTGTTCTTTGATGGTTTCATCCTTTTTGTGCTGTTTTTTCCCCATCTTCGTGGATTTATCTCCCTTTAGTCTTTGAAGCTGGTGATTTCAGGAGTCTGAGTGGACTTTTTTCCTGTTGAGGTTGGAGCTGTATCTTTTTTGGCCTGTAGAGGGCGTTGCTGGACTCTTTCGGTTCAGTCAGGTTGTTGGGTGGGTGGTTCCTCCCTGGTGTCTGTTCGCAGGTGAGATTGGCCCCGCCTTCCCATGGCGTCTCTCCTTCCCCAGCTGGATCTTCCTGGTTGGGGTGAAGTTGGTATATTTATGCTGCCAAGTTCTCTAGCGAGGGCTTCAGTTTGCACTCTGTGGAGGTGAGGCCTGCCAGGCCTGATGGTCTGTTTCCCTGTTTTCAACTCTACCTCCCTCTGTGGGATAGTCTGTCCCGCTGACGTTAGTCTAAACTCCCTCCCAGGTCCCTGCGACAACTTGCTGCACCTGGTGATAGCCGCTGCTCAAATTTGCATCCACTGCCCACGGCGCCCCGCCGTCTGGCAGGGCTCTGGTGGACTGTGGGGTGGGTTGCAGGAGGGATGAGGTAAGCACAGGACCAAAACGGAGCACCGAGGGGGTTAAGTCCCCTGAACCTCCGAGCCTCCTTCACCTTTCAGGTAGGGATGCGCTCCCCCACCCCCACCGTCTTGATTTGCCCCCTTGGGCGGCTCTCGCCCTGCAGCTCCTTCCCTGGGCCTATTTCAGTCCCCTATCAGTCCCACAGAAATGAACCCAGCACCTTGTTTGGAATCCTGAAGTCCTCTAGCCCTTTGCATCTCATTGGCGGGGAACTGCATTCAGGTGCTGGGTTCTCTCAGCCATCTTGGCGCCCCGCCCCCACCCTCAGATTTTTTTTTTTTTTTGAGACTGAGTCATGCTCTATCACCCATGCTGGAGTGCAGTGCTATGATCCCCACTCACTGCAACCTCCGCCTCCCAAGTTCAAGCAATTCTCCTGCCTCATCCTCCTGAGTAGCTGGGATTACAGGCACGCACCACCATGCCCAGCTAACGTTTGTATTTTTGGTAGAGATGGGGTTTCACCATGTTGGCGGGGCTGGTCACAAAATCCTGAACTCAAGCAATCCGATCCACCTGTCTCGGCCTCCCAAAGTGTTGGGATTACAGCCATGGGCCACTGCACCCGGCCAAGGAATTACAGATTTTTAAAAAATTATTTACAGTTTTCTGTACTGCAGCGGTTCTCAACTTAGTACATTAACAACCTATGAAAAATCTGAATGCTCGGCCCATTCTAGACAAATTAAGGCAGAACTACCGGAGGTGAACCCAGGTTCTAGTAATTTTAAAAATTACCCAGATGATTCAATGTGCAATCAAGCTTGGAGTGGGTATATGGTTTGAATGCTTTACAATCAGTGATCATTTTATAAATCAGGAAGAAGGGAGAGCCAGAAGAAGTTATCTCCATTTTGCAAATTTATGTGCAGTATGCGTGTGCATATGGTGCGTATGCAGTGTGCATGTTGCTATTGCAAACAAACCAAGGCTAAAGCTGACCAAAATCTGAAGGAACACAATAAAGTTGCCTAGTTGATCATACCATCTGGTCAGAAAAACCTGGCTTTGTTTCTTTGTTCTAATACTTCCTGCTGTGTGACCTTGAGCAGGTCACTTCACCTGTTTGTTAGTTTTCTTTTCTATAAAGGGCAAAAGGGAAATTCTATTCACATAGAATTGTAGGATTCATTGTCATATTGCATGAACAAGGGCTATGTAAGTTGCTAGTTATAATATGTGATGGAGAAAAAGTAGAAAAGAAAGTAGGAGAAATAACTGAGCACAGCAAGATAAAATATGGGCATTCCAGGAATGTTAATGTTTTTGTTCCTCTTGAATGCTTTTATTCCCCTAACAAGCACAGTTGCTGAGGGCCCGCTTTGCACCAGACCCCATTTTAAGGGTTAGACGAGATGTAATGCCAGTCTGATTGCCAAGAGGCTCACGTGTGTAAAGAAATGATGAGCTGCGACAAATAGCACAATGCGGTGAGTGCTGTAAAGAGGCGTGCCCGTGGCAGTAAGCGAGGCCTCACTGCCTCTCCTGAGACGGGAAGACCAGAGAGCTCAGACGGGGAAATGCTGTCTACACGCTTTGTCCTCTAGGGGGCGCGCAAGGCTTTCTCCTTTGATAGCGGAATGGAATCAGTACTTCCAGCGAAAAGGGTGAAGATACGCAGAATCCGGTTAGAATAAATGCTTCAGTGCCACTTGGTCTTGGAAATTTCTCTTTTTAGGTACTTTCTATTGAATTGTTTCCTTTGCTCCCATGAAGCTGGTGCTATGGAAAGACATTGGGTTAGCTCTTCCAGTTAAAAAAGTTGCTCCCTCCACTTAGAAGACTAAAGAAGAACCAGAGTGAAGGAAGCCCCATGGGCAGGCAGAGGACTCACTTGGTCTCAAGACATTCAGTCCAGCCTAATTCACAAGGATAGATGACATCGTGATTCGGGACCATAACTTGTCACTTGTGCACATACTCTAAACGGTGGCATTTGTCAAGGTATTGAGGGAGGTGGCAGGATAGGACTAAGAAATTTGACCCAGACAGGCTTATTAAACTCACTACAACCAACAGATGGTTCTAGGTTTTTGGTTTTTTTTTTTTTTTTCATTAATGTTCCATGACTATGTACTTGAGATTTGAAGTTTCAAGGTCCTCTTGAAGTTGGTTTTTTGCTTTTTTTAGACAGGGTCTTGCTCTGTCACCCACTGCAGTGGTGTGATCATGGCTCACTGCAGCTTCTAACTCCTGGGCTCAAGCAGTCCTCCCACCTCAGCTCCCCAAAGTATTGGGATTACAAATATGAGCCACACACACCTGGCTCAAAGTCCGCTTGAATCTGGCAAACACTTGATTTGGAATTTTCTAAAACTTCTCTTATTTGTTGTAGCAACTGTATTTCATGGGAAGATATTTCTCTGATTGTTGCTCTTCTTTTTCATCTCTTTGAATCACCTATAAATGCTTCCATTTGCACACTCTTAAAGAAGTAAGCTTAGAGTAATTTCTGATTGCCTCGCCTGGAAATTTAAAATGTAATTTCTCAGAGTTTTTGTGGTGTCTAAATGAAGGCTCTATAGACAATTTTGATTTTTAAGTAGTTTTTCTTTGCTACTTTGAGCGTCAGAATGTTTGGGGATAGTGTGGAAACCTCCATTCCTGAAAAAATGAATTTTCCTAGGAAATTCATTTGTATACTAAAGAGCTTCAATGTTTTGTTTGCTGTGTCATTAGAAAGTAGCCGGGCATATGCCCTTATTTTTTGTATGGCAAGGTTTGCCTTTTAGATACCAGACAAGGTAGCACCTCAGATATTTGCCAGGCATATTTATCCTTGTCGAAGGCACGTTGGCAGTAAATGACACTGGAGGATCCTGCTTGGAATGACTTGTGGTATCAAGTATACTGTTCCACAGTTGTTGGGGGGATCCAGATACACCCTCAGATTATCTGTTGCTTCACTCTCATCTCCAACCCTAGCTCCTGAGTAAATAGGTGGGTTCTGCTGGGATCCACTTCTTTCTGTTTTTTTTTTTTGAGACAGAATCTTGCTCTGTTTCCAGGCTGGAGTGCAGTGGCATGATCTCCGCTCACTGGAATCTCTGCCCCCAGGTTCAAGTGATTCCCTGCCTACAGCATCCCGAGTAGCTGGGACTACAGGTGCACACACCACCACGACCAGCTAAGCTTTTGTATTTTAGTAGAGACGGAGTTTCATTCACCATGTTGGCCAGGATGGTCTTGATCTGCTGACCTTGCAATACTCCCGCCTCGGCCTCCCAAACTGCTGGGTTTACAGGCATCAGCCACCACACCCGGCCAGTCCACTTCCTGGTTAGTTGTTCCTTCTTGTGACTGAGTTGTCCTAGATAGGACTGGCCATTTTTTCAAACTAGTCCCATCTGTATTGTATCTTGCAAAAATTCCCGTCTGTAGCATGTGAGTGACCCTTCTCCTTGATTTCTAGCACAATACAGTATTCTTTGTACTTTTATGTCTTGTGATTAATAGAAAGAATCTAACTATTTGCTGTAGAGGAGCTTAGGTAAGACTTCCGATGTCAGTATTGTGCTCAGAAGATATTTCTTCTGAACCTCAGTGGAGGGTTCAGAAGCTTACCACCTCTCCAATAGCTTCCCATCACACTTCACCTCTGACCACTCCCTCTTTCTTTGTGTACCCCAGCCATACTGACCTTATTGCTCCTTAAACAGGCCAAGCTTATGTCCACCTCAGGAACTGATACTACTTGCTGTGCTTTCTGCCTGGAATCCTACACTCCAGATTTTTACAGTTTACTCATTCATATCATCAACATCCCTGCCTAAATGTCATTTCAGAGAAGTCTTTATAACAACTTATCAGAAATAACCCACACACCTTCTACATCCTTAAGCAGCTTTGCTTTTCCTTATAGCACTTATCACAATCTGAAATCATCTTGTGTTTTTTGTTTTTGTTATTGTTTGAGATAGAGTCTCGCTCTGTCGCTCAGACTGGAGTGCTATGGCGTAATCTTGGCTCACTGCAACCTCCGTCTCCTGGCTTCAAGCGATTCTCCTGCCTCACCCTCTCAAGTAGCTGGGATTATAGGCACTCACCACCATGCCCAGCTAATTTTTGTGTTTTTAGTAGAGGTGGGGTTTCACCATGTTGACCAGGGTGGTCTCGAACTCCTGAGCTCAGGTGATCCACCTGCCTTGGCCTCCCAAAGTGCTAGGATTACAGGCGTGAGCCACCGTGCCTGACCCATATTGTGTTTATCTGTATACTTTGTAAGCATTTGTTTTCCTTGCTAGAATGTAAGCACTATGGGGTCAGGGACTCTCATCTGTCTTGTTTCTTACTCTGTCCCCAGACTTTAGAACAGTGCCAGGTGCCCAATAAGTTTTTGTCGAATGAATAAATAAATAAATGAAAATTAGCTTCAATTCCTTAGACTTGAGTGGGATTTGGGCTCCAACCTCACCATCTACAAATTCTGGGGTTGGAGAAACTAGTGCTGAGCACAATGTGTAGGGTTGCAATGTACTGCTTCTTCTTTAAAGGAAGGAGATGATGCCTGAGACTAGCCCTGGTCCTGAGGCCACAAGTTGGGCACTTTAAATTATAAAGGCCGATCCTTCCCACCCCTTTCCAAAACTCGAGGCCTACTTGCTGGAATGAGTATTCTAAAACCGCACTTAAGAACGTTCTTGACATTGAAGTGCATCTTATAATAAGTATACTCTTAATATATTTCTCGTGCTTTTTTTTTTTTTGAGACGGAGTTTCGCTCTTGCTACCCAGGCTGGAGTGCAATGGCGCGATCTCGGCTCACTGCAACCTCCGCCTCCTGGGTTCAGGCAATTCTCCTGCCTCAGCCTCCCAAGTAGCTGGGATTACAGGCACGCGCCACCATGCCCAGCTAATTTTTTGTATCTTTTTAGTAGGGACGGGGTTTCACCATGTTGAGCAGGATGGTCTCGATCTCTTGACCTCGTGATCCACCCGCCTCGGCCTCCCAAAGTGCTGGGATTACAGGCTTGAGCCACCACGCCCGGCCTCTCGTGCTTTTTTTTTTCCTAAAAAGCTGTTAAGGAAAGCTAGGGATATGGTATATCTTTTATAATTGATAGCATCTTCAGTTAAAAAAGACAATATTTTATAAAATTCCTCATTTTTAGAATCTTAGATTGATAAAATGTTACAGCTAGTGGGCATTAAAGATCCAGTGGATTTTAAATCCTTCTCTATTTTTTCTTAAGCCTGGTTTTCTGGAAAGAAATCTTTAGAGAAACTATAAACAAACCAGTGGATAAAAGCACAGTGGGCTGATAGGTGACTTAGCACGCTCACTCCTCCTCTATGGTGACCTACACTTTCAAGGGAACTTGCGGAGAGTAATTTGAAACTTAATGGAAAGATACAAGCCAGTTCCTTCATCTTTGGCTGATGCAAAAACTACTATTAAAAGTGGTTTATTAATAAATTGACATAAAAAAGTGCATATATGTAAAGTATAACATTTGGTAAGTTTCAACATGTGTATACACTCACAAAGCCATCACTTCAACCAAGACATTGAACATATTCATCATCCCTAAAAGTTTTCTTATGTACCTTTGTAAATTCTTCCTCCCTACCTCACCATACCTCATCCCTATCTTCAGGCAACCCTTCTTTGCTTCATGTCACTATAGTGATTCATTTGCATTTTCTACAGTTTTGCATGAATGACATCATACACACTTTTTTTTGATCTGGCTTCTTCCACTCAGCATAATTATTTTGAGATTTATCCATATTGCTGCACATATCAATAGTTCTTTTCTTTTCATTGCCAAGTAGTATTCCATGGTATGGATATTCTCAATCTGTTTGTCCATTTGCTGCAGATGGACATTTGAATGGCTTCCAGTTTTTGATTATTACAAATGAAGCTCTATGAATATTCATGTACAAGTCTTCATATGGACACATGCTTTCATTGTTTTTGTATAAATACCTAGAAGTTGAATGGCTGGATCTGATCAAATGGTAGGTGTATGTTTAACTTCTCAAGCAACTGCCTACTTGTTTTTCAAAGTGGCTATACCGTACAATAGTTCCAGTGGCTACGTAACCTCAGTGACACTCAGTATGTTCAGTTTCCTAAAAGTTCAGTCATTCTAGTGACTGCATGGTAGTATCTCATTGTGGTTTTAATTTTCATCTCCCTTATGACTAACAATGTTAAGCATCCTTTAATGTACTTATTTTGCCATTGTTACTGAGCAAAAGGGGCTCGCTTCCTAATGTGCTAGAAGCCAATGCAAAGATACTGGGTTTCTGAGAAAAGAATAACTTTCTACTGCAGGTTTACCAACAAGGAGACAGGAGTCCAACTCAAATCTATCTCCTCATGTTGGCTATAAGGCAAGACTTTTATTAAGGTTTAGGGGATGGATTCTGGTATTTACCCTGATTGGTAGAAGGGAAGGGGAGGTCTGGAAAGTCCTCTGGCATGCACAGTTATCTCTTCATGCTATCTCATGGATCACATGTGCAAATTTGGGGGAAGTTATTATGAAACATGCAGCAGAAATTCAGGCTGTGATGTCAGCAAGCTTGTTCTGCACAGACTCCAGTTAGCCATAATGGTTCCAGCCGGTTTCAGCCAGTTGTTATCCTACAAGCAGAGAGAGCTTTTGTGTTTCAGCAAGTTGTTTCTTTTTTTATCTGCCATCCTGAAAACTGAAGAATTTCTGTGTCATTTGTTTCTTTAATTCACAGTCTTCTCTGGTCACATGTTGGTAATCACTACTTATGTTTTTTAATTGCCTCATTTTTGTTTTCATTTTTAATATTATGCAGTAATGACAATATTTTTGAAGCACTGTCTGCTCTATTTGTCTATTCTACAATTTTGTTGACAGAACTGCGAAATAAATAGCACTGTTAGTGGAAAATGAAAAGGAACTATGTTAATCTAACAACTATCACAATAGGCTGATATTTATGGTGCAGACAGAGACTTTTTACACTTATTCAGGCTGCCAGAAGTGACAGTGGAGCGGGGGGGAAATGATGGCATATAATTGGGAGGCAATGGGAGATAGTGAAAGAAACCAGAAAGGGGAATATTGATTTTTGCCCCATCCAAAATCTCCCCTCCACACAGTCTATATCATGACCAACCCTTCATAGTCTTTCCCCATCTCCCCAATTTTTTTCATTGTGATTTTTAAAAAAAGTTTATAGCAAATATGTTAAGGAGATGGAGACTAGCTCAGCAGCAGAATCTAGTTATTTGCTATTGATTGTGATAAGCTTGCCAAGAATTTTCAATAGTGGGCCACATAATCAGAATTCCATGTGTTGGCAAAAGAAAGTTTATATTGATTCCAGTGCTGATGCATAGCAAGTTTCATATTAAAAATAAGAAGAACTTTATACAAAAGTATGGTTACAAACCTAGTGTTTGAACTTGTCTCTCTAGGAAACATGTACTAGAGTGAGAGCACTGACCTAGGTTGGGGACGGAACTGTCATTTTGTCATGGAGTAGAATGAATGTGATCTCAGGGAAAGGACTGAAGGGCTTGGGCAAAGGGGATGTGAAGATAACATTCAAAGTGAATAAGAAGAGCAGAAACCAGCTCTCCTATTTCCACCTTAGTCTGGAGAGGAAGAGGCATTTCTGCCACCCCGGCCCCTCTGTCTTTTTTAACTTCTTCCAGAAGGAGAAGGAGTTACTCAAGTATTCAAAGCACAAGGCAATTACCAAACCACATTTCAGTGGAGGGCAGGGTCTCTAAGCTGATGCTCCCTCATTGGCAATTGCAGGCCCCTTATTTCAGCACACTGGGAAAGGGCGTGGCCAGTCTCTGTCCTGTGTATATGTACTATGTTAATCTAACAGAACTGTCACAATAGACTGTGCATAAATTGTATCTGATCTGTTCTAGACCTTTCCATCACCCAGCATGGAAGTGATGGAAACCTTCCTTAGGTTTCCAAACCTATGTGGTATAATCTCATTTGATTTAAGAAAGATCTCTGCCCTGGGAGAGGAGTGGGTGCTAAGTTAATAAAAAGGTATTTTTATTCTCTATTTGGTATTATTCTCATGTGTGTATTTCTTAATTAGAAATCCCTAAATGGTAGGAGTTCAGCTCCTAAACTGAACCCCTGACGCTAACATAATTAATCTTAAATAATACTTCTATCCAAAAGGAGTCCAAAAGAGAGGCAAAAAATTGTGTCTAAGCCAGAAGGACTACAACTAGGGTCAAGGAAACAGGACAAGTTCATAGGGTAAATAGATAGTAAAACCACGTTCCCTTTGTTGCATAACTGGTGGCTAGAGAGGACCAACATTTATGCATTCACCCATTCATCACCAATCCATCCTTTCTTCCATTCAGTCATTAACACATTTCTCGATTCCAGTCACTGGACTAAGTGACTGGAATCACTTAGTAATAAACAAGTTGGGTATTGTTTGAAGGAGGATGAAAGAAATGGGGAAAGAGGGTGCATGTAAATTTGTCGTGAAATATGTATATATATATATATATATATATATATGAGTCAGAGAGAATGGTTCATACATATATATTATATATATAGACTCATATATATATGAGTCAGAGAGAATGGGAAAGATGGCACAACATTTTCTCCCACCTTTGACCTATTCTGAGGCCTACAATAGAGTGTACTCATGAGAAGGTTTTTGAGACTCTGGACATAAGCCGTACTGATTGGAAGATCAAGTGACAAAACAAAGCAACAGTTAGAAAGAAGGCCATTGTTTCCACTTTCCCCCAGGACCAAGTACTGACCTGTAAAGTAGATATCACTAGTATTCACCAAAATCTGCTCTCCTCTGTTTTCATATACATGAACCTGTCTGCACTTTTTGGCCATCTTGCAGTTAAAGTAGAATCATAGTGATTAGTTTCAGCATCTGCAGCCTGAAGCAAAAAGCAGTGATTAACCACCATTAAGTGATCAGTTTAAACCTGCTTAGTTGACCAGGGAGGCTTCATGGAAAACAGCTGCCCTAAAGGGTTGCCCAGAACTCTATTGGGTTTTGTGTCAACGAGAAATAAACTTTTGTCATGGTAAGCCACTGAGAAGACACTTGGTCTTGCTGCACCAGTCTACCCTAACCTGGAGAACTGATATTTGGGAAGCATTAAAAAATGGTTCTCCTGGCATAGGCCCTGGTGGTTTCAAAATAGCTACTATAAGCCCGAGTAAAAGAGGTCTTTCCAGTTACTTTGCAAGGCAGTGTGGAGCCAGAACAGGAAAGGAAAGATAAAATCGATGCTGTTTAATGATTGTAGCTAGCAGACTCTTTGGTGAGTACATACATATAAGGTACCTTTTTGCAGACTCCCAGAAATATTTAAGTAGGACTTTCAGGGCTTGAGGAAGAGTGTATCAACAAAGGAAACTCTGCATTATTTAATCTTAATATGACTGCTTGTGTCCCAAAACTGGTGACACATGGTGTCTTTAGGTGCTGAGTTGTGGGATCTGTTTTGTTAGGGAGAGGTCACAATTCTGTTTCTAGTTGGCAGGAATGATTTTACTTCCTATCTTCATCCTCATTCCTTCCTTGGAGAGTAAAGTGTCACACATTGCTCAGATCTCTAGAAATTTCAGGATCTCTTGGGATTCATGTCAGACTCCCCTATATCTTTTCTGGGATGCTGATTTTTTGGAGAACCAGAAAGAATTATCATAGCTTTTTTCTTGAAACTGACTACAGACAGGAGAATACTTTCTGATGCAGACATATTAACATTTTCATGCCAAAAAGAGCTTTAGACATGGTTTATACCGTACATCAAAATCCATATTACTACTTTCTGAACTTGTGAATTCATTTTCAAAAAAATAAAAAACTTCATGGGCCCCAAATCAACAATTCAAGACATTTCCACAATAGGTTGAAAATAAGCATAAGCTTCCATGGCCAAGTGGTCAATCTCATGTCCAGAGTGAATTTAATTATCTGTACTTTGTTGAAAGTGGCAACAATGATCTTATTGTTCCCATGATGTTTCATGTTCTTCTCTTCAGATGTTCTTCTCTTCATATGAGAAAGAAAACACAATCTTATGGGCCACCAGGAATCTAAGAAACTATGCCTCTCAAAGCCCTTTGACAGCTTCAAACAATCTTGTAGCAGTCAAGAATATCTTTTCAATAATGTGCTTAACCTAACCATATGACTATATTTAAATAAGTCTCCATGTTACTTCAATTTCCAAATAAAATGGCAAAAGCAGAAAGGCTATTAAAAATCTTGATCAGGCTGGGCACAGTGGCTCACACCTGTAATCTCAGCACCTCAGGAGGTCAATGCAGGTGGATTACCTGAGGTCGGGAGTTCAAGACCAGCCTGACAAACATGGGGAAACCCTGTCTCTACTAAAAATACAAAAAAATTAACCAGGTATAGTGGTGCAAGCCTATAATCCCAGCTACTCGGGAAGCTGAGGCAGGAGAATCACTTGAACCCCAGAGGTGGAGGTTGTGGTGAGCCAAGATCTCGCCATTGTACTCCAGCCTAAGCAACAAGAGCGGAAACTCTGTCTTAAAAAAAAAAAATCTTGATCACTTCCCCCAGCAACAGGGCAGTTACTATTCACATTTTACCCAAGAGCTATCCATGTGCCTCTTCTTCCTGGCCAACGGCAGCCCCATCTTGTTTAGGTGGTGGGTAGGGAGCCACTGAGATGATAGAAGGTGGGCCCCTATCCGAGCCCCAAGGGAATGAATTGCAACTGGCCTTGTCCTGTTTTCCTTTGCCTGTGATTGGTCTAGAAGTGGATATGTGGCCTAATTCTGACCCTATGAAGCAAAAGGAGAGATCTGCCAGGAGACTTCCTAAAATTGCTCTTCCTGGAAAAAGGAAAACAAACAAAACAACCACCACAGAACTTTACAAGAGAAAGCTTTTTATCCCAGCCTCTTCCTACTGTCATTGAGTGCAGCTCTGTGAGGACATGAAATTTTGAAGCAGTAGCTGAGGTGGCAAAAGATGGCAGAACAGAAGAGCAGACAGAATCTGGGTCCTAGATGACATCGTTGCATTGCTACAACTAACTGCCTTCTCCAGACCTCTTGATAAGTGAGAAAATTAAGCATCAATATTGCCTAAGCCCCTTGGAGACTAGATTCTTTTACTTGCCACTGAATACATCCTAATGCCTCAACCATCTCTTGCACTGAAACCAACTTGCAAAATTTACAGCACAAACTCTGCCCATATATTAAGAGAATGTAAAAGAGCATTCCAAACATCTCTTTTGGGAAAATAAATGGGTAACAGCATTTTTTCTTTTCATTTGAGTTGTCCTACCTTTGGCATGTGAAAGTTGAAAAGCAGAATTTTCACGTATAAATCAAATTTCTCCATTTCCCTCCTGGCAAGGGGTAAGAAACTGTTAGCTCATCCATGCTTTCTAATTAGTTAAGAACTGAATTTGCTAAAAAGTTCAAGCCCTACTCTTATTGTTTGGTTTCTTCTGCTTAGTTCATTCAGATGAGAGCATCCTTGAAGGTAAGATTTATGGTGGTCACACAGTTATGAACAATGGTTCATATGGTGAATTATGACATATTTCAGCATTCTGGAGCAGCAGCTTAGTCAGCTATCCTGAGTCAGTCTGAGGACTCTGGCCCATAGTGGGTTGCCTAAACAAAGTTTTTTAAAGTAAGGGATATGTCTTTTTTAAAAATATATATTATTTATTTATTTTTGAGACAGAATCCTGTTCTGTCACCAGGCTGGAGTAGAGTGGTGTGATCTTGGCTCACTTGTACCTCCACCTCCTGGGTTCAAGCGATTCTCCTGCCTCAGCTTCCCGAGTAGCTCAGACACCCAGCTAATTTTTGCATTTTTAGTATTTTGTATTTTAGACGGGGTTTCACTATGTTAGCCAGGATAGTATCGGTCTCTTGACCTTGTGATCCACCCACCTTGGCCTCCCAAAGTGCTGGGATTACAGGCGTGAGCCACCGTGCGTAGCCAAAAGTAAGGGATGTGTCTTTTCAGGACTGAGGGTCCCTATGGGAAACACTGACGAGAGTATGTGGAAAATATATGTGGTCCTCGGCTAAAAACTGCAGGGTTCAAAGAAGGGCTATAGTCATTCTGTGAGGAGAGTGCCAGGAGACTGAATTCAGCTCGCAATCAGCTAGAGTAAAGTTATGATACAGGAAGCTCTGACTTGTCACAAGACTTGGGAGTCAATGAGGCAGCAGGCAAGCTTTAAAGGATGAGACTTACCTTGAGGGAGCAAGGACAAGTTGTGACCTTCCCAGTCCTCTCTTTCTCCATTTGCACATCAGCAAGCTTCTGTCAGCAAGGAGGAGTAGACAATGAAACTGTCTGGGTTCAGCTTGATTGTTCTTTGAGACAGGTGTGGCAAGGGGCTGCCCACAGGGTAAGTCATCTTTGGGCAAGCCAAGTGCTTTGGGAGACAATTGTTTCTGAAATTAAGTGTTTGTATCAAACATTCTCTTTGTTAGTAGGAGACTTTTTGTTGGATCATATTGTCCTCAGCAAAAGAGGTTACAGAGAAGTTAAGGAATTTGGGATAACTTAGGAGTCGCAGTGCTTTGGGGCAATTTGGAGACTGCACTGTGTGATCCTGCCATCTCAGGACTTACCTGATGTTGCTAACTCCCTCACTGGGGGACAAGGTTCTGAAAGGAAGAAAGCATGTCTTATTCGCTCATCTTTGAGTCTCCAGCACTGAGCACAGCACTTCTCACTCAGTTAGGCACTCAATAAATGTAAATTGATATGTAACATGACACATGGTGCCTTTTACAGAACAAATATTAATTTGTCCTAAAGGCCTCCTGGGATGCAATTCTGAATTTTAGTATCTGTCTACCTTGGGGTTGAGGTTAATGTTTAAGTGTGACAAGAAGGGCTTAGTTTGTTTGAAATAGTTCTTCCTGTAGTGTTTACTGTTAAATGAAATATAATGTGATTCTAATCTCTTCCAAGCCTGATTTCAGCATGGAAATGTGTTTCTGCAGATTGAGGAGCTTCAGCTAAAAGTTCAAGGAGATTAAAAAGGAATAAGCTTGAGTCATTTGAGTGAAAATTGCAAACAGGATTTAGTATTCATTAAGATGAGAATAAACTGCTAAATTTAGATTTACTCATGATTAATTTTTTTGATGTATTCCCTTGGAGAATAATACATGAACTATGATTTTGAATGTGATACAGACACACACCATTTTTTAGATATTTAGCTTTTAAAATTTAGATGTATTCCATGTGCACCATCCACAAAGAAGATGAAATCCTGCCTCCTCTTTCATTAATTTCTTTGGAGGGGAGCTAGATGGAAGCCAGACATTTTCGGAACCCCAATTGGCCATGGGTTTTGGATATACTGGGGCTGGAGAAGGGTATGGTTGAAAAGGACAGGAGGCATTGCACAAACACACTGCTGGAAATAAATCTACACAGACTGATTGACTTGAAAACTGGTTAATCAGAAATTTTGCCCTGCTTGGGGCAAAGCTAGAAACATTGAATCCCAACCACTGTGAGTAATATGCCTAATAGGAAAACTGAAAGTTCTATTTCTTTTCCAAAATTAAATGGCAGCCAACATTTGCAGGAAAAAAAAAAAAACCACAATGGGGCTGTTTAACACTTGGGGTTGTTAAGAAGGCCTGGTGCACTGGAGTTTGATGAATTTGGGTTAAGGTACAAACACCCCAGGTGCTATTTGCTCTTGGACAAGTCCTTAGAATTCTGAGCCTCGTTTCCTCAGCTCTGCCTACCTGCAGAACAACGTAAGTGAAGTACCTGGTACAGTGCCTGCCTTACTGGAGGGGCTCAAATATTTAGGCCCTCTCCACCAAGAAGCAGAGGAGGAAAGGTGTCCAGTAGTGAACAGGTTAGGCATGGAAATGCAAGCAGGCTAAGCGGAAACCTCTGAGACCCCAGTGAGCTTAGATGTCTAAAATTGCCAGCCACCTGCTGGTGCACAGGACAGAGCAAGTGGCACTGAGAGTTAGAGAGATGGGGTTGGGGGTGACAGGCCAAGAGCCCGCCCAAGCCACGCCCTCCCCGGCTACCTGAATGGACCAGCCCAGAGTGACATCACAATCCCTGGTGGTTGCCACGGCACTGCTGGAGGTGAGCTCTCATTTCTCCCCAGGGAGCTCTAGGCTGTGGATGTAAGAAGGGGTGCTAGGAAGGCAGATGGCGGCAAGGAACAGCCTTAGCCCCATGCCCCTGGGCACGGCTCAGGGTGACCCTGGAGAGGCGGGAATGCTGCCAGGCCCTGACGCCGGCCTCTAGGACACAGGTGCGGCCACTCAGCTCAAGATGAAGCCCAGGAAGGTGCACAAGATCAAGGTGATCATCGACCTGGGCTCCCAGTACTGCAAGTGCGGCTATGCGGGAGAGCCGAGGCCCACCTACTTCATCACCTCCACCGTGGGCAAACGCTGCCACGAGACGGCCGACGCCGGTGACACCCGCAAGGAGACCTTGGTGGGCCATGAGCTGCTGAGCACAGAGGCGCCTCTCGAGCTGGTGAACCCGCTGAAGCACGGCGTCGTGGTGGACTGGGACTGCGTGCAGGACATCTGGGAGTACATCTTCCACAGGGCCATGAAGATCGTCCCCGAGGAGCACGCTGTGCTGGTCTCGGACCCTCCACTCAGCCCCAGCAGCAACCGGGAGAAGTACGCTGAGCTCATGTTCGAGGCCTTTGGCATCTGTGCCATGCACGTGACGTCCCAGTCGCTGCTGTCCATTTACTGGTAGGGCAAGACCTCGGGGCTCGTGGTGGAGAGCGGTCACGGCGTCTCGCACGTGCTGCCGGGCCTGACCAGCCGCGCCGACTACGCTGGGGGTGACCTCACCAACTACCTGATGCAGCTGCTCAACGAGGCGGGCCACGCATTCACGGACGACCACCTGCACATCATAGAGCACATCAAAAAGAAGTGCTGCTTTGCCACCTTGCTGCCTGGGGAGGAGCTCGCCCTGCTCCCGGAGGAGCTGCGCGTGGACTACGAGCTCCCAGACGGCAAGCTCATCACCATCCGCCAGGAGCGTTTCCGCTGCTCCAAGATGTTTTTCAAGCCCTCCCTAGCGGGCAGCACCCACCCTGGCCTCCCGGAGCTTATGGCTGCCTGCCTGGGCCGCTGCCAGGACACGGGCTTCAAGGAGGCAATGGTCGCCAAAGTGCTGCTGTGTGGCGGCTGCACCATGGATGGCTTCCCCGAGCACTTCCAGAGGGAGCTGAGCCTCCTCTGCCCTGGGGAAAGCCCTGCGGTGGCTGCCAGTCCCCAGAGGAAGACCTCTGCGTGGACCAGCGGCTCCATCCTGGCCTCCCTGCAGGCCTTCCAACAGCTCTTGGTCAGCAAGGAAGAGTTTCAGGAGCGGGGCAGCATGGCCATCTAGAGCAAGTGCTGAGCCTCCGCTTCACCACAGACAAGGCCTGTGGCACAGGGGGGGCCACAGGCAGCTCTATACACATTTACAGAATTTCACATAAAGCTTTACTCTGCAATGGTGCTTGTCTAGTCTGTGTCTCTTGCTTCAATCTGAAAGCAGAGGGTGGTGGGGAGCTGGGCTTAGAAGTGGCAGCACCTTTTGCTCTGGAGGTCGGGGCTGTAAGGAAGGGGACTATCATACTGATCCTACCCCCTCTGCCTGCCTCATGATGGTGACATCATCTCAGGGCCTAGAAAGTGGCCTCCTGTTTCATTAGCACCTCTAGATTCAAAACCTGATCCGACAGACACTCTTCATTGCTGGCTGAACTAAGGGGGTTGGCTTGGGGACTAGCTTGGGTCACCTGGTGGTTGGTCGGATGAGACTCACAGCTGGGTGTCCAGCTCCAGTCTCCTGTTGCTGCTGCTCACAAGTGCTCATAACCTTAACACTGCTTGATCACTCCAGGTCCCCTAATCTCCCCCTTCTGCCCACCAGCCTCAGTGTGGAGACCACGGCTGTGCCAGTGCATCTCCTGAGTGTAAAGCATCATTTCTACCCATCTGTAGGCGTACCCCTTTCAACAGCAGCCAAAGTTACAGCTATTTTTCCAGAGTCACAAAGCAGAGCTGCTGATCTCAAAGGATGTCAGAGGAACCAGAAGGTTCTTTAGAAATTGGGTCCTCTCCCTGCTGTAGAGATGGGAAAATTGGGCTGGGCAAGGTGGCTCACGCCTGTAATCCCAGCATTCTGGGAGGCCAAGGCAGGGGATTACCTGAGGTCGGGAGTTCAAGACCAGCCTGGCTAACATGGGAAACCCTGTCCTTACAAAAATTAGCTGGGCATGGTGGCAGGCACCTGTAATCTCAGCTACTCGGGAGGCTGAGGCAGGAGAATCACTTGAACCAGAGAGGTGGAGGTTTCGGTGAGCTGAGATCATGCCACTGCACTCCAGCCTGGGCAACAGAGCAAGGCTCCAAAAAGACAAAAAAGAAGAGAGATGAGAAAACTGAGGACTAGAGAGGAGAGGGCCAGCCTAATGCCAGTGGTTGAACCCAGGTCTCCTGATCCACATCAAGATTATTCCCAGAAGGGCAAGCATGGTTCTTAATGGGTAGTCAGCAACCCAGAGCACTTACCATGCATCTACTGTGGGCCAGGCCCAGGGCTGGGGACTGAGAAATGACCAGAACACAGTCCCTTCCCTTGGCAATCACACACAGCTAATGGACAACCACATTAGTAGGGAGGCAAGATCTGAGCTAAGTGTTCATGGTGGCAAAAAGGTAGTGCTGGTGCATTGGAAAGCTATAAATGGAGAAGTTGCTGGGCATGGTGGCCACTTATTGGCTTTGGGGCTGAGGGAGAGGCTGTAGAGGCTTGTGAGATTTCAGCTGGTGACTGGCTGCCTATTGAGAAGAGTGGGTTCCTGCCCCCTTCCCTACCCTCACCTTCCAATGGAGTTCATGACCCAGTTGATCCCATCTATGGGATCATACATCCATGAGCTGCATAGCCTTCGATGGGCTGAGACTCAAATATCCCCAAGTCATGTCACCTCTTACCTTAAGTAAAGGATCGTGACTCGGGGCCCTCCATGAGGCTGCCTCCATCCTGGGCCCAGTGCTGGGGTCTGCAGACTTGGGTAAGAACCAGACAGTCATTATCACTTAAGGCTTTGCTCTTTTTTTTTTTTTTTTTTGACGTATTTTCATTTCTTTATTAGAAAGAGGCCTCTACCCCATAGCCGCCTCTCTCTGTTACTTTACACATCTTTTTCTTTTTCCCTTAGAATACTGTACAGTGGACACAAAAAAAAATCCCAAGGCAGGAAAAACAAACTGGCATAGGCTTTGCTCTTTTAGTCCTTCTCCATTGTCCAGAATTGGGCATCTAGCCTGGAGTTTGAATACCCTTGGTCAAGCAGGGCCTTGGCACCAGGCATGAAACCTGGGCTCTTTCCTGGAGATGGATGTTGCAGATTGGAGGCCTGGAGGCTGAAGGTGGCCAATAGGCATATTTATGTGGCCACTGCAGTACACAAGCTTTTTCTTGAATGTTAATTTTTTTCAGCGGGGGCTACATTTTCCAGATTGCCAATGTTTCTGCCACACTGATGTCCTTATACATACTTGCTGCTTCAACACAACTTCTTCCTTAGCATTAGTTTCTGTTGCTTGCAACTCAAGTGATTGTAAAAAATCCTGATGAATACAGAGGGAAGCTGAGGTTTAAAGAGGGTAAGTGATGCACCCCAAATCACACAAGCAGTAAGTGCTACTTGTGAACCTCACTCCTTCCTTATCTCCTCCCCTCATTCCACACATCCTCAGCAACTTCTCCTTTCTCTACTGTCACAGATTCAGTCCCCGCCACCACCTGGTCATCTTCTCAAAAGCATCCCTCATGTGGCAGGTGCTGTAAAAACACTAGGTAAATTGCTTGATCCCTGGCATGAACTTATTTAAACTAACCAGAGGATTCAACAGGAGATTTATTTTTGGTGGAAAAACATGGGTCAGTGACTTCCAGCTTAAGGTGACCCCCTGACCCTGCGTGTTTATCTCCCCTCCCTTCTCAGATTCCACAGAGTCATAGTAGAGAATATAAATGCATAAACTCACTGCAAATGAATAGGATGGTAGGGGAACTGCAGGGACTAGAGATTTCTACGTGATTCTGGAAGAAAGAGAGTGGAGGTGGGAACCAAGGAAAGAACAACGGTAGGAATTTCCTGTTCTGCAGAATGGGCAGGAATTTGCTACTTGGAAATGCCGGGTAGGAAAGTCATAGGAATGAAGTGTATGAGACTCGAAACAGGTTGAGGAGGTGTGGTGCCCATGGTCTCTATCTGAAGAATCGCAGCTTTCCATGCTCATGGGTAGAGAGAGGGGTGAGCACACTGGCCAGCCTCTACAGGTATGTGTCTTAGAAAGAAAGAAGTTGAATTCTCTCTCTAAAGGTGATGCTGGTATAGGAAAAGGAGGAGGGAAGCATGTGAAGAACAGACCCGGAGCCCCCAACCTGCACCTCCTTGTCCCTTCTCCAGAGGAGGAATCACACTTGGGACGAGCTCACATTCCCGAGGTAGAACAATTGATGCCTCCAACTTTCCTCTTATCCCTTTCCACAACTCCCAGTTTGTCTGCATGGGCATTGGATGTGGCCTGGGACTGACCGCCCTTCCAGCATTAAGGGAAGAGCATGTGATTTAGGCTCAGCCAATCAGCACATCAAGGGAAGAGCATGTAATTTTGGCTCAGCCAATCAGCACAATAATGATTGGCTCTGGGTGCGCATGCGATCTCAGTAGAGTGAGTCCTGGAGAGTGAATCCTTTGCTCTTTGCTTGGAAGCTGGATGTGAAGTTGAGGGGTGTATCCTAGCACTGCTCAGCCACTTGTTACTAGGAAAGAAGCCAGCTTGAAGCTGACCCACCAAGGATTGTGGAGCTGAGAGAAACAAAGTTGGTGCCCTGGTGACAAAGTGAGCATCCGAATCAACCCGTGCCTAGAGTTTGAGTCCACTCCCAGGTATTTCAGTTCTGTGAGCCACGTGCTCAACTTCACTGTTCATGTCCGTTAGAGTCGTGTGTCTGTTACTTGCAACTGAAAGCATTCTAGCTGTTTCAGTTTCCTTCTCAACAACAGCATTCCTCTGGAGCAGGTTTGCATGGAGGAGAGACTGGGGTTGGAGAGGCCTCTTTGAATTGAAATATTAAGACCAATAAATCATTTTTTCCTTACCAGAAAACTACTACATAAGAAGAGTTTTTGTCAAGGTACTAGAGGATGTCAGATAACATACCACACTGAAGGGCAGAGACCAAAGAGTGTCTGTTGAACGTTATCTTATATATTTACTTCTCAGATATTTGTCCCCAAGGTTAGACTCAGAGCTTCTTGAGGGCAGGAACTGTGTCTCCCTTATTTTGGTTTTCTCAGAGTATGGTGCAAAGCATGGCATAGAAATAGTTGGTGTCTAGTACATGCCAAATGAATGAATTTATTCCCCATCTGTGAGGTAGAGATTACAGTATTCCCCCTGCCCTACCACCGCCCGGTTTTACAAGTGAGAACACTGAGGCTTGGAGAGGCTAGGAGTCTTGTGCAAGGTTACCCATCTGGTAAACCAAAGTCTTGTGCTAAATCAAAGTTTTGAGATTCCACAATGCCTTTTTGCCCTTGTCTCTTACCTTCCTGAAAATTACCAATCTCTTTTCCAAGGAGAAAGCTACATATAAAAATTGCTTTAAAATCATGCACAACAAATTTGATGTGATTTCATAGTCATTATCCTGAGGTTTCAAAGTTAAACATGCCGATCTTTTAGCAAAGAATAGACTTGTCTTGCTGGAAGCTTCCAGAGACATAAGCAAGCATTAGAGTGACATCAAGTGGTGAAGTCCTACCACTTCCACATGGCAAGAGTCCTGTTTTCCTCACTGTCCAGACAGTCTGATCTCTCTCCTCAAATGTTTGTTACCAAGTTTGCTCTCAGAGTTATTTGTCCAGGGTCTTTTTATTTATTTATTTTTTGAGATGGAGTTTTGCTCTTGTCACCCAGGCTGGAGTGCAACGGTATAGTCTTGGCTCATGCAACCTCCACCTCCCGGCTTCAAGCAATTCTCCTACCTCAGCCTCCCAAGTAGCTGGGATTACAGGTGCCTGCCACCATACATGGCTAATTTTTGCCTTTTTAGAAGAGATGGGGTTTCACCATGTTGGCCAGGCTGGTCTTGAACTCTTGAGCTCAGGTGATTCACCCATCTTAGCTTCCCAAAGTGCTGGGATTACAGGCATGAACCGCCATGCCAGGCCCCAAGTTCTTTTTAAGAAATTAACTTTAAAACCTTGGGCACTGTGATTCACACTTGTAGTCCAGCCACATGGAACTGTAAGTCCAATTAAACCTCTTTCTTATGTAAATTGTCCAGTCTTGGGTATGTCTTTAGCAGCACATGAAAACTGACTAATAAAGTAAATTGGTACTAATAGAGTGGGGGATTGCTGAAAAGATACCTGAAAATGTGGAAGCAACTTTGGAACTCAGTAACAGGCAGAGATTTGAACACTTTGAAGGAGTTAGAAGAAGACAGGAAAATGTGAGAAAGTTTGGAACTTCCTAGAGACTTGTTACAAATGTTGGTAACAACTTTGCTCGCAATAGCCAAAACTAGACACAACTCAGGTATCTTTCAATGGGTGAGTGGATTCAAACCATGGACTACTACTCAGTAATAGAAAAGAACAAAGTAGGTGTTATTGCTCTTTGAGAATTTTTCTAGCAGGGTCAGGCACGATGGTACATTTCTGTAACCCAAGCACTTTGGAAGGCCAAGGCAGGAGGATTGCTTGAGACCAGGAGTTTAAGACCAATTTGGGCAACATAGACCCTGTCTCTAAAAAAGAAAAAAATTCAAAAAAATTAGCCAGGCATGGTTGTGCATGCCTATAGTCCTAGCTACATGGGAGGCCATGGTGGATCACTTGAGCCCAGGAATTCGAGGCAACAGTGGGCTCTGATTGTGCCACTGCACTCCAGCCTGGGCAACAGAGCAAGACCCCACCTCAGAAAACAAAGCATGTTTTCCAGTTCTTGCTGGGAGGCCCCCATGGGAGTTGGAGAAGAACAAACTATAGATAGAAACAACAACTTGGATGAGTCTCCAGGGAATTATGCTGCTAGAAAAAAGTCAATCCCTGAAGGTTTACATACTGCGTGATTCCATTTACGTATCATTTTTGAAAAAACAAAATTATAGAAATGGAGCATAGATTAGAGGTTCCAATGGTTAGGGTTGAGAGGGCAGGGGAAGTAGATGTGGCTATAAAAAGAACATGGGAGGATCCTTGTAGTGGTGAACTGTTGTCAACATCATGCATCTCTATTAATTCTCATAACTGCATGTGAATTTACAGTAATCTCATAATTTAAAAATCTAATTAAAAAATAAATAGATATGGAAAAAACATGTATTCTAATGTCCAAGCCACACCTTTGACCTTTAAATCAAAGTCTCTAAGGGTGGGACTAGGTATTAATATTTATACGTTTTTTAGATGATTCCAGTGTGCAGCCAAGTTTGAAAACCAGTATCTTAGCCGACCGTGTGGAGCATGAGAAGCCAGCACAGGAAGCAGTGGAGAGCGCTGGGACTGTACACGTGAGTGGAGACTAGATGTGTGGTCTTGGGCAAGCCATTTAAACTCATGTAGCCTTGGGCTCTTCTTTGTAAATTGGTTATAACCTGTGCTTACTTCCCAGAACTGATTTGAAGATCAAGGAGAAAATGTAGGTTAAGTGTTTTATGAGTTGTAAAGTGTAATATAAATGTCCTGATCAATGGGTAATATATATTGTACATCCATACAAATATGTGTGTTTTTAAATATGTACTGTATGCAGATGTTTTCATGTTTAGTATCTCACTTAATCTCATCAACAACTCAGCATTGTAGAAGTTGGGATCGTAATTTTATTTATTTATTTATTTATTTTTTGAGACGGAGTTTCGCTCTTGTTACCCAGGCTGGAGTGCAATGGCGCGATCTCGGCTTACCGCAACCTCCGCCTCCTGGGTTCAGGCAATTCTCCTGCCTCAGCCTCCTGAGTAGTTGGGATTACAGGCAAGCGCCACCATGCCCAGCTAATATTTTGTATTTTTAGTAGAGATGGGGTTTCACCATGTTGACCAGGATGGTCTCGATCTCTTGACCTCGTGATCCAACCACCTCAGCCTCCTAAAGTGCTGGGATTACAGGCTTGAGTCATCCCGCCAGGCCGGGATCGTAATTTTATAATGAGAAGACTGACTCACACAAAAGGTAATAAACAATAATACCTTTGGCTTTACCAGTATAGATTCTGTTTCAGCAAAACTCCCTCTGCTGTAGTTTACCCAACAGAGGTGGTTGTCAAGGTCACTTAGGTGTAAAAGTAAGTCCCTACTTTCAAGTCTAAGAGACTTAAATGAATATGTAAATAAAATTCCTGTAAGGGCAAGTTTGAATGCATTATCTGGATCATAGTCTGAATTCTGCACTTCAATTTGCAATACAGATGAAGCTAAGCACAAGAGAGAAAAATGGATGTTGAGAATGAGAAAGTGCTTGATTCCCAAATAATTTGTGCCCAGCAAGAAGTGAGAGGCCCCCTGGGAAAAAAACAAGCTAGGACTTGTGGCATCCCATTAGTGAATATTAAATCCCTTTTAATGCCTGTGTTTGATTACAAAGGTAGTTAAAAACACATCAAGTATGGAAAAAGCTGATTCTGGCATCAGACTTTCACCAAGTGAAAAGAATGACAATGTAAAAGAGAAGGAAGCTAGTCTCTTTTTATGTGCTTCTGTTATAAATTAAATTAATTAAATTACTGGAACATTTGTATGAATAAATTCAAAGAGGGATCCATGCAAAATATAACAGAAAACTGAGACAATTTTATGTTTAAAAAGTCTATATATGCGACTGGAAATAATCTAGATAACTGGTATGCTTTTTGTATTATTAAGACAATTACTTGATTGATCAGCTGTGTGTATATAAATAGAGATCGAGTAATTCGAGGTCTTCTACCTCCCAAATGGATTTGGGGCAAGGGATCAGCCTCAAAACAGGCCATTTGGCAAAGTTTTTCTAACCATCTTCCAAGACTTTAGACTTTGCATAAATTAGCTACCCACTGTCTTTCCACCTCTGAAGGTCATTTTTTCCTTCACTTAATTTGGGTATGTTGGTTCCCAATTAAATTTAATCCTTAAAATTCTAGGTGCAACTCATCAAATGAATCTTAAGAGATTGGAGAAGGCATAATTAAAGTCAGTGGGCAGCTGGGTGCAGTGGCTCATGCCAGTAATTCCAGCACTTTAGGAGGCCAGGGTGGGGAATTGCTCGAGCTCAGGAGTTTGAGACCAGTCTGGGCAACATGGTGAAACCCCATCTCTACCAAAAACACAAAAATTAGCTGGGTGTGGTGGAATGTGCCTGTGGTCCCAACTATTCAGGAGTGTTAGGTGGGAGGATTTCTGGAGCCTGGGAAATTGAGGCAGCAGTGAGCCATGATCACACTGCTGCACTCCGGCCTGGGTGACAGAGTTAGACCCTGCGACACACAAAAAAGGGATGTTTTTGTGTTTTTCCATCCTATTCCCTTTTTCCTTTTGAAACCAAGAAGAAACCTTTCTACTGGTCCCGGTCTTGGAGAGACACGGCTGGTTTCAGTCCTAACTTCGGGATGTCTGAACCTTGAGAAGTTGGATGAGGCATTTCACTGTTCTTGATCTTATTTTCCTAAACTACTGAAATGGTCCTGATGTGGTTTCCCTTTCTGTTCCCTACCCAAATCTCATGGTGAATGGTACAGCATGAAAAACGTAAATAAATAGGGAAAAACTGTATATCCTAATGTCCAAGCCACACCTTAGACCTTTTACATAAAAATCTTAAGGGTGGAAGTAGGTATTAATATTTATTTTAAGTTTTTCAGATGATTCTAATGTGCAGCCAGGTTTGAAAATCAGTATCTTAGCCAAGAGGAGTCAGTTTTAACTTTAGTTGAACTAACATCACCTGGGATTCAGATGGTGAAAAAGATTCTCAAACTTAATACTTGTGAATCACCTGAGGATTTTGTCAAAAAATGCAGATTCTGATTTTGCATTTCTCACATTTTCAAGTGGTGCAGATGCTGACATTAGAAATAGCATGACGATGGAGTTTCAGGCAGGGAAAATAATCTCATGCTCCTAGCTACACCTGAACATCACGCTGCTAATTTTCAGTGTTGTTTTGTTCTTAAGGAAGGCAATTTCTTTAAAGAAACAAACTGATATAGTTTTGTTTTGTGTCCCCACACAAATCTCATCTAGAATTGTTATCCCCATGTGTCGGTGGAGGGACCAGGTGGGAGGTGACTGGACCATGGGGGCGGTTTCCACCGTGCTGCTTTCGCGATAATGAGTTCTCATGAGATTTGACAGCTTAAATGTGAGTGGCGCCTCCCTGTTTGCTCTGTCTCTCCTGCTTCGCCGTGGTAAGATGTGCTTCCTTCCGCTCTGCTTTCCACCGTGATTGCAAGTTTCCTGAGGCCTAGCCACGCTTCCTGTACAGCCTGTGGAACTGTGAGTCAATTATACTTCTTTTGTTCGTAATGACCAGTCTTAGGTAGTTCTTTATAGCAGTGTGAGAACAAACTAATAAAGGTACTAAGAAAAATGACGTGGAAAGCCATTCGGCAATCTTGTGTGAATTTCCTGGCATCTGCCTGGGTACCTGTGGATTGGGTTTTTGTGGAGGACCTATCAGGGCAGGATCTAGGCAATAGCTGCTCCTGTCTCCAATGGGTACTTCCTCTGTGCTTTTCTTGTTACCATCTTCCTGGCTATCAGGGACCACCTGGTTCTCATCTTTTCAATTTCTTCTCCCTCCTCGTCTGAGCTTTCACTACAACCTGGCTCTTAGACTGCCAAATTCCATACTATTCCTTAGCAAACCATCAGTAGCTTTCAATATTTAACATAACTGAAAAACTGAATTAGATACAGGTTGTCTATTTCCCTATCGCTAAGTTGGAACTGCTGATGTCGGTGATAGTCATCCTTCACCGCAGCGCTTTGCAGTTACAAAGCACCATTGCACCTCCTTTGTGATATTTGATTCTCACAAGTAGCCTAGAAGAAAGACTGAGGGGTGGGTGTAAAAAGTATTCTCTTTTTACAGATGAGACAATTGAACTCAGTTTTGGGTTGGATTTGGCTGTGCACATAGCACTGTGTCTGGTGCACTGAGGAGGACGTGAGACTATTCCTTAGGGCAGGATGGTAAAAGCAGACAAGGGAAACCTTTTAAGCACCTGACTTCAATTCAGTGCAATGAACAGAATGAGTACACACTTGGTCCACGCTCTGTGCAAGCTCATTGGGATGGGCAGGTGCAAAGTGAAAATGACTCAAGTTGTTTGTGGTTTTAGGTGGGGGATGGTTGTCACATTTAGCAAATATAGATAATGATGCCCAGTTAAATTGGAATTTCAATAAACAAGAAATTTTTCAGTGTAAATATGAACCAGGCAACCTTTTGGGGCAGTATGCTATTTGACAACCCTACATGGGAGAAGAAAGACTAAAAGCCTGAAATTATCATGATAGTAATAGGAACTCTGGGAAGATTTCCTGGAGGAAGTAACAGCTGAGTTGGGTCTTGAAGTCTGCAGAGGCCACAGAAGCAGCTCTAGCTTCAGGGGGCACAATGGAGCATGGGAAGTTAGGGAGTGGAGATTTTATTATTTTAGTCTCAGTTTTCTCATCTGTAAAATGGGTATAATAATAGTACCAACCTTGTCAAGTTGTTGTGAGAATAAAATGAGTTTACATTCATAAGGCCCTTAGGGGACTGCCTCGCACAGAGTGAGTAGTGGTGATAAAATTAATGACAGCAGTGGAAAACGTGAGAAAGGGGCCGGGTGTGGTGGCTCACAGCCTTAATCCTAACACTTAGAGAGGCTGAGGCAAGTGGGTCACTTGAGGCCAGGAGTTCAAGACCAACCTGGCCAACACAGCAAAACCCTCTCTCTATTAAAAACAAAAAAAATTAGCCAGGCATGGTTATGCATGCCTGTTATCCCAGCTACTCAGAAAGCTGAGGCACGAGATTGCTTGAACCTGGAAGGTGGAGGTTGCAGCAACCTGAGATTGCACCACCGCACTCCAGCCTGGGTAACAGAGTGAGACTCTATTTAAAAAAAAAAAAAAAAAAGAGGAAGGAACATTCCAGAGGTTCAAGTTATTACTGGAGTGGACTAACTGGAGGAGCAGAGCCATGAGGCAGAACGTGGAGAAAGAGGAATGATGTTCCCAATGGGGTTGAGTGGGAAAAGCTAGAGTCTGAGAAGTGGCTAAGGTAGGGGGTGGCAAGATTGAAATCTGTGGGACAAGTTGGCAGGCTGGAAATTCAGGTAAGAATTGATGTTGCAGTCTCGAGTATGAAATCTATAGAGCAGGCTGGAAACTTAGGCAGGATTTCTGTTACAGCCTTAGGCAGAATTCCTTCTTTTCTACGAAGCCTGTTTTTTTGCTTTAAGACCTTCAGCTGAATGAATGGGACTCTCCCACATTATGGACAGTAATCTGCTTTCCTTACAGTCAGCTGATTATAAATATTAATCACATCTACAGAATACCTTCACAGCAGCATCTAGACTAATGTTTCAGCAGACAGCTGGGCACCATAGCCTAGCCAAGTTGACATAAAAATTAACCATTGCAAGTCATCAAGTGCTTTCCCTAGTGGATGGTATTACCACAGAAAAAACACCAACCAAAGGAATACTGTGGATGTGAAAGAAGATTTAGATTAAGTGTAAAAGTAAGAATATTTTTATACCTTTTAAAATGTGTCAGTGTGTAGTTTTAAGTATTAATTACATGAAAATGTTAGAAAATAAAGATGAGAAAAAAAGAAATCTCATATTTCTACCACTCAGTAATAATCACTATTTAAATTTTCTTGTCTTCTGGTTTTCTAATGTGTATATCTCAGTATAGCTATGATCTCATTTCTGTTAAAAGTGTTGGTATGATACATCTATATTATTTTAAATTGCTGTATAATATCTTTTATTCCCATTCATTAAATCTCATGCTGTTAGATGTTTATTTCTTATTATTGTGAACAGCAATGCACAGTATATTTTTGTTCATAAATCTTTTTACTTGAATACTTTCTAAGTAGCTTTCAAACTCTTTAATCAGTAGAACCCTTTTCACTGAAATGTTAAGGAACGAATTATTCATTCAACACAATAGTTCGCAACCCTGGCCACACCTTTAGAAAAAAAATAATGATATTTAGGCTTCATCTCAGAGTTCAATTCAGTGTGTTGGAATGGGGACTACACGTAAGTATTTAATTAAAAACCAAAAGTGGCTGGGTGCGATGGCTCATGCCTGTAATCCTAGCACTTTGGGAGCCTGAGGCAGGTGGATCACTTGAGGACAAGAGTTCAAAACCAGCCCGGCCAACGTAGTGAAACCCAGTCTCTACTAAAAATACAAAAAAATTAGCTGGGCATGGTGGCAGGTGCCTCTAATCGGGAGGCTGAGGCAGGAGAATCGCTTGAACCTGAGAGGTGGAAGTTGCAGTGAGCCCAGATCGTGCCACTGCACTCAAGCCTGGGCAGCAGAGTGAGACGCCATCTTAAAAAAAACAAAACCAAAAGCTCCCAAGTGATTTTAAACAGCCACAGTTGAGAACCCCGGATTAACCAATATGTCAAGAGATGGCCCTGTGATATACTGAGCATAAAAATATTGTACAAGGTGAAACCCCATCTCTACTAAAAATTCAAAAATTAGTCTGGTGTGGTGGTGCATGCCTGTAGTCCCAGCTACTCAGGAGGCTGAGGTGGTGCAATCGTTTTACCCTGGGAGGCAGAGGTTGCAGTGAGTGGAGATTGCACCACTGCACTCCAGCCTGGGTGACAAAGTGAGACTCTGTCTCAAAAATATGTATATATATATACACACACATTGCACAAGAACAGCCACAACATCTGTCCTACAGAACATCAGCATGTGGTCTAACTTTGAAGTGTTGTAATAATATGTTTAAAGACTAGGTTGTATTTGCTGTGATCACTAAGTTAAGCATTAGTGAGCAAGGAGATTGAGAAAATAAATTCCTTCATATAACTGATATTTCTTAATATAACTATTAGTCCTGATATAACTAAGGTCTTAATTTTTATGTGTCATCTGTTTAGTAAAGGTTGGTTTTGGCATGATTAGGTCTTGCTCTCAGTAGATGTTGGAAGGATAATTGCATGCTTATCTTCTTTGGGCAGCTGAATCAGGGTTAATACACAGATAGCCTTGGACATAAGTGCATGCAAAGCACCTGAAAGAACAGAAGCAACTTAAGCCCAGTACAATACAGTGATGCTAGTCTGGATCTTGGATTGAGTGTTTTAATACTTTTAATCTAATTGCCAAGTCATCTTCTTCCTGAATCTTCATGAGAAAACCAACTAAAACAATGCTTTGTCCTACTAGCCTTACATTATGATCATTAAGTTTGGAAGTAAAGTTAAAAATAAACGTATGAGTAAAAGTTAAAAACAGAAAAAAAAACATGTATTTCTAACTTTATTGATTCTTGACATTTTATCTGCCTAGAAAGCTATTTTCGGTGGCTCACGCCTGTAATCCCAGCACTTTGGGAGGCCGAGGTGGGTGGATCACGAGGTCAAGAGATCAAGAGCATCCTGGTCAGCATGGTGAAACCCCGTCTCTACTAAAAACACAAAAAATTAGCTGGGCATGGTGGCACGTGCCTGTAATCTCAGCTACTCAGGAGGCTGAGGCAGGAGAATTGCCTGATCCCAGGAGGTGGAGGTTGCGGTGAGCCGAGATCACACCATTGCACTCCAGCCTGGGTAACGAGAGCAAAACTCCGTCTCAAAAAAAAAAACAAAAAGAAAGAAAGCTATTTTTTTGGCAATTATTATTGTTCTTAGTTTAGAGAAGAGGCTGAGCAGGAAGGGTCCTTTGAAAAAGAAAAGATTGCCCTTGTCCCCCTCTGGCAATTGGTATGAAGTCTGCTTCCCAGCCTCTAATGGCCTTCTTTTCCTTTTCCCCTGCAGTTCAGCTCTGGACTGTTGGAAACTATCACTGGTATCTCAAGCAAAGTTTATCCTTCAGCACCTGTGGGAAGAGCAAGATTGTATCTTTGATATGGGACCCTGTGACCCCATACCGGCTTCATGTTCTCTGTCAGGGCTGGCATTACTTCTGCTATGATTGGCACTGGACAACTGACCGGAGCTCAGGAGATAATTCAAGTGACTTGTCCAGTGTGGCTGTCATTGATGGAAGTAAGCTGCTGGAAACTGTGTCCATGAGCCTGCAAGGGGTCCTGGCCTAGGGGCTGCAGATGTGGTGGTTTGACTGGAACAGTGGGGAGTCTTTATTTGTTTTGGCTGTTTGGGTTACTTGTTTTATTTTTTAATTGAATGGGATATAAGGTGGAGTATATTCTCTTCTGAGAACCATCATCCCTCTTCCCCATGGCAGTTTCCTGTTATACGACATCTGTGGCCTTCACACATTTACTTGTCTGGCCTTTGAAGACACTGTAAACTTTGACTCTAGGGAGAGAGGATGACAACAGTAGAGTCTTGTGGGATTGGGTGTGTTAGCCTTACCTGTTTACCCTGACATGGGTTTATAATTGATCCTTGTACCACCCACTTATGTTGCTTTGTTTCCTGATATAAATGCTTGCCGATTATATACCTGTCCAGTATGTTCAGTACATGTCATAGATATTTGTCTAATACAAAGATTAGGTTGATATTTTATAATTAGGTAGAAGGCTTTTTAGGGGGTGGGATGGGGGGGCAAGATTGAGGAGTGAGGTAGTCACCTTAACGAGCAGTTTTATTGCTGATAATAAAAGGGAACACTTGCTTCTAAGATTGTAATATGTGGTGGTATACTAATATTACGTATTCTATATAGAGAACATAATCAGATCTGCCTTATTACAAAATCCACACATGAGAACCTGCTTTAAGGAATTTGAAGGTATTAATTCCTTTGGTTTACTGTGGCTTGGTTGCAGCCCCAGGTTTAAAGCTAGAGCTCTGACCTCTCAGCCTTTTTGCCTTAGTCCCTGGCACCTGAAACTCCAAGTTCTGAGATGGACTACTCTAGTCCTGGCAGTGACAGTGGCCGAGTATAGACAGAACCCATAACATTTCCCCACTCCACACTGTTTTTAAAGTTATGAGAAAAACACTAAGTTATTTTTTGTGAATTGCCATTACTGTTTAGATATACTGTGATGTTCAGATGGCTTATCTTTCAAACTGAATGTCCTTGTGTCTAGGGTATTGGTGACAGTCTTCCGGCAGACTGTGGTCCCGCCTCCCATGTGCAGCTACCAACTGCTGTTCCCACACCCTGTGAATCAAGTCACATTCTCTGCACACCCTCAAAAGAGTAATGACCTTGCTGTTCTAGATGCCAGTAACAAGATTTCTGTTTATAAATGTGGTATGTTAAAAAACTTCTACCAAGGTGTTCTGAATCAAGTCCCTTCTACTCCTACATAAAAGCAAATTATAGCTTTGTTGTTGCCATAGGTCTAGTGTTTTTCAAAATTGTGAAGTCTGCAGTTGATATCATTATCATTATGATATTTAATTGGCTTGGGTTTTTTTTTTTTAAACCTTTCTCTGGTTTATACTAGCCATTCCTTTTCCATTGCTGAACTTGAAGAGTCAGTTATTTAAGAACAACATTGAACTCTGGAAATAGCATAGTATGTTATTACATTGTTAACATGTTTTACTATTTTCATTGCCTTTACACGCATTTTCAGTTGATCTCATCCCTCCTAGGAGCTGTCAGAGATTATAGATGAGGGAACACTGTGTCAGAGGTTTTGCAATTTGTTTGAACAAGAATGGACAAGGACCTCAACACAGGCATTCTAGTTCTTCCACAGTCCCGTTGCTGTCAGTTCCTCATTGCTTTCTTGATGTACTGGGGAACCTGAAAGTTGCTTTTATTTGTGAGTTCTGTGGTTATGTCATGAATTCTACTGGCATATGGCAGTGGTTGCCTTGTTTTCAAATATCTTTTGAATTCTCAGAAAAAGCCTAGATAGTTGCCAAGAGAGAATAATCAAAATTAATTAATTTAAATTGGAATTTCCTACTTTCATATCAGCTTTTCTGTTAAGTCAGCAGCCCACTGTTTACATGAATTCTCTCTGGATTTATCACCTGTTTCTCTGATTATAGTTTCACTGTGTAAAATGCTATTACAGTCCTCCTTAAACTTTTAAAAATAGCTTTAAAAAAAGTGCTAATATGTTCATTATCAAAGCCAAAAGAATCAGATGTAAAGTAAGTTTTTTTGGTACTTACTATATGATGCTAATGAGTTTATATGTCACTTTATGATGTATGGGATGTTTTGCTCTGTGTTCGCTTAAAAAATAGCTTTATGGCCGGGCGCTGTGACTCATGCCTATAATCTCAGCACTTTGGGAGGCCGATGTGGGTGGATCATGAGGTCAGGAGTTCAAGACCAGCCAGGCCAAAATGGTGAAACCCCGTATCTACTAAAAATACAAAAATTAGGCAGGCATGGTGGCGGGTGCCTGTAATCCCAGCTACCTGGGTGGCTGAGCCAAGAGAATCACTTGAACCTGGGAGTTGGAGGTTGCAGTTAGCCAAGATTGAGCCTCTGCACTCCAGCCTGGGTGACAAGAGTGAGAATATCTCGGGGCGGGGCGGGGGGGGGGAGTTTCATATCATTCATCTATTTAAAGTGTACACTTCAGTGGTTAATGTGTCTGTGTGTGTGTGTGCGTGTGTGTGTATGTATGTTTAAATTCACCAAATTGTATACCCATCACCACGATCTATTGTAGGACATTTTTATCTCCTCAGAATAAAACCCTGTACCACCTGCATTCATTTTACTTGATAGAAAAGTCTCTGTGATGAGATAGGACAGGTTGAACGCTCCGTTTTTGAAAGATGGTTTGGCATCAATTTGTGGGGTGGCCCTAGCTCAGGGGTACCTGGAGGCAGAGAGTTCAGTTAGGAGAAGCTGTTGTCAAGTGTCCAGGCAGGAGCTAGTGAGGGCTTGAGCCAGGGCAGTGTTCATAGAAACGGAAAGAAGAGAGAGATCATAACAAATCCATGAACTAAAAACCCTGAGAAGTTAAAGAGCCCACTGGGGAGAGTTCGGATATAAGAGATTCTGGAAAAAGAGATGGTGGACTGAACAGGTCAGGGCTCAGTGCCCAAGCTGAAGGGAAATTAAGAACCTGGAGCCAAGTGGTAGACATTTGAATGGTGTGGAGATGAGTTAGTTGCCAAATTTGTCAAAGATGGTGTTAGATGTGTCCTGCGTATCACTCCTTTCCCCCACATTGTTTCTTGATTGTTTATTATATGCAGGCTTTTTCTAGTACTTGGCTTGTTGTATTAGAAAACTAGTTGTACTTTTGTCTACCACTTGTTATTCTAGCTGTAGACAAAAGATCAAATAAATATAACCTATCAGATGGCAAGTGCTGTGGAGAAAAATTAAGCAAAATAAGGGATAGGGAGAGGTTAAGAATAGGGGTTTACACAGGGAAGGTGGCTTTCTTATTTAGTGCAATCCCACAGACCTCTCTGTGAAGGTGACATTTAAGCAGAGATCTGGTGAGAATCACAGTGGGAGCCATGCAGACATCTGGGGTAAGAGCAGCCCAAGCATTCTATGCTTGAGGGCGAAGAACAACAACAAAAAAAGAGTGTTCCAAGCAGAGTAAAAAGCAACTCAGAAGTGCCTGTTGTGTTTAGAAAACAGCCAGGAGGCCAGGGTGGTGGCAGAAGAGCAAATGAGGGGAAGGTGTTGGGTGAGGTCAGAGAGGTGACAGGAATCAGCTCTTGTAGGGCCTGGCAGCTTTTCATCTGAGTGAGATAGGATGCTACCAGAGGGCTTAGAGCAGAGGAGCGCAGTGTTCTGGCTGAATTTTTTTTAAAGGCTAGCATTGGCTGCTGTGCAGTGAATAAACTGGATGAAGAATAGAAAGAAAATGTCTTTTAAGCAGGTGCTTAGGACTTCAGAGAATTTGAGGATATTGAGAGGTGGTTGAGGACAATGGAGGAAATAGCACTGGGCGGAGAGGGTCACCCCTCCACCTGGTCTTGCTGAGATGTGGCCTTTATCAGAAGGATTATGACTGATGTGATCTCAAGGGAAAAGCAATATTTTAAGGAGGTTGACATGTGGTTATGTTTTAGCTTGCTGTTTGCCTTCTAGAACTCATTAATAGCAGACACCATCCCCTTAGTAGTGGGAGAAATGTTATAGTTTACAATGATAGTATTTGCATTTTTGTTTTTCAGGTGATTGTCCAAGGGCCGACCCTACAGTGAAACTGGGAGCTGTGGGTGGAAGTGGATTTAAAGTTTCCCTTAGAACTCCTCATCTGGAAAAGAGATACAAGTAGGTTCTTAATTATCTTGGGCCTCTGGAAAGAGAATCAGCCAGCATTCAGTACTTACCAATTTGAAAAAACAAGTGTAGAGCCTCCTGAGTAGCTGGGATTATAGACACGTGCCACCGTGCCCAGCTAATTTTTTGTATTTTTAGTAGAGACGGGGTTTCACCATGTTGACCAGGATGGTCTCGATCTCTTGACCTTGTGATCCATCCACCTCGGCCTCCCAAGTGCTGGGATTACAGGCATGAGCCACCGCACCCGGCTACGTGGCTCTTTTTTCTAGTGGAGAGTGGGCACATGGAGCACAGAAGGCTCAGAGCCTCCTTTCCTGTGTTGGTACATATGCTGTGGTCAAAAACTGAGTGCCACTGGTCTGTGTAATTTTTATCTAGTTTTCTGCAGCCTCAGTCTCTTCCCATGATCTCTCCAAAAAGGAGAATGGAATCCTTCATTTCTCTGCTTAAAATCCTTCATGAGCTCCCATTGTTCCTAGGATAAAATTCAGAAGCCATAATACTGCTTAGAAACCCTTCCTTGACCTGGCCCCTGTGTATCTTTCCATTCTCACTTTTTGGAATTGTCTTTTTTTTCCTCTGCTCTTGGAGGAAGGACAGTGCTTTTGTCTCTCTTCCCTCACCCTTCACCACTAACCAGCACATGCCTTGGTAGGCAGCATTACTTCTGCCACCCATGACTGCTTCCACCCTCACCATTCACCTGATTCTCATCCAGGTGAAAGGATGCCAAGGTGGCCCCTTCCCAGTAAGCCATTCATGCTTCCTTTCAGGAACTGGACAAGGTGACCCTCCTTTGTGCTTTTGTTGCACACAGTGCCTACCCCTGCAGACTACAGTGTGTCTCCTTCTAGAGTACAGTATTTATTTATTTATTTTTGAGACAAGGTCTGGCTCTATTACCCAGGCTGGAGTGCAGTAGCACCATCTTGGCTCACTGCAGCCTATGCCACCTGGGCTCAAGTAATCCTCCCACCTGAGTTTATAGGCGCGCACCACCATGCCTGGCTAAGTTTTGTATTTTTTGTCGAGATGGGGTTTCGCCATGTTTCCCAGACTGGTCTCAAACTCATGAGCTCAAGTGATCCACCTGCCTTGACCTCCCAGAGTGCTGAGAATGAGCATTTAATTATTTGTTTTCTTGGGGTTTTTTCCTGTGTTTGTCCTTACATGTATTTATCCTGTCGGTCCAGGGAAATTGCATTAAAAACGGGAAGCACCTCTTCATTAGGAAGAAAGTTTGCTTAGAGGGCATGGCACAGAGCTTGAGATGGTAGTGCCAATAAATACTAGGTTGGCAGGGTCTCAGAGTTTTGTGTCCAACTCAGTATAATTTTATTTTTGTTTTAATGTGGTCTTCTCAGGAGATCATGGACTGTCATGAAAACAGCACCAAGAGCAATGTCTTTACACTTTTAGGAGAAACTTAGATGCATCTGTTGAATATCTTCTAGACTGAAACCTTATTTTCCTTATTAGCCTATGAAATAATGATAGGGTGAGACTTAGTGAAGGAAGTGACTGTTATTCCAAATGTAACCTAATATCCACATATGAAAGCATTTTTACCAAAGCTTGTTTGATGTTCAGCTGACCCTTGCACAATATGAGTTTGAACTGTGTGAGTTTGAATTGTGTGGGTGTATCTATTTGTGGATTTCTCTCAAATACAGTTGGCCCTTTGGGTCCACAGATTCTGCATCCACAACCAATATGGATCAAAAATACAGTATTTGCAGGATTTGAAACTTGCAGATACAAAGGGCCAACTTTTTGTGTATGCAGGCTCCATGGAGTCAAGCGCAGGACTGGAGTCTGCTTGGATTTTGGTATCCTTGGGGGGTCCTGGAACCAATTCCTCATGGATACTGGGGATGACTGTAGTTTGATTTTATATATTACATAATATGTAGTTAATATATAACATACATTAAAAAATTATGTAGCTTTGGGTTTATTGCTATATATAAATGCTATTTCCTATTCTTGTATATAAATATCACAAATAATAAAGTTCTCATTAATCATTTTTTAGGATCCCAAAGAATATATTCCATTTCTTAATACACTTAAGAAAATGGAAACTCATTATCAGCGGTTTACTGTAGACAAATACTTGAAACAATATGAAAAAGCCGTTGGCCACCTCAGCAAATGTGGTAAGTGTGGGGATTGGTATGTTCATTTCTGCTTCAGATCTTCTTTGGAATGAGGCAAGGTATAAATTAAACTGTTAGTTTAGACAGTGACTGATTTCACTTCCCACTCCTGTAACAGTTATGTACACTCACCTTATTTTGCCCTGTGTTCTGAAAAGCTAAAGGTAAAAAAATCATTGTTAATGAACTGGAGGAGCTCCCTAGGCAAGAACGTCGAGCAGATCCTTTTTAGGTTCGGATTGAGCACCTGCGAACTTAGCTTCAGTGCTCAGAATCAAAATTGGTTGATAGTTCTTCCTTCTTGTGCTGTTTACAGATATGTCAGGGAAGCTCTGCTTGTCTGGAATGAGTGGTGAGGCCACCTCCCCATGCCCTGTCAGACACAGTTTTAATTGACAGTGATGGAGTGCCAGTTGTTCTTCCCATGCTGGAGCAGTTGTGATTCTTTACTGAGGACTGGCATGGGGGCAAGAAGAATCAGCTGGGGTGCATGTTAAGCATTCAGCTGCTGGCGTCCTTGGAGAATCTGATTTAGCTGGTCTAGGATAGGACTGAGGTGTGCATGTGTCTAATAAGCTTCCAGGTGATGTCTTTTCAAAGAGGCTGAGAAAACACTGAGCTGGATAGCTGGGACTCTCAAGTAGGGTGCTGAGCCCAATCAGTGCTTCTCTTGCCTCAGAATCTGTAGTGGTGCTCATTAAAAATTCAGATTCTGGATTCTGTTCTTCAGATTCTCTGATTATTTAGGTCTTAAAAAGGTCCCTTATTGATTTTGTTTGGTGACCACTGGTGTAAATGAAGTCCATTATGCTTACCATGTCTTAAGCCTGTCTTTGTGTGAATCTTATTCCTACAGGACCTGAGTACTTTCCAGAATGCTTAAACTTGATAAAAGATAAAAAGTTGTACAAGGAAGCTCTGAAGTTATATTCACCAAGCTCACAACAGTACCAGGTATATGGTGTGTGAAATGAGGCTGTCCTGGTTTTGCTTTTTGCTTTAGTTGGAAAGGAGTGAGGATCCTGAGTTCAGAACACCATCCTTGGCTTCAAGAGTTATCTTAAAACTAATTAACTTCAATTTGAACTTCTTATCTGGGCGAATGGTCCTGACCTGTTCTCTGATTCCTCATCTGGAATACCACAGCACCTTCCCCCTGCTTTTTTCCCCATCCCTCCTCTAGCCCAACCTCACCGCTTATAAGACTGAGCATCCTAACAAGCACAGATCTTTCCCATATGTTTCAGCATAAAGGGAAAGTTTTGTTTGTTTGTTTAAAAATACTCTTTAGCTTTTTTTTGTATACCAGATACTTTACTTATAGGCGAAATGTGTTATATGATCCTCTTAACAGCCTAATAGGGTGCTGAGCACAACTTGTAGATGACAAAGCAACTTGCCTAAGGATACAGAGCTACGAAGTGCTGGACCTGGGACACAGAGTCCAGGCTACCTGACCACCCTGCCCATGCCATTAACCACCACTCTCCCATGCCACCAGCATCACCATTTTCAATTTTTCCTCAGACTATGTACACATCTTTCTGTGATCAAACCTCTACCAGCTTATTTGGCACCAGCTTCTGCCACCATCCCTGTTCCCAGTTACTTGTGGGTAGTTCTGCAGATGTCACATTGCGTGATTCCTCTGCCAGCTCTCTACCCACCAGGCTTCCTTTAGCCCCACTTGTCCATCAGAATCCTTGGGTTACTCCTGAATGCCATTCCTGGGCCAGGTGCCAAATGCTGAGCTCCCAAAGCAGCCTGCCCTCACCTTGGTGATTGCATATGTCAAACTGCTGATTAGCTGCTTTGTCTCCTGCATGAGGCTGTGGGCTCCTTACGGGCAGGGACTCCATGTTGCATTCCTCTCTACATCTCTACCTAACATCCAGCCTGGAGAATCAAGGATTTGGCCAGTGGCTGCCTCTTCTTGTTTTCTATTGTCTCCCACACTCTGTCTACTCCAGTCACACTGGCTGTCCTCTTACTCCTCAGACCTACCATACACATTCCTGCTGCGCAGCCATGGTGCCTTCTGTGCCCTCTGCCTGGACGCTGTCCCCTATCTCGTCACGTGGTTTATTCTCCTGATAGCCCTCAGAGCTCACACTTGCTGAGGGCTGCAAGGAGACTGTCCTCTGTCCCTTTACCCATCTTTGCCATTATGCTGTAGACTGTATTTAGTCCATAAGTCCATCCTCTGTTGCTATAAGAGCAGGAACTTGGTGGTGGTTCTTCTATGGTTTTTCATTCGTTTGGGTTTATTTTTTGCCTTGCTGTGTTATTCATACTGCCCAGAATGGTGCATGTGCAGTTATGAGTAATTATTTGTCGAGTGAATCAATGGCACATGCTCAGTAAGGTTTTGAATGAAAAATGATTGCACTAACTGATCAACTGTAGGATTTTCACAGGTAATTCTTTCAAGGGAGTTTCAAGTGTAGTAACTAAGGCAGCTACACTGGAGCTTTAGAGAAATGATTGTCATGTTTCCTCCTCAGTCCTAAATCTCCTCTTGTCCAGGATATCAGCATTGCTTATGGGGAGCACCTGATGCAGGAGCACATGTATGAGCCAGCGGGGCTCATGTTTGCCCGTTGCGGTGCCCACGAGAAAGCGCTCTCAGCCTTTCTGACGTGTGGCAACTGGAAGCAAGCCCTCTGTGTGGCAGCCCAGCTTAACTTTACTGAAGACCAGCTGGCTGGCCTTGGCAGAACTCTGGCAGGTAAGTACAGGTATTAAGATGTCTACATCTATATAGGTTTTTAAAAATTTTATTTCTTTGTTTTTTGGTAATTTTGCAAATGAATTTAGGGCAGAATATCCTGAGACAGTCTTGTTACCACTGATAAAAACAATTTAGAATGCTTTAAAGGATAAGCTACTACAGCAAGAGTCTCAGAGTGCAGTGGCACAATATGGAAAGAAGTTTATTTCTCTCTCCCAAGGGATTGACAGGCCCTTCCATTATGTGGCTCTGCAACCTTTTAGGCAGATGGTTGTAGCTAGGTTATCTCCACGTCTGTCCTCAGGAAGGAGAGTGGGGAGAAACCAGAGCCGTGGTAAAGCATTTACCTTTAAGTTAGAAATGACCTGGATGGAAGTTAAACTGTCACCTTCTATTCCATCTCGGCCACACATAATACCATGTGGCTGGATGGGCTGTGCCCTGTAGGAAGGTAAAGATGAATTTTGGGATGGGGCCATTCTGGTATAGAGAGTAGGTTGATGGAATGGCCAGGAATGAGGTGGAAAGAAAAGGCCAAATGTCCAAGCATTCTGAAAGTAAAGGCAGTTTAGCTGTGTCAGGGTCCAGGGTTGCCTGAACAGAGATGAGGGTGGTACCACAGTGGAGGAAAGGGTGAGGCACCTGTGAAAAGAGGTGAGCAGAAGCTCTGGTCCTCTCAGCAGTGCCTTAATTAAAGCAATGACTGGCATATTGTTTTCCCTAACTTGTAAATATTGTTGTGGTCTCAAAGAAAAAAAAGCAGTCCCGAAAAAATTCCAAACTCTATCCTGTTAAATTTATGTCCCTGTCCTCCTTCGTCATTTGCATTATTCTTTTTCTCTTGGGATTATAACAATGTATGGGATTATTAATTTGCTTTTTCTGGTTATTAGACCTTCCCAAATCCCTCTGTTTCCAAGCTGACCTCTTTTTACAAATGTTGATAATTCCTTATTTCAAGGCTTTTAATTATTCATTCAGTCTCCACTGTTCCTTTCTGCTTTAGAAATTCGTGTTACTGGTTGTTTATACCTTCTGTGTTCTTGGGATCTCTTATCTTCTCCTATATTCTTTACAGCTCCTAACTTGCTATTTCCCATGTCTTATAATGGAGTATTTCTAGTTTTCTCAGATGTTTAGCAAAAGTATGTGGAGAGAGCAATGGTGAAAGATGTCTGAGAACTGTTCTACGCTGGAGTTACTCTGTGTGTACATTTAACGGAGGCAGTTTGCACAAGATAGCATAACTATTTAAATAGTGGAGGTGGTTTTGCCTCCTTTCTTAAGTGATATATGCCCTGGAGTGAGCATGCAATGAGAGACCAGAATCTGCCAGCCCCTTGTAAGCCTCGGGTTCTCTGTGCCTCTCAGTGTGATTTGTCTTAATTGGGCTGAGAGTGATTCTAGGATCTAGAGACACTGCATAACTCCAGATGTAAGTCAGCTACTTCCATCTAGTGCTCAACCGAAGAAATAGTGGTCTTTAACTGTTAAGGGACAAAATGAGTTAGTGAGAGATACCAAGTCATTTTCCCACATACATGCTTTGGAAGCATCTTTCAAGGCTGATTTTGGCTGTATATGATTTTCAATACCTGAGCTAAATTTAGATTCTAGCTGCCCTTTAACATAGGACTCCATGGTGTATATACCTCTTCCCTCACGGAAATTCATAAAGTACATAGTTTCATACATAAGAAAGACATGTTAAAGAAGCACTTGAGCCAAAGAATCTGTTTAACTTCGTTGTCAACTGCTGCTGATTGTCTCTGCAGGAAAGCTGGTTGAGCAGAGGAAACACATTGATGCAGCCATGGTTTTGGAACAGTATGCCCAGGTAAACTCAATTCCTCCCTTTTAAACCCCCTAGACAGCGAGAAAGGACTTCTCAGTTGTATCTTAGTGATCATGAAAGTTAAAGAACTGTGCATAATTGTTAAGTCCAGAGAGAGTGTTTGCCCAGAGGTCTTCTATCTTGCTGGCTTGACTTGAAAATCTAAATTCAGTGCATCTCTAAGTTTTGTGAGGTAGAATATAAAAGATATTTGTCTTTTTTATTTTTAATGTTTCTCTATTGCAGGGTTGGCAAACTACAACCTGTGACTACTCCAGCATGCCACCCATTTTTGTAAATAAAGTTTTATTGGAGCGTAGCCATACCCATTAGTTTACATCTTGTCTGTGGCTGCTTTTACACTACAATAACAAAGTTAAGGAGTTATGACAGATATTTTGGCCCCTAAGGCCTAAAATATTTACTGTCTAACCTTTTACAGGAAAAATTGGCCAATTTCTGCCCTCTTGGGTTGAGGAAAACTCCTTCTCTTCCTTATTCTGAGAGTTTTTATCATGAATGAGTGTTAAATTTTCTCAAATGCATCTTCAATTATGATGATTTTTTTGTTTTTAGACCAGTGCTATGGTGGATTAGGTGATTGATTTTCTGTTGCGAAACTAAACTTGCATCTCTGGGTTCAACCCTACGTGGTGCAATATATATATTATCCTTTTTCACTCCTGGTAGATTAGATTTACTAAAATTTTCTTCAGGATTTTTAGGTTTGTGTTCATGAGGGATATTGGTTTGTAGTTTTTTAATGTCTTTGCCGTGTTTTGGGTATCAGGGTAATGCTGCTGTCATAAAATGAGGGGTGGTGTTCTTTCACTTCTGTTTTCTGGGGATTTCATGTAGAATTGGTATGAGGCTCTGGCTCATGGTTAAAAACCTATGTGTGATGTTTCAGACCTGACCATAAATTACAGACTTTACCTAGGAGACCACATGGGTAAAAGCTTCCCTCCCCACACCAGACTTGGTATAATGCCAGTAGATTATAGTTTCTAAAGAGAACTGGGGTCAAGGACTCAGGGCCCCCTGTTAGTCATGCTCCTGTATCAGTATTTGCATTCAGAGTCCTGGCTCTTTCATTCCTAGGCCTCTTTATCTGAGGCCATGGGCCAAGGTCTTCTTCAGGCACCTCTGCCAAGGCTGTCTTATGCAAGAAGGAGTGGAAAAACCTTGACTTTTTTTTCCCACTGTGACTCACTACCCCGTAGTTTTCCGCCCTTAACCCCTTCCTTTGCACCCATGCCCTCGAGATCTGTCAAACTGCTAAAGCCTTTTTTTCTGAGTTTCTTCAACAGTGAAGCAACCCTCATGTCTGTGTGGATTCAGCTGACTCTTTACTAGTGAGTCTTCCTTGGGAAAGAATGGAACAGACAGAGTTGATGCTTTCCCTGGTTTTAGCCTCTTGTTTATCCCAATGCAATGCCTAAAGGCCTTACTCATTTTTGACTTGTTGCTTTGATCAGCTACTCCAGCACCTGATAGCTCCACTCTTTCTCCAAGCTCTTGGGAGATATTTTTTTCTTCCTTAAATATTTAGTAGATTATACCAGTAAGGCCATCTGGGCCTGGAGTTTTCTTTAATGAAAGGTTTTCACTGTTAATTCAGTTTCTTTAGTAGACATGAGCCTATTCAAGTTTATCTGTTTCTTCTGGAATGAGCACTGGTAGTTTACATCTTTCAAAGAATTTGTTCATTTCATCTAAATTGTCAGATTTATTGGCATAACGTGTTTATAGTTTTCCCTTATCCTTTTATTGTCCATAGGGTCTATAGTGACATCTGTCTTTCATTCTGGATATTGGTGTGTCTTCTTTTTTTCTGAGTATTCTGGCCAGAGGTTTGTCAGTTTTATTGCTCTTTTTGAAGAATGAATGGTTTGTTTTTCTCTATTCGATATCATTAATTTTTCTTTATTATTTTCTTTATTTTATTCTTTATTTTTCTAGTTTCTTAAAGTGATGGCTTACTTTTCCTTTTTTTTTTTTTTTTTTTTTAAGAAAAAGGGCCCTACTCTGTTGCTCAGGCTTGAGTGCAGTGGCACGATCATGGCTCACTGTAGTCTCAAACTCTTAGGCTCAAGCTATCCTCCCTGCTCAGCCTCTGGAGTAGTTGGGATTACAGGTGCATGCCACCATGTCTGGTTAATTTTTTATTTAATTTTTTCTAGAGATGGGGTCTCACTATGTTGCTCACACTGGTCTGAAACTCCTGGCCTCAAGTGATCCCTCTGCCTTGGCCTCCCAAAGTGCTGAGATTCCACACGTAAGCCACTGTGCCTGGCCAAGGTGATGGCTTTAAGCCATTGATTAGAGACGATTCCTTCCTTTCTAGTTTAAGCATATAATGTCATAATTTTCCTCAAACATCATTTCAGCTACATTATACAAATTTTGAAATGTTTGGTTTTCATTTTCTAATTTCCCTTGTGATTTCTTTATTGACCCTTGGCTTATTTAGAAGTGTATTTAACTCGCAGATACTGGAGATTTGCCAACCATCTTTTTGTTATTACTTTCTACTTTAATTTTGTTGTGATTAGAGAGCATACATTTTATTAATTTAAATTTATATTTTAATTTATAATATGTTCTGTTTTAGGGAATGCTGTGTGTGTACTTGAAAAAAATATGAAAGCTACCATTATTGGATGGAGTGTCCTATAAATGTCAGTTAGATTAGGTTGATCATGCTGTTCTAGTTTTTTATGTCCTTATTGATTTCCTCATTACTTGCTCTATCAATGGCTGGGAAAGTGTTAAAATCTCCCACTGCAATAATTTTTCTATTTCTCCTTTCATTCTACCAGTGTTTGCTTCATGTATTTTGAAGCTCTGTTATAGGTGTGTAAATGCTTTCGAGTATGTCCTAGATGTATTGATTTTGATATCCCTTTCTCTGTTACTATGTCTAATTCTGAATTCGACTTTAATGTTACTGCTATAGCGCTTCCAGCTTTCTCTTGGTTAGTCTTTTCATTGCATATCTTTTTCTATCCTTTTACTTTTAATCTATCTGAATATAGTCCTTATTTTGAAGGTGGGTTCCTTGTTAATACTGTTAGTTGGTTCTTTTTTCTTTTTAATCTAATTTGACAATCTCTGCCTTTTAATTGGAGGTTTTAGACATTTGCACTGAATGTTATTACCAATATAGTTGGGTTTAAACCTTCTATCTTGCTGTTTTCTGTTTGTTTCATTGATCCTTTGTTTCTTGTATTTTTGTTGTTGTTGCTTTCTTTTGGATTTAGTGTTTTTCATAATTCCATTTTACCTCCACTATTATAGGCTTATTAGCTATACTTCTTCATTTCAGTATTTTAGTGGTTGCTCTAGGATTTATAATAAATATCATTAATTGATTGTATCTTCAGATAATAGTATACTACTTCACATATAGTGTAAAAAAACCTTACAAGAGTATTCACTCTATAATACTTTGTTATTGATTTCGCTTTAAGTGATCAATTACTGTTTAAGGAAACTTTTTAAAGACCTGTCTTTCATCTTTATTCTTTTTTTTTTTTTTAAAGAAGCTGGAAGGGAATTTTATTCAATATTTTCTGAGTTTTAAAAAACTGCTGGCCACTCAAAATGGATCAACAGCAAAAATTGGCCTGTAATACTAGCTACTTGGTAGGTTGGGACAGGAGAATTGCTTGAGGGTAGGAGTTCAAGACCAGCCTGGACAGCATAATGAGACCCTGTCTCTAAAGAAATGTTTTTTGATTAGTTGGGTGTGGTGGTATATGCCTGTAGTCCAAGCTGCATGGGAGACCGAGGCAGGGGGATCACTTGAGGCCAGGAGGTCAAGGCAGCAGTGAGCTATGATTGTGCCACTGCACCCCAGCCTAGGCAGCAGAGCAAGAACCTGTCTGAGAAAAGAGAAAAAAAGAACAGAAAGAATTTAGAAGATTGATTCTAGTCTACTATTTTTCAAAGTGTAGTCTTGTTAACAATTCTAGAGCCCACCTAAACCTGCTGAATCAAACTTGGTAGTAAAACTGGGGAGATGGGCATATCCAACAGACCTTTCTGGCAGTTTTGATATCCAGGCATGCAGAGAGATGATGCTTACCTTGTGTTTTGTCATTATTTTCAGAATTCACTCCCCTCCCTTATCTTTTGTGTTAGTATTTATGGACACATGAACTCGAGGACAGGCATGATGCTGAGAACTAGGAGTTCTTCCCTGCCAGGGAGAGGGAGGCAGGTCTGTGGTTAGTTTTGCAGTTGGCTGTGATGACATCTGACACGCTGTCTTCACCTGTTGTCTTCTTCCTGTTCCTTTGTCAGGATTATGAAGAAGCTGTTTTCTTGCTGTTAGAAGGAGCTGCCTGGGAGGAAGCTTTGAGGCTGGTAAGAATCTTTTAAATCCTCCAGATGTTGCGTGCTAAGCAGAGAGAGCAAGCAAGAGATTCCAGGTCAGTTGGAGACGTTTGTCTTCTGAGTTCGTGAAATTAAGTAGAATTAGGTCAGGTTCCTGGCTTGAGGAATAGCAGTGTTTTTAAAACTATTTTTATCACCCTTGATAATGTTTTGGAATTAGTCCTCCACATTTGAAATATTACTGTTTGAGTTGAATTTCCTTGGCTGCCTTGTAGGAGGCCTATTTTTCAGGAAAATACTCTGATTGCCTCTGAAAGTAATCCATGTCTTTCTAAGTATCTTAACCCTCCAGTGACTAGAAGTTTTCCTGCCTAAAATTACTGTTTTTCCTTCTAGGTATACAAATATAATAGACTGGATATTATAGAAACCAACATAAAGCCTTCCATTTTAGAAGGTAAGGGTTCCATTTTAGATAGAATTCCTCATTTGGAAGTATAGAAAAGGGGAGGAGAGAGAGAGAGATGAGAGAGTCTCCTCCTATTAATATGTTTTTTTAATCATATGTCACGTAGACTCAATAAAAATTACCCACTGGATATAATATTTAATTCTCACTAGAATTTTTAAATATGCTGAATTATTAAGTGGTAACAAATAAAATATTTGAATGTTAGAAACCTGTGATAAAATATGATTAAGAATTTTTGTATTGGGAATAGTTGGTAAACTTGAATACGAGCTATATTAGATAAAATGTAACAATGATAAATTTCTGCCATTTAATAATCATGTTGTGGTTATGTAAAATAATATTCTATTATTCTTAAGAGATAAACGCTGACATATTTGGGAATGAAGGATCATATCTCTGCCTTACTCTCAAAAGGTTTCACAAAAGTAATAATGAATGTGTGCATGCATGCAGAGAAACAGGAAGCAAAAAATATGTCAAAAGGTTAATAACTGGTAAATCTAGGTGTAAGGTCTATGTGTGTTCATTGAACTATTACAACTTTTTTTTTTTTTAATTTTTTTATTGGATTATAGGTTTTGGGGTACATGTGCAGAGCATGCAAGACAGTTGCGTAGGTATACACATGGCAGTGTGCTTTGAACTATTACAACTTTTATGTAGGTTTCAACTTTTTCAAAGTATTTTTTAAAAATAACCTTCTCAAATGAAGTTTGTGGTTTTTAGAGAACATATGAATATTACCAGTTCTAGAATACTCAGATGGTCAATGTGACCCCTTAAAAGCAAAGTGTAGAAGAAAGACAAGAGTTTGACTTTACAGAACCTTAGGGAGTGGTTGATTTTGATTTTAAGCTCTGCTTTTTTTATGCAAGTCCACCCTATAAGTAACATCTGGCCTTTCTGACAATTTACAGGTATGCACATTCTTACATTGTCTGTCAATTAAAACGTTGCTGGGGTGCTTTTTGTGTCGTTCACTTTAGGTACCTCTAACTGGGTATTAAAAGTATCATTCCTCATGTATAATAATCTAACCAGCTGTTACTTGGATTGTAATCGCTGATGAGAACCTTTCTTAGAAAAATGCTGATAATTCCTCTGCATAGGCCCAAAACCTATTCATATGAAGAGTAGTATTTTGCTTTTTCAAAATATATTCTACTAGTGTCAGTTTTCTCTTGTGTATTTTTCCATTGGACAGTATTTTTCAGAAATCATTAGATACATTTATTCCACATCCATGGGCACTTCTTACTTTTGTTAACTGAGATACCAAGTCTTCGTTCAGGTGATTTCACACGTTGAGTGGTAGAGCATATTCTGGGATAATGTTGATGAACTCTAAGATGTGGACTATCAGTCTCTAGTTTGTTAATGCTTATTAATGAAAAAAAGCTCGCTTGGAAAACCTAGTAACCTCTTTCTTTTTGTTGAATTCTAACCTTCCTCCACTGCTCCCCACCTTTAGTCTTTTCTCTTTGCTTAAACATTATGCTCACACTATTTTTCATTCTGCATCTCAGCCCAGAAAAGTTATATGGCATTTCTGGACTCTCAGACAGCCACATTCAGTCGCTACAAGAAACATTTCTTGGTAGTTCGAAAGCTCAAGGAACAAGCCCAGCAGGCAGGTCTGGGTGAGTGTCTGCATGAAGACCATCGACACGTACGGGGAGCCGGGTAACGCCACACATTGTCTAAGTTGCTTGGTGTTCCTCCTGCATTCTGATTACTGTGCCGTGGGGAAGTGTGAGGCCTTTGTCAAGCCCCTTCAGGTCTATCTGTGTCTGTCTGTTGGTGAAGGGCAGGACCAAGCATGAATGGGAAGAGCTCTGCCAGACATTCCCACCGACCCCATTCAACCAGAGCAGCTGACCACTTCCATGTCTTCCAAAATGAGTTTCCTCATTTCCAGAAAACAGATAAAAGAAAAAAGTTCAGGAGACTACTCTTTACAGTAGTAATCACTATATTTAATATTATCTCATTCATTTTGACATCAACTTGGCAATAATTTTCATCCGTCCTTTGATATGCCACAATTGACTTTAGTTAATTTACCTCCCTGAAGATAAACCCACACATTAGCAGGCAGTGTTTTCATCTGCTTCTGGTTCTTCTTTTCTAGATGATGAGGTACCCCATGGCCAAGAGTCTGACCTCTTCTCTGAAACTAGCAGTGTTGTGAGTGGCAGTCAGATGAGTGGCAAATACTCCCATAGTAACTCCAGGATATCCGCGTACGTATCATGTTTATTCAGCACACTGACCATGCTCTGGGCACACAGGGAAAGTAGAAGCAAATAGGTTTGTTTTCTGCTAGGACAGTGTAGTGGGAGTGGGGAGAATATTCTTCAATGCTGGGCGGAAGTTGTTCAAAGACTTTCCCAGTGTATCTAAGAGTTTAAACTTGACATTGAAAGGTTTTTCCTCCTCAGCTTTACGGCCTGTGTGTTTTCCCATGTCCCATGAGGCAGTTCCTCCACTGAGTGCTCAGTTTATATTAACATCTGATTTTTACTTTTTTTTTTTTTTTTGAGATGGAGTGTCGCTCTTGTTACCCAGGCTGGAGTGCAATGGCGCCATCTCGGCTCACCGCAACCTCCGCTTCCTGGGTTCAGGCAATTCTCCTGCCTCAGCCTCCTGAGTAGCTGAGATTATAGGCACTCGCGACCATGCCCGGCTAATTTTTTGTATTTTTAGTAGAGATGGGGTTTTACCATGTTGACCAGGATGGTCTCTATTTGTTGATCTCATGATCCACCCACCTCAGCCTCCCAAAGTGCTGGGATTACAGGCTTGAGCCACCGCGCCCGGCCTGATTTTTACTCTTTGAACAAATGTTGTAACTAAAGTATAGGCACCGAAAAAGTGAAAAGGTCAGGCTTCTGTAATTCAAAATCAGGAAAAGACTGTAAATGTAAAATAAGTCATCACACTTTTACCTAATACAGTAATTTCAGAAATATTTATTGTACACCTATATGGTAGGTACAGTAGATGTTACCAAAAACTTACAAGGAGATAGAAATTATAAGAGCTTATATTCTTGCTTTGGGATATGTAAAACAATGCAAGATTATATATTTCAACTGAATTACACTTTCAGAATTTAAAATGGAGATCTGTGAAGTTGTGTCGGGTGATCGGAAACTACAGGAAAGTAGCCAGGCAAGGTAGCACATGCCTATAGTCCTAGCTACTTAGGAGGCTTAAAAATATCTGTAATTTCTAACAGGAGATCATCTAAGAATCGCCAAAAAGTGGAGCGAAAGAAGCACGGCCTCAAAGAAGGCAGTCTACTGGAGGACCTGGCCCTCCTGGAGGCACTGAGTGAAGTGGTGGAGAACACTGAAAACCAGAAAGGTATTTTTTCAGTCCTGCTGATGATTCCTGACCACATATAATAGTAAACAGGCAGCACAGACAGGCAGAGTTCATTCAGTAGATGATGAAGCTACAACTTTCCCAATATGAGGAAAGATGAGATCTTTTGGCCAGAAGTGTCATGTCAGCACACATTCCCAAAGCAGCCCTTCTTAGCTGGTAACTGAGAAGCCTTCCTCCATTTGGCATCCCCCAACTGAATTGTGACAGATGCTTAAACAAGGATAAAGGATTGTGGGACACTGTTGTCTGCTTGGGACCCAGTGTGCTTGATTTTCCTTTCATAGTACATGTGTTTAATTATTCCAGCATTTGGGAAGAAAAAAGATAATGTGGGAGATAATAGACTTTTTTTGCTTGGGAGAGAAGCTATAGTATGATTCTATCCATGGAGCTGGGACTGTAACTTACCACTCTTTCAAATTTCTTCTCTCTGGATGAAGTATACCATATTTTAAAGGTACTCTTTCTCTTTGAGTTTGATGAACAAGGAAGGGAATTACAGAAGGCCTTTGAAGATACGCTGCAGTTGATAGAAAGGTCAATTCCAGAAATTTGGACTCTTACCTACCAGCAGAATTCAGCTACCCCCGTAAGTCTTCTCAAAGACAGTGCGCATTTTTTCATCATTTTCATGGGTTATTATCACACAGTCCCCAAGTCAAAAAGTTTTCCTGTTCTTAAAACATAAGACGCCATAGTTAAATTATCTTAGATTTGTGTTGAAGCTGTCAGTAAAATTTCATATTGCCTGTAGAGTGATTAGTAAACCTTGGCATAAGTTAAATGGGCTATCATTTTCCTTTCTGGATGAAGCAGCTGTCATGGAGAAAATGGGAATGTCACGTGGTTGCTCCTGGCCTTCAGTGAGGTTGGAGTGGCGGGTGGTGGGGGGGGAGATGGGATCAGAGATAGCCTGTCACTTTCCATTTCAGAACTCATGGATAGGATCAGACTTTAAAGGGACTCCAGGCAAATGCTTTTCCTGTTGTTTTATGAAAAATTTGACTTGTCACTTCGCTGTTGTTATCATGGACTTTGCTAGTTGTGTTTAGGCTAAATCAGGTCTGTATTGCAGAATTCTAATGTATTGCCATCTGTTTACTTTTTATATCTCTGTTCACCCTCTTATACCTCAAGTCTATTGTTAAGAGTTTGATTTGAATTCACAAAGGCTGGTATATCAATCAAGATCCAGAAAGGAAAGCAAAAGTCGTACCTATGATTTTATCACAGAATTTAATATTTGGATTGGTTAAGTAAGTGTTAGAGGACTAAACAAGGCAAAAGGAAAATACAGAGGAAGGACGTTGAGATAGTAACTATAGGAAGCAGCTTTACCCCTCCAGCTGAGGGAACAGAAGGAGTTAGGGATTACTACATTTAGAATCCTGGAGGTAGGCCCTGCAGAGCTGGCTCTTGAACCTCTGAGAGGAGAGTGCCAGCCAGCTAGTCCTAGCATTTCTCAGGGGGCATGATGAGGCTGGTTCCGGGCATACAGAAGAAAATGGGAACTGGAAGGAACGGCTGCTGCTGGGGTAAAAGCCACTCAGTCAAAGAACAAATCTTTTGTTCTTCCTCCAGCCTTGTACTCCGCCTCTGCTGTTCACTGTAGGCAGGACATGATGGGAAGCCAGCAGCAAGGAGGAATGTCTTTCAGGTGCCCAGCCCCAGCGTCACAAGCAGTGGACAGAAGAGGGCGTTGGAGCTGAGAGATTACAAATCAGCTCACTGTTTAGAAACACATATGCTTATGGTGTCTTGATTTCCTCAGTTAGAAATAGCCATAAGACTTCCCTGTGTGCTTCAGTAGAATGTTTTGAAGATTAAATAAGAGAATGAATGTAAAAGCACTTTACAAATCATAGAAATAAAAGCAACTAGAAATCACGACCCCACAACTTCTTGAATTTATTATAATAGGTATTTCTTAGAAGAAATGTGATCATCATGTTCAAAACTGTAGTACTTTTGAAGATAATTATTTTTGGTTTTTGAGACAGAATCTCACTCTGTTGCTCAGGCTGAAGTACAGATCACCACTCACTGCAGCCTCAACCTCCTTGGGCTCAGGTGATCTTCCCCCACTTCTTGAGTAGCTGGGAATACTGGTGCATGCTATAATACCTGGCTAATTTTCAAATTTTCTTTAGAGACAGGGTGTCACTATGTTGCCCACAGTGTCTTGAATTCCTGGACTCAAGCTATCTGCCCACCTCAGCCTCCCAAAGTGCTGGGACTACAGGCATGAGCCACCGCACCTGGCTTGAAAATAGTAATTTATAATACCACCCCCATGCCATCCCCTCCCCTCCTCTCTTCTGATCACATGATCATATTAAGTTCTTTTTTTTTTTCTTGGTCTGTTACCCAGGCTAGAGTGCAGTGGTGGTATGATCAATCATGGCTTGCTGCAGTCTCAAATGCCTGGGCTAAAGCAGTCCTCCCACCTCAGCCCCTGCGTAATTGGAACCACAGGTGCACACCACCATGCCCAGCTAATTTTAAGGGTTTTTTTTTGTAGACAGGGGAGGGGGAGTCTTTCTGTGTTGCCCAGGTTGGTCTTGAACTCCTGACCTCAAGTGATCTGCCTTGACCTCCCAAAGTACTGAAGTTACAGGTGTGAGCCGCTATGCCTCCCACATTAAGTTCTAAGACATCAATTTTATGATTGTGGTTTTGTTCTGATTGGTGAAGTATGGTTGTAGTATGTGCAGAATACCATGACTGACTTCTCATGGAGTTGCTCTTGAGAGTGTACCACCAAGGGACTGCACTAAGCAGGGGTGTGTGCCCAGAGGCTCGCTGCAGACTTGAAATTCCTGTGAAGTCTCGTGTTTTACCTGGAGCACATGTGCAGAGTTTGCATTCCACTCCATAGTATGTACATATTTGTATTTGTTTCAACCTAAAGATGTTCATTTCCCATAACTCTTTGAGTATAATTGATTCTCTATGTATTTATAACCTCTTTTACTATTTCCCCTCTCCTCAAGGAGTGGCTTGCTCATTTGGAAAAGGCCAGGATATATCATTGTAGAGTTTCTTTTCTTCCCCCCGACCCCTCATCTTTACCTTGTTTTGGGGAAAAGAAGAACTAGAGGTCTGAGTTGCAACTGGCAAATTAAAATCACGTTGGGAAAGAGAGTTACTGTGTTTCACACCATACCAGTAGAAATGATAGGCTGTTTCCTGCTGGTAGGGATTTGGCCTTTGATATTGGCAGTCTTGAGAAGTATTAGATACTCTTTGCTGATACAGACTGTTTTCTCCTTAGGTTCTAGGTCCCAATTCTACTGCAAATAGTATCATGGCTTCTTAACAACAGAAGACTTCATTTCCTGTTCTTGGTTAGTATTTCTTCTCATTTAATATTACAATGCTAAGCAGAAGGAATATCTTTCTGTAAGTATTGAGAAGGTCAGCAGTATAAGGACAGATTGGATACAATTTTTAATTACAAAATTTGTCTACAAATTTTCCTCAGTTTTTAGACCTCTTCTTTAGTATGATCAGTTTCATGCTTCTAGCAGTGGGGGACCTGGTGCAGGAAAGTCCAAGATGACCATTGTATGTGTAATTTTAAAAGAATATACTGACAGTGGCACACACTTCCTCATAAAAGCACATCATGGTTCCAGTTTCAGTCTAAACCATCTACATTTACATATACATTGCCAGATTCTTCTGAAGCATCATTATTTACTATTGGCAGTTACACTTTGCATCTTGGGAATGTTTTCATAAACCTTGCTTATGAGTGGGACCTTTTTATTATGTTTAGGATTGGCATTATAATTTGAAGGCAAATCCAAAGAATATTAGCATTTTATCCATATTTCTTGTTTAGTTATGCATGAAATGTTTTATTTGTTGAAGGGCGAGATTCTTAGATTACTTACATCTCGAAAAGTTAAAAACCCTAAACGCTTTCTTTAGAAAGGTGTTTAGAAACATTTGATGGCTCAACGTGGCACTTTGAGTATTTGCCCTTACTTACAGTTAAATCAATCAAGCATCTTAGCTTTGAAAAGTTAGCGATAGTTTCTAAAATAATTGGCAGTTTCAACTGCTGTTATTTGCATTTCTAGCATATGACAGGCAGCTTTCTGAAGTTTTTTTCCACTGAAGTGCTACACTATAATAGCATTTTGATGACATTTGATGTAGCCTGTGGGGATTCAAATTAAGTTTGACTTGAACAGTTTGTGTTGCTACCAGAAAAGAACAGCTACCTTCCCTCCCAGCCAAACTCCGTCCAGACAGTAACTACTGCATTCCTAGCTCCTTTTCTGTGTGGAGAATGGCAAGGTATTTTCGGTATCAATTCCAACACATCCACTTACTCCTTTTTTTTCCTTAAATTTTTTATTTTTTAAAAAAACAGAGGGGGATCTTATTATGTTGCACAGGCTGGTCTCAAACTCTGGGCCTCAAGTGATCCTCCTGCCTCAGCCTTCCAAAGTGCTGGCATTACAGGCATGTGACCCCGTGCCTGACCCACTTATTTCTCAGATGCTAAGAATTTACATTAGACCTAAAGCCATTTGGTCATTGCTTATTTTGTGCTGTAGTCCTATCTGGTTGTAATTTCTACCCCCTCTGTTCCTTGTTGCTGGCCTGATGCTGACCTTCAGGTCAGGTCAGTCCCACCATTCCCTGGGGTATAGATGGCTTTCCCACTTCAAAGAGCACTTTCTTGTTTTCCAGCTGAACCTTAAAGACACTGTAATATTTGAGAGCCTCTCATTATCTGAGCATATATTATCATTATCCTTGTGGCTTCAAGGTTGTATAGGAAAGGGAAGTTCCTATAATTCAAAAATTGCCACTGATGAACTAATCACAAAATTTGTCCCACTCATATATTACTCAGTTGCCCCTCTTCCACTAACAGTAGTTAAGTGTAGTCACACATGCCCACAAGTGAAATCAATGACTGGATGGATCATTTTCTGATCGTGTCATGCTTTGATGCAATACAGTATCATGTAGATCAATTGCAAGTCTTACAGAAGTTTAGTATTACATAAAATAGATTAAAGTGACATTGGAAAAGTACTTGAATCACAGCTGAGCTGGACTTGTTGCAACTGGTGACAAAATAAGTGCTTCAAATGATTTTGACTATCAAAGGATTGAGAGAGGTCTTCAGAAACATTGAGAAGCCCTCAAGGTATTTTTATAAAAATGACGTTTTTTTGTGCTGTGAAATTCAAATACAGAAATGTGAAATATGTCCTGCTGTCATATAATTTGTCAGAATAATTACTTCCTTGCCCAAAAGTCCATACCTCATGTCTATTTCAAGTTAAGTCTGTAATCAAATATAGTTGTAGTTGTGCCTAATTTTAAAAAATGAGATAGAGCACATTATTTTCATAACTAGTTTTTTAAAGATAAAGTCTCATTCCAACGTAAGTACTACTTATGAAATTATGGACCTTGTTGACAGTGAATTTATTTAAGTAGCCTTTTTCTGGTATTGATAATCTTTATGGCACCATGTAGTGGCGAGAAATGTAAACAAAGATGTAGTATTAAATCATAACTGCGTAGAATTAACTGTAGTACATACTGCACTGCTGTAATAATTTTGTAGCTACCCCCTGTTGCTGTTGTGTTGGGTGTTGCTATTGTGTGTCACTAAGAGACAAATGGCAGAGTTTAACTGGTGTATGACCTTTAAGAAACACTCAACTGGTAAGGGAAGAACTCCTCAAGTGAGTGTGCCTACAACTCCAGTAAACACAGCACACATGCAGCCTCTTCCAAGTGCTGGCAGGCCACTGCACATGCAGATAGCCCCCCTCAAGAGAAGACTCGGGGTAGAAGAGATGCAACCCCCTGAAATGCCTTTCTTCTCCTTCATCTTCTGCCATGATTGTAAGTTTTCTGGGGCCTCCTCAGCCATGCAAAACTAGATTTGGATCTATGAAAATTACATGTAGGACTACCTTGATGAATGTGAGGACTTTTCCTTCAAAGAAGGCAAGATGAATTTGGAGAAGAAGCCCATCTCGAACTCCAAGACCCTTCCTCTAATCATTAAGTATTACCAGTATCTGCTTAAAATGCCATGTGACACTAATCATCTCCACGTGAGCAGCACCTGAGAGTCTCGAGTAATTGCATATGGCAGCAAAAAGTGATCTCTTGCATTTTTGTGTATTTTTTTATCGTGTTTAGTGTAATATCATAAACCTTAAATAACACCATGGGACCTATAGGAAGTACCACACATGATGCTCTCAGGAAGCAGAGAAAAGTTATAACATTACAAGACATTAGAAGAAAAAGTTGACTTGCTCGATATAAAGATTGAGGTCAGCAGCTGTGGTTGCCCACATTTCACAATAAATGAATCCAGTATAAGAACCATTATAAAAGAAAAGGAAATTCATGCAGCTGTCACTGCAGCTATGTCAGCAGGCATGAAAACCTTGTACTTGTTGCAAAATACCTTTTTATCTTTGATTGAAAATGCAGCTTTTATGTGGGTGCAGGATTGTTGTGGGAAAGGCATACCTATAAAACTAATATGATTCCAGAAAAAGCAGTCATTGTATGAGAACTTAAAGCAAGGAGGTGAAAGATCTAAAGCTGGAGAATTTAATGCCAGCAAAGGATGGTTTGATAATTTTAGAAAGAGGTCTGGCTCTATATATGTCAACATAACAGGAAAAGCAGCTCCTGCCAACCCAGAGGCAGCAGCAAAGGCAGTTGGGTTTTTGATCAGGACTGCCCTTACCTATAAAGCTGATAACCCCTGAACCTGGAAGGGAAAAGATTAATACAAGCTGCCAGGCTTTTGTTGTACAGTACAGCAAGAAGGCCTGGACAAGGAGAACACTTTTTCTGGATTGGTTCCATTGTTGATTTGTCCCTGAAATTAAGAAGTATCTTGCCAGTAAGGGAACTGCCTTTTAAAGTTCTTTTGAACCTATCTACAGTAACAATGGAGAAGTAAAAAAAAAAAAAAATTAAAATTAAAAATAAAAATAAATAAAGATCTTTTGATAGTGGAGAATGCCTCAGGCCACCCCAAACCCCATGAGTTCAACCCCGAAGACGTTGAATTGATCTACTTGCCCCTAAACACAGCATCTCTAGTTGAGCCTCTAGATGAGGGGATCATAAGGACTTTTAGGGCTCATTACAAACAATACTCTTTGGAAAGGGTTATCAAATGTCTTGGACCCTGATAGAACATGAAAGTCTGGAAGAATTACACCATCAAAGATGCCACCATCATTATAGAAAAAGCTGTGAAAGCCATCAAGCCCAAGACAATAAATTCCTACTAGAGAAAATTGTGTCCAGATTGCATGGCTTCATAGGATTTACCACAGCTAGTCAAGGAAATTATGAAAGAGATTGTGAATCTGGAAAAAAAAAAAAAGGGTGCATGAAGTATTTCCAGATAGGGATCTTGGAGAAATTCAAGAGGTGATTGACACCACACCAGAGGGATTAACAGAAGATGACTTGATGGCGATGAGTGCTTCCAAACCAGTGCCAGACGATGAGGAAGATGACATAGAGGAAGCAGTGCCGCAAAATAGATTGACATACGTTCTGAAGGTTCCAGTCGTTCAAGACTGCCTTTGGCTTCTTTTACGACATGGAAGCTTCTATGATATGGGCACTAAAACTGAAAGAAACCGTGGAAGGATTGGTACCTTAGAGAAATGAAAGAGCAAAAACATCACAAATTATGGTGTATTTCTGTAAAGTTGGTGACACTGAGTGTGCCCACCTTTCTTGCCTCCTCTTTAACCTCCCCTGCCTGTTTCATCTCTACCACCCCCGAGTCAGCAAGACCAACCCCTCCACTTCTTCCTCTTCCACCTCAGCCTACTCAATGTGAAGAACACAAAGATCAAGACCTTTATGATGACCTACTTCCACTTAATAAATAGTAAATATTGATTTCTTTATAATTTTCTTAGTATTTTTTCTAGCTTTATTGTAGGAATGTAGTATATAGTACGTATAACAGAAAACATTTGTTAATTGACTTTTTATGTTGCCAATATGGCTATCAGACAACAGTTAGCTAACAGTACTTGAGTTTTGGAGATACAAAAGTTAAGCATGGGGCCGGGTGTGGTGGCTCACACTTGTAATCCCAGCACTTTGGGAGGCTGAGGTGGGCAGAACGAGACCAGGAGTTTTGAGACCAGCCTGGGCAGCATGGTGAAACCTCGTCTCTACAAAAATTAGCCAGATATGGTGGTGCACACTTGTAATCCCAGCTACGTGGGAGACTGAGACAGGAGAATCACTTGACCCCGGGAGGTTGGGACTGCAGTGAGCCATGATCATGCCACTGTACTCCAACCTGGGCAATAGAACGAGACCCTGACTCAAAAAAAGAAAGAAAAAGAAAGGTATGTGTAGATTTTTGACTGTGCAGTGGGAGTCCACACCAATAATCCCACCCACATTTAAGGATCAACTGTAATTTTTAATGTCTGTATGGCTCATATGTACAGATTTACTCCTGGAAGTTTATCATAAATAATGCTGAAAAAAGAAAATCCTTATATATATCCATAAATTCTCATATCTCTTCTTCCTGTATATGATTCCTGGTTAGAAAAGAAACTTAACAAATAGAAGTGAAAGAGTACCTGGGAGTTTTAGGTTACAATGACAGAATCTTTTCCTAACCCTCTCTCTCCATTTACTTTTTTTTTAAGCAGGGGCATCTTTATTGATCAACATGTTTATCAAAGTTTCATCATAAAGTAGTTTCTTTCCATTAACTTCACTTAACTGAATATGTGCTACGACATTTTGCTATTCCGTGAAAATTAAGATAGACTTTACATATAGTGAAATGCAGAGATTTCAGATGTACAATTTAATGAGTTTTGATAAATGTATACAGCCACGTAACTGCTGCCACTGCCCCTCCCCTATCCCTCCCCTCAGTTTGAAATACAGAACATTCTTCCACTTTGAATCACTGGGTGAGCATGCCTGAGGTTGCATTGCAGTCCCTCCTCTCAGGTCAGGGCCTCCAGGCTGTGTTTGCTCTGACCTGGAGGTTGCAGGGGTAGTAGACACATGGACTCGGGCTCTGATGGTTTTGTTGCTGCAAACCCCACCTGCTTTGTTTGTTTAGTTTAGAGTTACTGCCTCAGCTCCCACCAAGAGTATGTCTGTCACAATTTCCCTTCCTTTCTTACTTTTAGATGGTGAGCTTTTTATACCACCAAAGATCAACAAAAGAATTCAGTGGAAGCTGAGCCTGCTAGACTGAGTGACCGCAGTTAGGAGGGCTCTGACAGAGAAGACCATTTCCATTCATTCCTGTTGTCGTATCACCACTTGCTCTTTGATGCCTGGGTACTGAGAACTGGAAAGAGTAAGATGATAACTTACCTTAGCATTGCCAAGAGCTGCTATGTGCACCAGGCAGACAGCAAGCGATTCTATTTATTTTATTTTGTGTATACATCTTGATCATTAGCAAGACATTAAGCTTGCTGATGTCTTGATTAACCAGTATAGCATCATTTTGTGAGAATTACTGTTCTTTCAGTTGGGCTGTTTGAGAGCATAATTATGGTAATCATGAAACTGGGTTTCCTTCCCAGCTACAGGTCTGATTCATATTGGGACCTTGGACAAGTCATAGTAATTGATTTGTGCCTCTGTTCTTGATCGATTAATTGGAAATAATGTTTCATGGTTTCTACTTCAAAAGTGTGAAGACAAGTAATGTTTCTAAATTGTCTTTTTTTATTGGAGGAGAAGATTACAATGGCTATTATTGCTATATTTGGTCAAATGTAATCACTTAAATGGTTTCTTGTCACCTTAAACTAAAGCAGAATAAAAAGTATCCTTTGAAATTGTAAGCCCTCTTTTGCTGACAGCTGTTATTTTGTAACACCTTACCAGGTCATGTGCTTTCAGTTATAACTGGGCTGAGCCTCCTATAATTACAGTGCCTATAGGGACTGTTTTACTGCCTGTGTATTTTCTGTTAGAGAATTAGCAGTGTTAGAGCTTGAACAGATTAGAACTTCTAAACAGTATCATGCACGTTTGGTGTGAGTGATCAGTGTGCATTGTATGGCATGCATGGTCGTGAATTCTTCTCTGTTCTCCACATGCTGCTTTCTTTAACTCAAATATTTTTGTTAGTCTAGGTCACTTCATTTATTTTTCTTTCTGGTGCTTACCTGTCTTTATACAGTTCTCCACCCCCCCAACCCCCCCAAAAAACTGTCTCAAAATGAGAATATTTTATTTTTATGGTGAGTCTAGAAAACTCCCGGTTCATTCTGATAACAGTTGTGTGGCTAATCCTTGGGTAAGGTTAAAAATTCTTCCATGTTTTAAATATCAGAACCAGACCTTCCTTACTATATCTTAGTCCATTTGTGTCTCTGTAATAACAACTAGCTTTCAAAGGAACTAATGAGTGAAAACTCACTCATTACCATGAGGATGGCACCAAGCCATTCACGTAGGATCTGCCCCTGTGACCAAAACACCTCCCATTAGGCCCTACTTCAAAAACATTGGGGATCACATTTCAACATGAGGTTTAGGGAAACAAATGCCCAAACTATAGCACTGTACATAAACTAACAGGAAATGCTACTTTTGATCCTCAAATAATTGATACAGCCCAAATTGTAATTTTAGAAGCCTTTCACAGTGTAGCAAGATGTTAACTATAGAATCAGTCTGGGGGTATTCACTGTGTAATATAACTTTTCTGTATGTTCAAACATTTTCATAAAATAATAGGATTTTTTTTAAAAGAAGATATACTTTGGAGAAAGCTACTTTTTGACTTATACTCCTAATAGATTTGTTATAATTAAGTGCCCAATTTTGAAAGGCTGCAAGTACTTTGTAACAACTCATTGGCATAAGTAAATAAGCATGGTAACTTATATGGCATTTAAATATATTATAGTGCTCTTGCTTTGGGTAATTGTAATGGGACTCATGCTGATAGACTGGAAATAGAAGTAAATGTGTCTATTGATAATGGTGTGAATTTTGATGGACATTCAGTTTCCTTAAATAATGTATTGAAGCAGCAAGAAATAATTTGTTTGAATGCAAATTACTATTAATTACTGTTTCTCTCATCTGAGCAGGATTGGATTTTGTTCATTTTTAGAAGAAGCAGGCAGGAGGAGACCTTCCAAATTGAGGCAAAGCCAAGAAGAATTCATGGGGGAAAAGGGAATGTATGAGAAAAGGAGAAAACTCCTCTGCGTGATGAATGGTTCATTTTGGGGAAAGATTCTGTCAAGGTTTAGAAAAGAGTACATAAATTTGGACTCTATCCCAAAGCAAGTTCATGCTGCAGTAAGCTAAAACCTTCACTCTTCTCATTCCATTGAGTCAGATAGCTTTGCTCAGATGCTCTAAACTTCAGCGGGAACTTGCAAAAGACAGTCTTCTTTAGTCAAAGTCCATTTTAAATTAATGCTTTGTAAAAAACTGAGGCCAGGCACAGTGGCTCACGCCTGTAACCCCAGCACTTTGGGAGGCTGAGGTGGGTGGATCATGAGGTCAGGAGTTTGAGACCAGCCTGGCCAACATGGCGAAACCCTGTTTCTACTAAAAACATACACACACAAAATAGCGGGACATGGTGGCAGGCACCTATTATCCTAGCTACTTAGGAGGCTGAGACAGGAGAATCGTTTGAAACCAGGAAGGCAGAGGTTGCAGTGATTCAAGATCATGCTACTGCACTGTAGCCTGGGCAACAAGAGTGAGACTTGTCTAAAAAAAAAAAAAAAAAAAACTGAGCCGGAGCAATTTTAATTTTTTTTAGTATGCTGTTATGGGTGTAGCTTGGTATAACTTCTTAGCCCTGCTGCATATTTTAAATTTAATTATATATGCATATATGTGCATATACATTTGAGAGATTTGTCATAGCAATAATTGAAAAGGGTGTTTTTAAAAATAAGTAAAACTGACAATGCTTAGTAACTTAAGGTGACTGCAAATTTGAGAAGCAAAATTAGATTTGTTCCTCCTCTTCTGTTGGTTATTATACTTCCATATCCTCTAGAAGCACCACCTGGGCAAGCCCTTAGGAGTCTTTGGCTGTTCTCTCTTGTCTGTCATATTTATTAGTAAATGGGTGAGAATAAACACCTTAGGAGCTAGGTAGCTGTAAATATTCACGAGGTCATAGATAAGACAAGGCTAATTTGGTAACGTTTAGCGGTGCCAAAGGCCTGCTTTGGATTCACGTGTTCCCATGTTCTCTGTGCCTGAGCCCTTGCCTGTGCCTGCAGTGGCTGCTCCACCTCTATTATTGGCTCTAAAGTCCCAGAACCTTTAAGAACAACAGTTCTCCTGGTATAAAGGAAAGAACAAGGCTTTGGGCCACGTGTCCAACCATCTTAGCATTCTTGGACAAAGTTAATCTCACTGAGCCTTGCTTTCCTTCAGTCTTGTGTGTGCCCATCAAGCTAATCAGAGTTTCTCAGTGGCACTGTTAACATATTGGTTCATATAATTCTTTCTTTGGGTGTTGGGAGGTGCTGCCCTGCATATCATAAGATTTTTAACAAATTCCCTAGCCTCTTACCCCTAGATGCTAGTAGTACACACTCCCACTCCTGTGATGAGAACAACAAATATCTTTAGATATTGCTAAATGTCCCCTACAGGCCAAAGTGGCCCCCACTTGAGAACTGCCATGTTAACTTCCAAATACTTAGTAAAACTATCTTTTTTTAAGAGGAGATTCTCTTTTTCTACTAGGGCATACTTGTGAGAATCAAGTGAGAAAATTCGTAAAGTGCTTTGAAAAAGATTGCAGAGTTGCTCAGCCTTCAATTGATATTTTTTTGTTTAAAAATGAACATTGAGGCCCAGGAACATCTGGAGACATCCATTCTCCAGAACCACCTCCCAATCCTCCTCTTCATTAAGACCCTTTCCCTTTTAGGGATCTTTGATGTGGGGTTCATATACCCCTAAGGGATCGGTAGATGGAGCATATTTCTATATAATAGGTTTCCTCTGTAATCATGCATTTTATTTTATGCATTTTAAAACATGATTCTAAGAAGAGGTTCATGGGTTTACTACCCTGCCAAAGAGGTCCAAAGGGTAAGAAGTAATCAGACTTCAACTTGCCCCTCAGTGAATGATCATGGAGTGTTGACAGTAGAGCAGTTTGGGCAGAAACGGAGGTAAAGATATCCCTCTCTCTCAGGTCAGTGTACCCAACTCCTGATTCCTTGGCAGTCCATCATGAGGCTTAGTCATCCTTGCTGAACCATAGGATCCTCACATGCCCCTCTGTGGCTCTCTCTCTGCTGGTGCCAGCCAGATATGCTTACTCACCAGACCTGGATCCAGGGTTAGGCACTTTAAGCCTTTCAAGGCTATCTAGGCAAACCTGGAATCTGTGAGGGTGGCTCTGAAGGGCTTCTCCTTGGAGATGGTGGAGGTGCCAGCAGAACGTGCCTTTGAGTGCCTGTGTGGCTAAGGACTATAGTAAGAGACTCGCCTTCTGTATAAGAGGTGGAAACCCAAAGATACTAGCTAGCTATTGTGAGCACCTCCAGGAGTCTAGATACTGGCATTCAAACGTTTTTCACTGTTTTTAAAATGAGCTGTGTGAGGTAGACATTCATACCCAGTTTTGCCAGCAAGCAAACAAACTCAAGTCACACAGCTTGGGGGTAGCAAAATAGTGTTTCATACCCCAGAGTCCAGAGCCCATGTTCTGTTCACAATTGTATGCACCCACTAGTGTTGATTCTGAACTTTAAAGACAGGACAGAGAGTTTATTGGGGGCTGTTCTAAAGAATCTCCAATTTAAAGTGCTCATATACAGACTCCCCATGCAGGAACACCATAGAGCTGGCTGGGCCCTGGAAGCGCTTCCCTGGCTACTAAGAGTCTCTGTATTCCTTTGGACTCCCACTCCCCAGTTAGATTAGAATGACCCACATAGGGCAGCCTCCCATAGACCCACACCATCAGCCCCAGAACCAGCAGCCTCTATCCTGAGCACATCCCACACTCCAACTGTGTGTGTTATAGGCTAATGGAGAATCCAGTTGGCTGGGAGATGAAGTGTCTAGAGAATGACTGTGGCTTCAATCCATAACCTCTGGTGATAACCCAAGATAAACCTTACTTCAGTTTTTAAAAAGGGAAATCTGTAATCCCAGCACTTTGGGAGGCCAAGGTGGGCAGATCACGAGGTCAAGAGGTCGAGACCATCCTGGCCAACATGGTGAAACCCCATGTGTACTAAAAAATACAAAAATTAGCTGGGTGTGGTGGCACGTGCCTATAGTCCCAGCTACTTGGGAGGCTGAGGCAGAAGAATTGCTTGAAAGCAAGACTCTGTCTCAAAATAAAAAAAGAAAGGGGAAATCTGTATAGCACTTGTTCTCTGAAGAGTTGCCCTTTCAGGCACCTGCATATGCCTTGCTTGTAATATGCTAGGCTTCAGCAGCCCATCACTGTGTTGGCTTAGTAAGAACTGGTATTGAGACATAAATGGACTGTTGGAACTAAAAGAAACTCCTGTTTAAACAGGACTCAGACAGCTTTGCCAGCTCTTTCCAAGCGCTCAGGGTTGCTGATGAAGTGTGAAATGGACACTGATGCTTTGTAGGAGATTGCCCTGTTACAGCATATTTCCTGTTGGCATTTATGGAAAGGGAACTGCTTATATGCCCCAACAGCATTTACCCTGTAATCTTCATTGCACTCCCCCTTCCAAGCAGAGTTTAACCATAAAGTAGTTCCGAAAGTGGGGAATGCACAAAATAAGGGGCAGCATAATTTTAGAGCAGATGAATGTTTAAGCATTCCACATACAATGCATGTCCTTTTTTGTTCATCCTCCCCCTACTCTTGCTTTTGTTTTGGGAAATGTATATTTTAAGGCAGATGCTGCATGTGCGAAGTTGTTCTTACTAGGTCAGGAAGCAGAGAAACACACTGCGGAGGGGCATGTGAGGAGTGTTTAATGCTATAGGAATAAGCCCCGGCTCCACCCACTTTGTGTAGGAGCATGCTCGCCCAACCAAGGGCATGCACTGCCAGTGCAGCAGCCATGCTCTTTGCCGTTCAGAAGCACCTTCTGTAGAGGAAGAAAGGCCCATGTTCCTCGTACTCAAAGCGGCGGACCCACAGTGGTTGGAAACCCTGAAGTGAGGCCAGGATGGAGCCACCAGTCCACACGGCACTGTCTCTCTCAGGCAACACATTTACCTGTGGGCTGTCATTGGGACACATGCTGCTTAGCTCCTTCTGCAGGCGGTTAGGGAAGCCACTGAGCATTGTGCTGCCCCCACAGAGCAGGATGTTCCCCATAAGGTCCCGTTTGAGGGCGACGTCACACTTGTTAAGGCAGGACACAGTCTGGGTGTGGAGGCCCAGCTGCATGGACTTGATGAGATACGGCTTGAAGAACATCTCTGAGCAGAGGAACCTTTCCTGGCCCAGGTGAATCTCCTTTCCATCCGGTAGCATGTAGTGCATCGTATGCTCACTGAGAGGGACTTTCTTCTCTTCAGTGGGATCCAGGGCCACAAAGCAGCATTTCTTCTTGATGTCCTCCACGATGCCTATCTGGTCCTGGGTGAATTCATTCCCTGCACTGTTCAGCAGGCCCAGCAGGTAGGCTGTCAGGTCAGAGCCCGCGTAGTCTAGTCTTCCGGTGATGCTGGGCAAAGGGTAACCCTCATAGATGGGGACCACACAGGACACGCCATGGCCAACCTCCACCACTAGGCCGGAGGTTCTTCCATAGGAGTACATGGACAGGCGGGACTGATAGGCAATGTGCATTGCAGGGGTGTTGAAGGCTTCAAACAGCATTTCTGCGTACTTTTCTCTGTTGGTGTGTGGGCTCAGCGGTGGGTCTGAAACCAAGACTGCATGCTCCTCCGGGGCAATCTTCATCTCTTGTCGGAAGAGATATTCCCAGATATCCTGCACTGTATCCCAGTCCACGATGATGCCATGTCGCAGAGGATTAACTAGCTTGAGATTAACATTTGTGTTGTTGAGTTCCTGCCCCACGAATGTCTCCTTGCGATTATCCCCAGTCATAGCGGTCTCCATGTAGGGCTTGCCCACTGTTGTGGAGATCTCGTGGGTGGGTCTTGGCAGTCCGGCAAAGCCACATTTACAATAGCCAGTGCCCAGGTCCACAACCACTGCTTTGGTCACCACCTTCTTGGGCCTCTCTGTGGCTGCCTTTGATTCAGTAGGTTCTTGTGGCTCTGAACCATGGCCAACCCACACGGCCTGCTTCACCGGGCCATCCCTTAAGGAGGCAGTCTGGAGGGCCTGTGTCTGCCCGGCGGCCTGGTTACCGACCGTCTTGGCAGGCCCATCCCGTATGAGTGCTGCCGGTGGAGCCCACATGTTGTCAAGAACCGTACCACTCTCAGAAAGTTCCTCAATCTCCCTGGATTCAAGGCTGAAAGGCCTAAATCAGAGAATGCCATGAGAGTTTTCCCAACAATGACATCACTAATTATGATGTAATCTGATGACCTGGCTTTTCTAGATACTGGAAACCTTTATCCTGTGTTAAGGTACATTGGGATGTTGTTTTTGAAATGGCTCCCCTTTTTCTAAATTTTCTAACAAGCCTGATTTACTCAGTTAATTAATATAGAGTGCCTGCTATATAAAAGGCAGCTGGGAATTTGGTGGTGAAAAAAATAGACAAAAATCTATTCTAGTTGGTCGTTATTGCTCACAGGCAATAACCAAAATGAGCGTTAAGAGCAAAAGCAGGGTGGCAGTGCTAGTGTGGTCTGAGCAGGGCTTCCTGAGAGGGTGGTGTTTGAATGAAGACCTGCAGGAGGAAGGGAGAGAGCCATGTGGATGTCTGGGAGCAGCAGAGAACTGGAGGCAGATGTGTGACAAGAGTTAGAGCAGGGGTCAGCAGGCTGCAGTCCAATCCAGTCCCTGGCTTGTTGGATATTACCTTATTGGAACACAGCCACACTCATTCATTTGCCTATGAATGGCCATGACAGCCATGGCTGCCTTTGCAGTACAACAGTAGAGCTGAGTCATGCCACTGAAGACAGTATTGCCCAAAAAACTGAATGAAAGTAGATACTGACCCTTAAAAGTTTGCCGACCTCCTGAGTTAGAAGAGGAGCAAGAATACAGTTGTGGCTGGCATGGAAGGAGTAAGGAAAAGCAGAAGAGGTCAGATTAGTAAGGAGTGGGGGAAGGCGAGCAGCTCATGGTAGGCCTCATAGGCCAATGTGAGGACCATAGATAAGGTCAGAAAGCACTAGAGGATTTGGCTCAGAGCACTGACACCATCTGATGTAGATGTTAGTGGGATCCTTTGCTGCTCTGGTGACTATGTCAAGGGCACTAAGGGTGACACTTAAAACACCTTAAGAGGAATTATTTTTGGATATATATTTGTACACTTACTGTGCCTTCATCAGGGTCATTGGGTAGGCAGTGAAATTAGACCCTACAAAGTCCCACTGACAACATTAAGGCTCGTAGGTGCATAGCTCACCTAAAGATACCCAATCAGGAGTAGCCAAGCTCTCCTGACTGCGGCTTCCTCCCCAGAATGTGCTGGGACACAGCTTGATGGGACCTAGCCTGCATCTCTTAGGCTGCTTGGCCACCATCTGTCATGCCGTTTCCGAAGCTGGACACATTGATGTGGATGCCTGCCACACTCAGGGGAGAATCCAACCTTATGTTATACCACACCTTGAACCTGATCCCAGCCCTTCATAAAAGAGCAGTCACCACAATTAGGGGCTTTCTCCTTTAGAGAGGCTACAGGGGTGCTCTCAGTTCCTTGTTGGGTATAAAAAAAGTAAAGGACCAAGTCCAGTCTCATGAGGTTTGTGACTGTCTGATGGGGGCAGCGAGGTGTCATCCCAAGGACAAAAATCTCAGTTTCTTGGTTAGTGGATGAGATAATGGCATGGAATTTTGAAGGAAAAACAGGAAAGTACTTTTGATGCCTGGTTGCCTGAAAAATAGTGTAATCGCCTCTGCTGTTCAGGTATTTGCATGGCCAACTCAGATTGTTTGACTTTGTTTCAAAAGTTGTGTCTATGGTAACCAAAGGCATATGTAATTTAGAGTCCTCTATTTCTTTCTCCCCAAACTTCTACTTGAATTTTGAGAAATCTGTAGCTGCTTGGTACCTTTTCATTAACCTGGACTCTAGAGGAGCCTAGATTAGCTTCCTGTTTCTGCTATAACAAATTACCATGGATTTAGTGACTTAAAACAACTCACAGCTGTTATCTTACTATTTTGGAGGTCAGAAGTTTACAATTCTTAGTGGGCTACAATTAAGGTTCTTTCAGGGCTGTGCTCCCTCTGGAAGTATAGGAACAATACTTCCCCTTGCCTTCTCCAGCTCCTAGAGGCCACCTGTGTTTCTTGGCTCACAGTCACTTCCTCTACCTTGAAAGACCTTCTCAGACTACAGCTACCATTGCCACATCTATCTCGCTGCCCTTGACCCTCCTGTGCCCCCCATATAAGGATTACATTGGCCCCACTCACACAGTACAGGATAATCTCCCCATCTCAAATTCCTTCATTTAATCACATCCACAGAATCCCTTTTGGTATGAAAGTTAACACATTCACAGGTCCCAGGGATTAAGATGTGGACACCTTTGGAGAACCCTTTCGCCTGACCTGTGCCTTCCACTTCCAAGCCTGACAGACTCTGACTCATTTGCTCTTCCTGGGCTGCCCTGCCCTGCCCATCTGTCATCTGTCATTGCCCTTTCCGCATTTGTGTGCTATTTTAAAGAGAGCAGGGGTATGAGCTGGAGTGGTGGGGTGGGTAGTTTGGTGAGAGAGATGGTTACAGCTGATTAGAACTGGTGGGAAAGTTGTTTACCAAAACTAGAGGCAAGGAGGTTCAATGAACTAGGAAATTAAACTTTAAAATGGAGAATTAAAGAAAAAGAGAGCTGAAGATACTGACACACTGATTCTTTGAAGAAAAACTTTGAGTTCACTATATCTAACACCTAATCTGACTTTTTAATTTTTGGACTGGGAATGGCAGCTTAAGTTGGAGGTCCCTATGGCACTCTAGTGAATTTGTCCTTTCTGGATAATAGGCCATCTTTCTTTGCTTGGGCACAGGTCCTTACCTTACCCAAGGCATTCATCCTTCCCTCTGCCTCACATCCCACATCACAAGAGTCCATCAGGGAAAGCCTCAAATGCCAGAGTAAGAGCTCGGATTGAAGTGAGGGATGCTTGGGGAAACAACAGATAGGGTTCTCTTCTACTTTCTAAACTTCTCTAGAACCAGCCTCTTCCTCTCTTCCACACTCTCACAGCCCTAGGTCATGCTCCCTTCAAGTCTTATCAGAATTTCTCCAATGACCTCGTTTCAGGTCTCAGCTTCTAGTCTAGCTTCTCCCACCCATTCTCTACATTACAGCCAAATGCAGATCTTTCTAACATTTTTCTAGAGGGCAAATCGGATCATCTCCCTGCCTAAAGTCGTCACAGGTTCGCTGGCTCTCCTCAATGTAGTCTAAACCTGCTTCTGGCATTTGATGCCCTCCCTGTTTGGCTCTCTGACTTCTCTAGCTTCATCTGTTTTTCCTGACACTTTCACTGTGTCAAGTTGTGCCTCTGCCTGGGACGTCTTCCCCTCCTCTTAACTACTTCACAAATACCTACACCTCTTCCAGGGTTCACCTTGAGCATCACCTCCTCTCTCTAGAGCAACTTCTGACTCCCTGTATCAAATGAGTTCTCAAGTAGACTTCTTCCTGCAAACCCATCTGCATCTATTCCATATTCTTACCCAGACTGGGCACTACTGGTGGCCTGGGTTTTTATCATCTATCACTGGTAGGCTGCGCCAGGCAGAACCTACTACATACCCCAGTAAATGCTGAAAGAAGGGAGGAAAATTTTGTTTGCTTAAAAATTGATAACTGATTTTGTTGTTTCTTTAATGGGAACATTGCATTGTAAATTCTTTTCCTGTTGTTGTTTGAAGACAAATGGTGAGAATATTACAGTGCAACTGCAGAATACAAGTTTGATTGAACTAATCTAATTTACCTTAATACACTCCTCATTTGGGAGAATTTATTTAGCTGGTAATTTGATTTAGGTGGAGAGGCACTTTAATTGGTGTTGATTACTGTGGGATTTTTATGTGCAGTACGATGCACTGTTGAGTTACAGCAACACATGACATAAAATTGGGTAATTTTAAGCCGGTGGATATTTTTATCCCAACTACAATAGAATTTGCTGAAGCATGCTTATTAACTGAAACTGTTTTCTAGGTTGGATATTATTTGGAAAATCCTTGGGACTATGTCAAAAACAATTGGAAATTTGGAAGAGCTAGCAGACCAAAACAAACAAAAAAATTAATTTCTTAGGACTGTGGTGGTGATGTGTTGTGGCTTCCGTTCACCCCACTACCTGAATTGCAGCAGTGCTGGGAATCATTACTCTGCAGTGAATGGGAATTTTTGGTTTAGAGTTTAACATATTTTCCTGGTCTTTCTCCTAGCGACTGACACAGAAATATGAAATAATAAACTGATTCCAAAAAAAGCACCTATGTTAACCATTTGGGAGTAAAAACAGATGACAGTGTAAAGGCAAATGATGAATTTATCAAAGAGAATGAAGGAACAGATAGCATATGTATGCAGGAACACAGAGCTTTAAAATATCAGAAAGATGAGGAAAGGACAGAGATACCAAGTGAAGTAGAGAGTTTCTACGTTTGTCATCTGCTCTTGCATGTCCCATGTTCCCTTATGTAATAAATCTCTAATGGATGCCCTACTGTCACGGAATGTTTATATGATCAGCTTATGAGAATACAAAGGAACTAAATAATGGACAGTTAACATTCTGGAAAAACAATTTATTATCTTGCTAGGAGCTGGTTTCTCATTGCATTTAGAATAAAATTCAAACAGCTATATCACCTTCCAGGCCTGATATATCCGGCCCCTGCAAACTGACCTTCACATCTTCCCACTGCCATCCTCATTCTTCAAGCTCTAGCTACACTAGCTTTCTTTCATCTTTGGACTTTCTTAACTGGTTCCTTCTGCAAGGCCTTTGCACTGCTACACTCTTTCTCTGGAATGCTTTTCCTTGGCTGAATTTTTCTATGCAATTCACATCTTAGTTCAATTTTAATCTCCCCCAAGAGATTTCCCATCCTTTCTAAAGCAGTCCATGCCCTTCCCTATCCCTAGGTCCCTCTATCACATTAACTAGTTAAATTTCCTTCAAACCTCTTGAAATTCCCTTATTTATTCCTTTGAGTTTTTTTCTACTTCAACTTCCCCATAGAACATGAGCTCAGGGGTCTTCTGTTTCATTCATTGCTACATCCCCAACATCGAATAGAACATGACACATAGTGAGCAATGAATGATTGAGAAAGAGTAAAGGACTCACAGTGGAACTGCCTACGAACAAAAGGAATACTGGACAAAAAGAAATGGACTAGGAAAGAAAATCAGGAAGAAGAGGAAGAAGAATGGGGTCTAGATACTGAGAATTAGTTATAGTGTACAATTTTAGTCCTATTAAAAGTTTTCTATATGCATTCCAAGCAGAGGGAATGGTAAGTGTTAAGAGGAAGTCTTTCCATCACCACATAAAGCTATTTTTTTTACTTTGTTATTGTAGTGGTTCTGTTTTCAGCATGTGTGTTGGGGGAGGGTGGGTGTGAGGGATCCCTGTGTTTCTCTCAGGGGAAAGCTGGGTTTTCTCCCCCAGGCTGCAGGTGGTGCTGCATCTTAGTGTTACCGATGGAGCACTAGACAGGAGTACCGCCCATGGCAGCTCTGCAGCTTATTGTTACCGATGGAGCACTAGACAGGAATACCGCCCATGGCAGCTCTGCATCTTAGTGTTACCGATGGAGCACTAGACAGGAATACCGCCCATGGCAGCTCTGCATCTTAGTGTTACCGATGGAGCACTAGACAGGAATACCGCCCATGGCAGCTCTGCGGCTTAGTGTTACCGATGGAGCACTAGACAGGAATACCGCCCATGGCAGCTCTGCGGCTTAGTGTTACCGATGGAGCACTAGACAGGAGTACCGCCCATGGCAGCTCTGCGGCTTATTGTTACCGATGGAGCACTAGACAGGAATACCGCCCATGGCAGCTCTGCGGCTTATTGTTACCGATGGAGCACTAGACAGGAATACCGCCCATGGCAGCTCTGCGGCTTATTGTTACCGATGGAGCACTAGACAGGAATACCGCCCATGGCAGCTCTGCATCTTAGTGTTACCGATGGAGCACTAGACAGGAGTACCGCCCATGGCAGCTCTGCAGCTTAGTGTTACCGATGGAGCACTAGACAGGAGTACCGCCCATGGCAGCTCTGCAGCTTAGTGTTACCGATGGAGCACTAGACAGGAGTACCGCCCATGGCAGCTCTGCAGCTTATTGTTACCGATGGAGCACTAGACAGGAGTACCGCCCATGGCAGCTCTGCAGCTTAGTGTTACCGATGGAGCACTAGACAGGAGTACCGCCCATGGCAGCTCTGCATCTTAAGTGTTACCGATGGAGCACTAGACAGGAGTACCGCCCATGGCAGCTCTGCAGCTTATTGTTACTGATGGAGCACTAGACAGGAGTACCGCCCATGGCAGCTCTGCAGCTTAGTGTTACCGATGGAGCACTAGACAGGAGTACCGCCCATGGCAGCTCTGCGGCTTATTGTTACCGATGGAGCACTAGACAGGAATACCGCCCATGGCAGCTCTGCGGCTTATTGTTACCGATGGAGCACTAGACAGGAATACCGCCCATGGCAGCTCTGCGGCTTATTGTTACCGATGGAGCACTAGACAGGAATACCGCCCATGGCAGCTCTGCGGCTTAGTGTTACCGATGGAGCACTAGACAGGAATACCGCCCATGGCAGCTCTGTGGCTTATTGTTACCGATGGAGCACTAGACAGGAATACCGCCCATGGCAGCTCTGCGGCTTATTGTTACCGATGGAGCACTAGACAGGAATACCACCCATGGCAGCTCTGCAGCTTATTGTAAGACTTTTAGGCCAAGAGGCAGGAAAGAGTAAAGGAATGATCACCACACTGTACCAGGGGTATACCGATGAGAGGTAAGATGATCTGGGAGGTAGGGGTGACCCCCAATTTGTTTTTATCCAGAAAAAGATGGATAAATGCTCTGGCATTGCTGTGGCCCAGGGATCTGTGGCCACGGTTGCTTGTGCAGGCAGTAGCCAATACTTTTGAATGGCTACTTTGGGAATACAAAACTATGTGTGTGGGGGCAGAGAACCCATAGTATTTGTCACATCAGAAAAATGCATTCATGAAAGACAGAGAATGATAAAAATCTTCTCAGAAAGCCTTAGCAAAATGGGTGCTTTTATTTTCACAGACATGTCTATGCAAATACACTCAGTTACAAGAGAGAGCTTCTTAAGCCTGATCATAACTTAAAAGCTGAAAGGAGAGTGAGCCTGTTAAGAGACCTCCACCCTTCTGGTAACCTGTGTCCCTTGATAGGGGAAGGATATCTTAGTTCTCCCTAGCTCCTTGCTTAGGATTAAATGAGAGACTTCAGCTTTGGTGTAAAGCTGTCAGCTGCCCTAATCAAGGACAATACACAAAAATTAGACTCCTTATAAGAATAAGGTATGAAATGAAGGAAGATCTAGAAGTGGGTGGGAACAAAAGAGCAGAACTGAGCCTACATCTGCAGAAAATGTTCAAGGACAACAGATCCTAATTCAGCTCAATTGGGAAAAAGCATGTTAGTGTGTAGGTAGAGATAGTGGACAGGAAGGATGGCCTTAGCCTTCTGCAATGGAGAAGTCAGGGGAGGGGATATCTGCATGCAATAGACAAATGAATTAGAGCAGAAATGTAGACCAGCAGTGCTTCCCTATCTTGGGCCTGGCTAGCTTAAAGTGGCTCCACTGTCATTGGTCAAAAAACCTTCATGAGGAGATCCAATCATTAATGCAACAAACTCCAATAAGTTCTAAGTTGGATATGGTTCAGTTCTAAAGCTTGGGGCGGACAGGTCACTGAGAGAGGAGGAATGAAGTAGCGGTATTCGAACATTGTAATAAGTCATCTAGGAGCTCTGATCACTTTGGACATTGCTGGGGGATACATCACAGCTTACTATAACACTACAACACATACTTATATCTGTTTGTTCCCCCAAACTAATATGACAATAGGTTTCTGCCATCTTAGCTTACAGAGATTACTTAGTCCAGGTTATACTCAGATTTTACAAAAGAGACTTTGACCACATAAATATTTATAAAATAAATGTGGTTAAGGAAAAAGTGCAGGGGCTTGAAGTCAGAAGAGTTCTGTTCCCATTCTGGCTATGCTGCTGTTCAGCTTTGTGACCTGGAGAACAGTTTAGCATCTCTGGGTCTCAATTTGTTCCTCTGTAGAGCACGGGTAATCAACCCTTATGTAATCCCTCAGTGGTCTTGAGTGGGTCTCAAGATGGAAGCTCACTGTGGAAATTTAAAAGCAATCTGTGGCATTGAAACAAACTGGACAATTGCTTGAACTCTAATAACATTATCCATCCTTATTAAGGAACTTGCCGGTCACTAGTCTGATAAGTACTGTCGAAGACACTTCTTTGTAACTTTTGAGAAAAGTAATTTTCAGACTCTGGTCTTAGAATAAGCTCACGAGGAGTCTCATTTTCAAACTGGAGATCATTTCCAGTTTGAATGAACAATCCTTATTTTTGGCTTGGCTGAAAGTGGGGGTAGGTGAAAGCTGAGCTGCACATCCCTCAGAGGTCACAATGAAAAGTCAGTCTTTATGCACTACCTCATACTTAAACAACATCACCAGGATCTTTTTTCTGAAATAAACTTGGGTTGTATATGCTTATCATAGGAGAGAAAAGTTTGCCAAATGTCTTCTATGAACTAAGCACTTGCTAGGCATTTTATATATATTCTATCATTTAATCCTCAAGGCAATTTTAACAAGTAACTATTACTGTCCTCACTTTACAGGTAAAGAAATTGAGACCCAGAGTGATTATATGACGTGTCCAAGGTGGTCATGTCATTAGGGCATGGCAGAGATATGAAATCAAAGTTTAGGTCTTCTGACTTGAGTCCATGCTTTTTTTTCCTATAACATCATGCTATCTAGAAGAAATAGAAATGAGGGTAAGCAGTTAGCCAGCAAAGTCAGGAAAGACGATGTGCTGCTAGTAAAGAGCTCTCCCATACTACATCATTCTGAAATGTCCAGTTTTCAAAGAGTCAGAGTAGTACACAAATATTCAATATTAAATCACTACTCAACATAAGCACTCTGACTTTGATGGTTCAGAAGCTCTTCCAGATCTTGTCATGCCTTCATGTTCTCACTAACAATATTAATTATCAATGTACTACAGACATATAGGAAAAGAAAATGCCAGGTAACGGAAAAGCCAGATCACCTGCCTCCAAGATGCTGGGCACTGCACGGCTTTTATCAGTTTTTATTACACCACATCAAGGAAACAAATGGAATCTATCCACATGGTCCTGCCTCACTGGGCGTATATTCTAAGCATACATCCATTTTCATACCTAATGAGAAAGAACTCAATTCCAAAGGATCTCACCTTTCACACAATTCTACCCTTCAGATCCTTAAACAGTCATATCACTGTGCACAAGATTTTTGGCAGTCACAAGCTCTATCACAAAGAAAAGCTTAAAAACAAAAGGAGAATATAACCAGTGTTCAAAGGCACCCTCACTGGGTGGGTCAGACTGCATGAGGCAGTGTGGCTGTGTGGAGGGAGAGGTCCGGACCTGTGGCAAACTGCTGCTCCTGCCAGGAGGCTACCAAAGCCAAGGCTCTTGACTTACCGATGGTCCTCAGCTGCCCCAGTGCCTATATCTCTAGCAACAGTAAACAGTGAAATACCTGCAGGCAACCATGTCTAAATAAAGAGATCAATATTCGAATCTTCAAGAAGTGGCTGACTTCAGAAAGGCATTTCTTGGCACCCTAGAGGAGACTGGGATGAAAGTTGTACCGGAGACTGGAGAAGAGCCCGATGTGTTTCACGAGGTTCGGCTCCACTACATAGGCCCTCTCTCCCTTGGCCCTCAACAGCGAGTACAGTGCCATGTCCTTGCCAAAACCCTTGTGGCAGTATACTTGGGACAGGTAGGTGAGGGTCCGGCGGGCCGCAGGGGCAGGGAAGAGCATGGCTGGGGTGCAACACTGAGAGGCAGGAACCACGCTGTACAGGGAAGGACTCAGCCGCCGCAGTTCCAGGAAATAGTGCCGACCCACCAGCTCCACCAGACCCATGCTATACAGGGAGAAGAAGAGCACTACAGGCCAGCTAAACCCTGGGCGGCTGGCAAACCTCATGTATATCCAGGTTAGTAAGGGCCCCAGCAACATGCCCACACCAACCCACTCCAGGATCCGCATGGGCTCTGGGTTGATGTAGTGCTGGAGCCTCTCGGGGTGATAGAGCTTCAGATAAAGGGCATCTCTGAGATGTGGCTCAGAGAAGCGAGCCCGCAGAAGGTGCTCCAAGACTGGGAAGATCTGCTCTTCCGGAACAGCATCGTCTTCTACCATCAGGACATAGTCTGGGTTGTAGGTCTGCAGGGATGACTCCAGGCAATAGACGTAGTCCTGCTTCTCTTTCTCAAATGAGTTGGTCGAAGGGTCATCACCATAATCATCCTCAGTGCCCTCATAGCGATTGGCCACAGGGACATACTTGGAGAGCAACTTGGCATCCAAATGGCTCACACTACGCTCCACGTTGCACAGGAAGAGCTGGTGCCCCTCACACTGGGGACCACATTGCTGAAGAAGCCGGTGGAACTGGGACACCACCTGCAAGACATAGTGGAAGCCAGGCTGCCTGTCCACAGTGATGATGGTGATCACCAGCCAGGGCCGGGGGGTGGCCTGCCAGACAATGGGCACGGAGCCATTGGCAGAGGGAAGCTCCTCAAAATAGTGGAGGGCAGCTTCGCCCTCTTTCAAGCTTTGCTGAAGGAACTCTTGGCTCATTTGGTTCAGATGCCAATGGCGCAGATAGAAGTAAGAGTGTAGAAGTCGGTGACAGGCCAGGGGGGCCAGCAGGCCAAATGTCACCACCGTTAGGATGAAGAGCTGGACAGCGGTGCTGCCCCAGGAGAGTCGCCGCAGCCTCCGGAGGAGCATGGCAGCTCGAGAGGTTGAAGTGTTCATGAGGTCAACTTTTGTTCATGTCTGGTCCCAAGAAAAAACCATCCTGGAACTCAGGCCAGAGTCATCAGAAGTCAAACCTAAAGAGAGAAGAAATAGGTAATGGTAAGGATAACTTAAAAACAAAAAAAGAGGCCAAAAACTGAACTCAGTACATATCAAAGCAGAAATTATAATTCAAGGTTCTGTAGCTTCTGGAGACTTTATTTTCTGAATTAAACTGTTCTTTGGTTGTGTCTGCTAACAACCTATGTGATGCTTTTACTATTTCCATGAGTAACAAGATCTCAGTGCATCCAACCAAGTCTCCATGCCTAAAGATACTTAGTTAGGTTTACAATGTGCCAGAAAATCTCCAGGTAGGCTGTTAGGATCACTACTTCTATTCGTCAGCTACACAGACAATGGGTTCTTAAAACAGAGGCAAAAAAGCAAGGCTTGGCACAAAGGAAATACACACGTTTAGAGCAAGTTCCAGTGTAAGGGCCAAGTATATACTTGTTGATTAATTGTGCATATAGCAATTACCAAAAAAACTGTCCAGCAAGAGACCCTGAAATATCTTTGTTACTTAATGTCATTTTCCATTCATATGTCTCTAATCTCACCAACTATACTTAAAATCGCATATTAATTTAATCCTGCTTGTTCTTTCATTTTATTTTTATAGATCATGGGAGCCAATGCGAGGAAGTATCTCCCATAAGCAAGCAAACTCTAGAGCTTGCTTGGAAGGGGAGGAAACATCTGGAGGAAGTTCCAAGAGTAGCTTTTCAATGAGGGAGGGAAGAGGCAGGCAGAGTTAAAGATGGAAGAGATAGTTTCCCCCAGTTTGGTCCAGGAAACAATGCTGTGTGATGTAATGGTGCAGAGCATGGCCTGAGGCCAGGTTCATGTTGCTGTGAATCCTGGCTCTGCCTCTCACTTGGTGGGAAGACAGTTTACCTCTCGGTATCTTAGATTTCTCAGCTCTAAAATGAAAATAACAATACCTGTCTTGTAGGGTTACTGTGAATATTAAACGTGTTAAGAAGCAAAATAATGCAGAACAAAAATGTCATTAAAATCTATCCATATGTTCAAACTCATAAAAATATTTTAGGAGTTAGTAGGTCTAATGTTCTGATGGAAAACACACTAGTGCCAAAATAAAAAATAAAAAACAAAAGCAGAATTAAAAGGACAAAGCCAGCACACAGTAATTGCTAGTAAGGTCAATGCAAAACTAAATGGTGTCTGCAGTATAGAAAGTAAAACTGTTACCTCAGAAGCATAATAAGGTTTACACAGATTTGTGAGTTATCGCAAAGGGAAGATTGCCCAGGAACTATACGAGGCTGCTGTGGAGCAGACTCAGTCAGTGCTCTCAAATCCATGTCCTCTCCTTGGGCACACAGAAAGACTTCATTTCTTAGTTTGCCTCCTCCAGGTAGAGTCATGTGACTAGGGCTTGTCAGCAAAGTGACAGGTGTGACACCTGGGACAAGGTGACACCTGAGAACAGATATGCTATCTCGACTTTTTCTTTCCCCATCTGTCAGCTGAATGGAGAGCCCTGGTGGATCTAGAGGAGGGTGGAGCCACCAGACGGCAGAAACCTGGGTCCTTGAATCCTGTACATACATATCCCAGTGTTGGGACTGCATGGAACAGAGGTCCCTCCCACTGCCCACCTCCCAGTACCCTCCCAAACTAGAGTGGACTGTGTTGTGGGCAATGCGTAAACCACTGTGTCTAGACACCAATAATTTTTGGACTTTATTACAGCAGTTAGCCTACTCTGCCCTCTACAGTTGTGTAGAATACCAAATGTCTATAGCACAATGACATGGTAATTTCTCAAGTAGAGAAACAAGTTCCATTTCAGCCACAGAAGCAGATTGTACTATGGGACCCAAAGGTGAGAACTAAGAGATCTAGATAGTACCCAAAGAGGGAACAAAGCAGGGAGAGGTTTGAATAGTATGCAACCCCAGTCTTGCTGGTTTGTGAATATCCAGGGTATTGCAGACTGGTTGCTTCTTCCTCTACTCTGCTCAGGGCAATGTTGTTAAAAAATAAGGTGGTTGCACATCTATGTGGCCTCACCAGTTTCTCACTACTAATGGAAGCCAATACTAGAACTGGGCCAAGCTCACACTCCTGCATTATTGGCCTTGGAAAAGGAGGCATTCAAGTGGCTTTCTGCTCACACTATTATCCCTGCCTTTGCTGTTACCACAGGGAAGCTGGATCAATGTAGAGGAGGGAACTAGAGTCAATGAGATAGGGCAGGCATCTTGGAAAATGCCAGGTGAATAGTAAGGGCCATAATGTACTATGATATGGCAGGGGGGAAAGAAATGAAAACACCTAGTACAGACATAAAGAGGACCTTTGGGCCCAGGCAGTTTATCCTACTGGGGGCAGTAAAATCATTAACATCTTGCATAGTCCTTTCCTTTAAAACTATATCTGTGAGACTGCTGTTCTACTGATAATCAGGAAAAGAGAGGGATTCGGTTCAGAGGCCACATGGTCCCTGCCTGTATTAATCAGCTTTGCTGGGGTGATTAACAGCCTCAGATCTTCATAACTTAAAGTAATAACATGTATTTCTTGCATATGGGTTTGTAGATAGCTGTGGCTCCGTTGAGGTCAGCTCCAGAATGTAGGCCAGAATTAGTTCATGCCACAGGCCCCTCCTTCTAGATCAAGCTGCAGAAGAAACAGCCACCTGGGGCGTGTTCTTAGGTTGCCTGGAAGCTGCACAAGAGGCTGAGTCAAAACATGCAAATACATTTACATTCTTGTTCCAGTGTGCCACAAATCAAGTCCACTCATCGTGCCTTGGCCAAAGCAATGGTACAGGAAGATTTACTCCTCCCGCAGAGCAGGAGGGGAAAGTGAAGATTCACTAGAAAAGAAAAGCAACAGGCCAGTTTCTTAATCCTCAGGAGAAAGCATCTAGCAATTTGCTCAGAGAGTATGGACTTTTTTTCGAATGCTCACAGGGCTTAAGACCCAGCCCTAAACCCCAATCGTTAACATTGAGCGAATAAGAACAGGCTTCAGTAATGATCCCAAAAATCTCAGTGGCTTATGAGAACTAAGGTTGAATTCTTGCTTATATTACTTGTCCATTGTAGGTCAATTGTGCCTCTGTTGCCTGTTGTCTGTATTCTAGGACCCAGGCAGATAGAACTGTTTTTTTTGTTGTTGTTTGTTTTAACACTGCTGGTTTTGTGGTAGAGGGAAAAAAGAGAAATAGTTCACCACAAGCTGGTTCTCAAAGCCACTGCTCAAAAGTGACACAGGTCACTTCCATCCACATTTCACTGACTGGAACAAGTCACATAATAACTCAAGTTCAACAGTAGAGTTATGTCATTTTCCTGCAAGAAGGGAGTGCCAAAAGATACATGGCCACACCTGAAGCCAATGAAGGCCTGAAGAAATTGCCCCCAGGGAGGGGCAGAAAATATTCTGAACAATAATGTAATCTACCACACCCACCCAGCACACAGTAGCTGGGATCAGATCCTTCATCCAAGATTAGATGACTGCTTTTCTCAAAATCCAACCACATTGAGTTATATAGTCATTCAAGAATATGTTCTTGTTTACTTTTTAAAAAATATTTTCTTAAAAAATGTAACCAGTTGCTGCACAGTAGGCTGTGGTGTCCAATGCCACCTATAATTTATTTCACCTTACTGATCTGGTTTTAAGAAGAATGGCCAGATGGATGCGGTAGCTGAAGCCCGTAACCTCAGCACTTTAGGAGGCTGAGGCGGGGAATGATTGGCTGAGGCCTAGGAGTTTGAGACCAGCCTGGGCAACATGGCAAAACCCAGTCTCAACAAAAGATACAAAAGTTAGCCAGGCGTGGTAGCATGTACATGTAGTCCTGGCTACTCAGGAGGCTGAGGCAGGAGGATCACCTGAGTCCTGGCAGGTCGAGGCTGCAGTGAGCTGTGATTGCACCACTGCACTCCAGCCTGAGTGACAGAGAAAAACCCTGTCTCAAAAATAAATAAATAAATAAAATAAAACAAAAAGATAAATGGCCTTAGGGGAACAGATATAAAAACAGGATTTTTCACCACTAGTTTGGTGAAGGAGATTTTTACTCCCAGTCCAATCGTAAGGGTGAGATTGGACTGTGTTACTATTCTGATTGTGTTTTTCCAGAATTCCAGTTGCGCATGATGCCACAGGCTGACGCCCACACTCCAGAGACACTGTGGACTGATTGGCACCTTGGTGCTGACCTAATAACAATTGCACCATTACAGCTCCGATTCTACAGAACAATGCATACCAGTTCTTACCTATGCCTTGCATATGCTCTTTGGAACACAACTCTTCCCTAAACAGAATTCTCTACCTGTTACCATGTCTAGAGTACAGGGCTCAGGGAAGACAGCAAAGGACACAGACTCCGGGAAATGAACATGAACTAGGGCTTAGATGAATAAACGTAGCGACAACTCAACAGTTACATTTTAGTGCAACTTCTGAAAATTAAACTAAAGGATCCACAGGGTGTGGGAGACAAAATAACAGGGTGTGAGTCAGGAGATGAGTGCTCAAGAATGTTCTTTGTTTCCCAAATCCACTATATGAATGGCACCACCACTTCCCAGGCACCTCAGTCTAAAACACTGGTTAGTTCTAACTCCTCACCTTCGTGCAGTCACTTTCTAATCCGACCTCTTTAATTATGCCTCTCTTTGCCCGCTGCCTTCTCCTTGTCAAGCCTTCCTCCCTGCCACACTCTAGTGTCTCCTCAGACCCTCCAAGCCTGCTGATTGCAACAGGCTCCTAACAGAGCTTCTGAACTCCAGAATGAGCAACACAAGCCAAAAGATCTGGGTCCAGTTCTCGTCCCAGCACTCACTAATTTGATCAATTTGTATAAAAAATAATTTATATTTCTGAGCCTATTTTATTTCTCTGCAACATAGGAAAATAAAAGATATCTCATTTATAGTGGCATTGTGAAGATGAAGGGGCAATGGCTAGGATAGCCCTTTGTCAGGCAGAGGAGACTGCAAATGATGGTGATGTTTTACCTAATCAGCAGCCATATGATACTCTGAACATGGAATTCTTTTCTGTAAAACTATTCAATCATTCTCCCATGACTGTAGAATAAAGTCCAAATTATTTGCCAAGATTCTTCACAATCCAGTTCTAACTATCTTCCCAGCCACATTTCTGCTCCTCACACTGTCTAACTCAACAATCAAGGATAAGCTCAAAAGGTACCCCTTCCAAAAGCCAACCCTGATCTCTTCAACCAGAAATAATCTCTTTTTTCCCCTCAAGTACTGGGTCCCTTTCTATGAACTTTTCCTCCAGGGCATTCATCTGTGACTTTCTTCTTCAGACTCTATAGAGTATCTATAAATATTCAGTATCTATTTATAGCTGCCACTTATTAAGGCCATACTATATATCCCACTGTTGTGCTAGACCCTTGCATCTACTTCTTCTGAACAAAACAGCAACTCTCAAATAGCAATGGGATTAATCCCATTTAGTTGAAAAAACTGATGCTATCAATTTGTCAGCAGAAAATTCAAGCACAAGGATAAATTTCAAAGTTCATGTTTTCCCATGATGCCTGCTGTCTTCCAAGGCCTTGTTTATGGCTCTTGACTTATAATCCCATTGGACTTTTACATCCCTTTTTAGTAGATTCAGTCTGATTTATCTTTGGTATCCCTCACAGACCCAGCGCAAAACTATGCATAGAAGACACACAAGGCCGGGCGCGGTGGCTCACGCCTGTAATCCCAGCACTTTGGGAGGCTGAGGTGGGTGGATCACGAGGTCAAGAGATCGAGACCATCCCGGTCAACTTGGTGAAACCCCGTCTCTACTAAAAATACAAAAAATTAGCTGGGCATGGTGGCGCGTGCCTGTAATCCCAGCTACTCAGGAGGCTGAGGCAGGAGAAGTGCCTGAACCCAGGAGGCGGAGGTTGCAGTGAGCCAAGATCGCGCCATTGCACTCCAGCCTGGGTAACAAGAGCGAAACTCCGTCTCAAAAAAAAAAAAGACACACAATGCTTTTTGAGCAAATAAATGGCCTCTTTTGACCTCTATAGGTCTCAGGTCTTCAGTTATAAAATTGGTGGTATCAAAGAGCTGGTCTGATATACTGTGTAGAGATCAACTTATTTGTAAATGTTTGCTGAGCGCTTATGTGCCAGACACTGTTCTAAGCACCTCATCTATTGATCCTCATAAAAAGCCTATGAGAAGTATGACTATTAAGCCCATGTTATACTTTTAAAAACTAAGCTTTTAAGCAGAGCGGCAAAACTTGAACCCAGGCAGACTGTGTCCAGAACCCCTGTTCTCAACCAATATGCACTACTGCCTGCACAAATTTGGAACCCAGGGAAATCAACTGAAAAACCATTAGAGATGGCAATAGATTTTTCAAAACATGGTTGCTACCAGAATATGTAAAAATAATATATAATATACGTAGCAAGTATAATACACTATATAAGCATTACATATCTATATCTATATTATAATATGATTGCTTTCATGTAAACAATTATCAATGAATTAATGGAATAAAAGATCCCAGTCAAAAGGGAAAAAATAAATAACAAAAATATCTAGAAATAAATTTCAGAAATATGCAGAATATACATACATATTACAAAATTCCACCAAAGGGTATTTAAAAAGTCATATAAACAGAAAAATAATGCTCAGGTGAAAAGACTTGGTAATAGAGATCCCTTTCTCCATAATTAATCTGTATATTTAACATCTGAATTTGATTTACTTCAAGAGAGAGTGGCACAATTCAACAACTAGGCACCTGCATATAAATTGGTGCAATCTTTGGAGGAAATGTTGGGGCAGTATCTACAAAAATTTTGTATGTGCATCCTCTTTGACATAGCAATCCTACTTCTAGGAATGTACTCTGCAGAAATGCCAACACATGCTACCAAAGATGGATAAGAAATGTTCACTGCTGTTTTGTTGGTAGTAGAAAGAAAAAGACAGAAAGGGGGAAAGGCATGGAGGGAGAGAGGGAAGAAAGGAAGGAAGGAAGAAAATGAAAAGGAAAGAAGAAAGAAAGAGAGGAAGAGGGTAGGAGGGAGGAAGGAAGAAAGGAAGAACTGCAGGCAAATGAAGTGCCTCGCAAAGGGAACAGATTTTTAGATAATCATAAAAGAGTATGCCGTGGACACATTAAGAAGAGAAAGGTTTAAATATGTTGACATAAAAGAAATCTTAGCTAGGTTTGTGCTATACACTGAATGTTTGTCCTCCTCCTCCCCAGCCAAAATTTGTGTTATAAACCCTAATCTCCAATGCGATGGTTTTTGGAGATGGGGTCTTTGGAAGGTAATCAGGTTATGACGGTGCAGCCCTCAGGAATGCATGCTCTTTATTATCATCCTTATAAGAAAAGACAGAAGAGATCACTTCCTTTCTCTGCACTCTGATATGTAAAAAAGGAAGAGGGCCCTCACCAAAACCTGACCACGCTGGTACCCTGATCTGGAACCTGCAGCTTCCAGAATTCTGAGGAATGTGTCTGGTTTAAGCCACCTAGTCAGTAGGAATGAGTTACAGCAGGCCAAGTAGACAAAGATGAGAAGGGAGAAATGCAAACGCTATCAGTGCAAATTACAGAAAGATGTACAGAGCTCTGACCATTTTATTTTTAATGTGGAGTATAATTTACTAAAGAAGAAATGAAGGGTATGGGGATTGTGATACCCTGTTTTTTGCCAGCTAAAACTAACTCTCCTTTCCCTAAAAGCTGTTCAGGCTGTATGTTAGCCTTTTTGAACTGAACAGACTCCATCTTGGCTTCTTCATTTTAGTAACCTTCTCCCCATTAAGTATGTAACTATAGTATAAAGCAAGGTCAGATTGACTCTGGGCACCCAGGAATGCCTTTGTTGATAAGAGGCTGAGTATCAGCAGAGCCTGAAAATGCAGCTGCAGTGAGTGCCCAAAGCCCACCTTATGTAAGTTGTACGTCTTTCATGACAGCTGTACTCCTCACACCCGGCACTGTTTAATTTCTTATATATCAGTTTTTTTTTTTTTTAACTTTTTGCTTACTCTGCCTTTGGGAAATGTTTGTTTCTGCTAGGTTCTCCCCTTCCTGTTAAAACTAGTGTATAAAAGACCACCTAACTTTTTCTTCGGGGCCGGGAGAATTTTGGGCATTAGCCACTCTCGGTCGCCAGCTTAATAAAGGACTCATAATTCATTCTCAGAGTGTGGCGTGTTCCTTGACTCGCTCGGGTACAACATTATGATAATTTCCTGTTTTGCTTTCTACACTTCTGCAAAGAGTATTTCTTTTATAATCATAATTAAGTATTTGATTCAACACTGAGTCTTGCGTTAGACACTGGGAAGGTGAACATGACAGGGCATCTGTTAAGTCCATTTTTTTATTTATGATTTAGGTTGCCATAGCTACAATAAATTAAATTACATATGTATATATATATCTGTTTGTGGATTTTGGTATCTCTCGCTCTCTGCACTGTGGTGCCGGTGCCACGTTATTTTCATTATGAAAGCTTTATAACAGCTTTTAATGTCTGACGAGGCAGATTCTCTCTCATTATTCAGCATCATAATTTTCTAGCCCTTTAAAAAAATCAATTTTATTGAGGTACAGTTTACATACAATACAATGCACTGCTTAAATATACATTTTGATGAGTTTTGTCAAATTTATATGCCCATAACTAATCCAAATAAAAAATGGATCAAAGTATCCAAAAGATCATTTGGAATTAGGACTAGTAAAAATTAACATAAAATATTCACATGTGACGAAGAATTAAACTTTGTCATACACATAAAATATGTAATACACATAAAGTGCTTAAAAATCAAGAAGAGAAAGATACTCCAATTGAAAAATGGGCAAAATAATTAACAGTCAACTCACCTACAGAAATGCAAAAGGCTACTGCACAGAGGATAAAGTGTCAATTCCTATGGATAATCAAAGACATGCAAATTAAGACAAGATACCATTTTTGGTCCATATTTTTTGTTTAAAACTTCAAATGTATATACACAAAGAAAATTTTAAGATATGCAGACAATCTAAACCATCTAGAAGTTTAAGTTATTTATATTTTATTTCCCTTTTATTTTCTCCTTTGGATTTTTGTTTCTTGGATGTTTTCTAATAAGCGTTATCCTTACAACATTCTAATAATTCTAATAATGTTAGTTTTCTCTTCTCTTCTCATAAAGTATGCAGTGCAGTGAATTCTAGAAATCCACCCCTTTAAAAAAACTATTTCTCCTTAGAAGGATTAGTTTTCTTGGAGAAGCACACACATGCACACAGACACACACCTGCATGTGTTGCTAATGGTCCGCATGGTGAGATCATCATTGGAGCCGCCCTGTGGTTGCCGGGAGAGAGCGTGGGCCGAGCGAGGGATGCGGGTCACAACGACCCTGCACTAGCTCACGCCCCAAGGCACTGCGAGCGCAGTGCGGCACAGGCGACGCCCGAGCCAAGGGCCAGGAAGAGGGCGAGACACGCCCAGGTAGACCTAATTTAACCCTCCCTCTTGGAAAAAGAATGGGGGACGATGTCCAGGGCCATGAATCTAGAGTCTGTCGCTGACCTTGGGCAGTCCCTGCCACAATTGAGCCTCAGTTTCCCACCCGTAGGCCGAGCTGCCAGTCTTCATCGTTGCACTCCTTCTCTTCTGCTGGTTTTTCCTGGTGCCGGGAGGGACGCCCTCCCCTGCCCAGTCGCTCACCCCCAGCCCTTGGTTGCGAGGTCGCCCGCAGAAACCCAACACCGCGGCCGCGCTCTCGGCTCTCTCGGCTCACCCAAGGTGTGGACGCGCCGCGAGGGTCCCCTGATTGCGGGCGGCCATTAGGCGCCAGGCCCCTTGGCGCTTCGGCCCTGCTAGGCTCGGCGAGGGTCTTACCCAGGCTGGCACGCGCCCCGCTAGCGTCTTTCTGTTGACCTGTCAGTGCAGCAGGCGCGGTCGAGTGCCAGGGAGGCGCCCCCGCGACACTCCTCCATCCCGGCACTGACTCGGGCCCCGGCCGCGCGAGGAACGCCCTTCGGGGTCCTAGCATTCCTCTGGCAGGAGGCGGTCGGAGCTGCGGGCAGGGCCGCTAGGCAGCCCGCCTGCCCGAGGCGCACGGCCCGAGGCAAAGGCCCTCTGCGATGCCTCTCCCCAACCCCCAGCCGCCCTCCTTGTGCCAGCTGTGGCCACCCCTAATCCTTGTCCCCTGGCTCTGGTGTCTCTCCAGGGTTCCGACCACCGTGCCAAAAAGGGCTGGGCAGATGGTGCGCAGCGGAAACCTACCCGGTTGGGCGGTCAGCTCGGTCCCCTGCGCGCGCCGAGGGCCGCCTCAGGTGTCGCCCAGGCTGGCTGGCTCAGCCCGGTGGAGGCGCCATCGCCGGGGCCCGGAAGGAGCGGGCGCAGCGCGGTTTGGGTGCGCGCCGGAGCCTCGCCTCCTCCTCCAGCCGAGCAGCTTTGGCGCAGGGCTCCCCTCGCTCTGGCGGGCCATGTGACCCGCGAGCTGCCGAGCGACCGCGGCCCCCAAAGCCGGCTTGGGGAAAAAGGACGGCAAAAGGCGCCAACTAATGGGCAGCCAGGGAAAAGCAGGAGTCGCCCCCAAGTCACGCAAACAGGAAGCCTGCTTCTTTTGTGAGGGGTATAGAAGCCAGTATTATATTTCATCAGGTGGGTACATAGAGACGTATTCACACCGATGGAACGATATCTCTCAATGCGTGTAAACGCCTCATGAGAAAGCTATTACTTTGGGTCTTGACTGTTTTTCAGTCTTCCCCAAACCCTTAATTTTAATGCAAATGGCCACGAGAGAGAGAACGCTGGAGGTATGAGAAGATAGGCACATTGATTGAGAATAATCCCGGCAAAGCTTACAGGAAAAAGATATGGAATGATCCGAGGGAGGAAAAACGGGGACGTTAAAAGAAAAGTAACAGCCTCTTACGTTCCACCCTGGACTTTCCCTTCTGTATGGGTTTCTACCACACAGTTTTACGGCCTTATTCAGTGCTTCTGATCCTATGTTTGCCTGTCTAAGCCACAGGTTAGCAACTACAGCTTGCTGCCTGTTCTTGTACAGCTCACAAGCTAAGAACAGTTTTTGCAGTATTTCATGGTTTAAAAGTGGAAGACTATTTCAGGCATATGAAAATTATATGAATTCAAAATTTGGTGATCATAAACAAAGTTTTATTGCAACAGGGTCATCATTTACATATTGTCCATGGCTGCTGCCATGCAAGAATGATAAGAGTTAAATAGTTGTGACAGAGACTTTATGACCCACAAAGCTTAAAATATACTACCTGATTTGCCAATACCTGCTCTAAAGGGTCTGTTCAGAGGGCACGAGATAAAGCATTAAGGCCAGTAGCTGCTCATATGATTTCTTCTTGTGTAAGTAAAATTGATACTAGATATTAATTTCCTTTAGAACCTTACAGATACCCACCGGAGCCTCCATTCATCCTCTACTCTTTCAGCCAACATTTACTGAAGAATGATTCTGACGTGATGCCAACGCTGTAGATGACAATGAAGTAAGAATGAGGTGTGGATCCTTCACTCAAGGAATTTGTTGTTAGAAATGTTGGAAAGTCTATTTTTGAGGCGGGGTAGTATGAGAGATGGATATAGCACAGAAAGGAAGCTTGGGAGGGTCGTTTCATTTCCTGAGAGATAGACTGGGAGTCTGATACTCTAATATTGGAAATCAGGATTATAACCAACCTGAATCGAATTCAGTTCTCTATCACTGGCTCAGTGCTGGGGTATAATCTATTTACTGGCTATGACAGATTCACTCCTCTGTGCCTCAATGTTCTCATCTATATATTGGGAACAGTGGTATTTCCCTCAGGTTTGTTGAGAGGTTTACATGAGATAATGTATATAAAGTGCTTAGCATTGTACCTGTGAAAATATCTAGCTTCCAATAAATGGTTGGCATTTATTCATTGTTTAACAAAAATCCGTTGAGTACCTATTTATGATGTTCCAGGCAATGCCTGTGCTGTCCAATATCACAGTCACTAGTCACATGTAACTATGTAAATTTTAATTAATTACAATTAAATAAAATATAATAATTGGTCCCTCAATAGCACTAGCCACATTTTAAATGCTCAGTACCTACATGTGATTAGTGACTACTGTATTAGATAGTACAGCTATAGAACATCTCATCATGACAGAAAGTTCTATGAGATAGTGCTTTTCTAGACAGTAGGGATCAGCTTTGAATAAAACCAAATCTCTGCCTTTAGGGAGCTTACATTTGGGTGGACAATAGATAATAAATAAATGCATACTATATCAGGTATTGACAAATATTTTTAATAGTAAAATGAAACACTTTCCTAGTACTTTCTATGGCTAATATTGTCCTGAGTACATTTTATTAACTCAGTCACACCAACAACCCCATGAGACAGGTAAGCCAAGTAACTTACCCAAAGTCGCACTGCTAGAAAGAGGAAAAACCAAAATCCAAACCCGTGAAATCTGGCTTCAGAGTTCATTCTCTTAATAAACGTGCTGTATTTCTTCTCAAAGCAAAGCAAAAATAGGAAAAAAATCAGTGAAGGATAATAAAATAAGAGGTTAGAGACTAGTAGTGGGTACTATTACAATTATTATAGTAAACATCTTAAACTCCATGCAAATATGATATTTTAGCAGTTAGGTTTTGGCCAGAAATAACATGCTACAACAGGATAATTGAGGAGGATTTAATGAAAAAGTCTATTCCCAAAGGTGTGGGTGAAATTAAAGAAAACCAGTAAGGCATAGTGCAGTGCATACCCTAGGGCTGGATACTGCAAGGAACCATGACTAATCCTAGGCCTGAAGAGCAAAGAAAGGAAACAGTTATTAAAGCAACAAATGAATAATTGTAAAAGGGGAGACATCCTATGGGACCTGTCACTAACAATGAGGCAGTGAACCTATGGTGACCCATCAGGGAAAGAACCAGGAGAACAAATAGCGTAACTCTACTTTCCTCCTACCATCTGATCTCCTACTAGTGTCTGCCATTTGCTGAACCCAACCAGAAATCAGAGGGCAAGAGGAAAGAGAGCCCTTGATGCAATCCATGTAGCTCAAATTCCCAGGACACAATACTGATTGAATGATCAGGAGGCATAAACAGAAGATATCCAGTAAAGTGAATATCTTCTCTTGTACTTTGTATAAATTGAACACACCTTTTGGGACACACAAAAATTTCCATGAACTATTGTGTCATAATAGAGTAATTCAGTTTGAATGTATACCTGAGACATAAAATATTAATCATTACTATTACTCTTCGTAATGGGAAGACTGGGGATGGTGGATAAACAATATGAAACATAAATTAGAATCCCTACTTCTGTGGCTGATCACGAAATTTAAGTTGCGAATCATAGCTTTCTTCTTCCACTACCCACTGCATGTTCCCCTTTCTCTCTGCCTGCATTTCACTGTATGAGACTCTTTACAGAGTGACCCCACATTTTTTATTTTCATTTATTTATTTATTTATTTTTGAGACAGAGTCTCAGTCTGTTGTTACCCAGGCTGGAGTGCAGTGACACAATCTCAGCTCACTGCAACCTCCGCCTCCCAAGTTCCCGCAGTTCTCATGTCTCAGCCTCCCAAGTAGCCACACCACCATACCTGGCTCATTATTGTATTTTTAGTAGAGATGGGCTTTCACCATTTTGGCCAGGCTGGCCTCAAACTCCTGACCTCAAGTGATTCATCTGCCTCGGCCTCCCAAAGTGCTAGGATTACAAGCATGAGCCACCATGCTTGGCCCAAACTTTTGACCCTACAAGATTTAGGTTCTTGCCGTGACTCTCTTTACTGAGTTGCTTCAGTTTTCCACTGATCAGTACCATTGGATATGTGTGAACTCACATGGACTCGTTAATGAACTTCTAGGTTCTAGATATAGTCCTTCTTGACTTGACTGTATAGCAGCAACCAATTTCTCATTGTATTATAATCAATTACTTAGGGCAATATAGTGGTGCCTTTCTTTTGTTGTCCCAGTTTCCAGTTCAACGGGCTGTGAATTCCCTGGTGGAAGTATCTCTTCTTTGGATATTAGAATTTCTGAATCTACTAAGTTTGTGGGGCTTGGAAGAAAAACATATTCCTATAGTAAGTTTTTTGCTGTAATAGTCAGAAGAATATATCCTTGCTTCCTGGACGTCTGAATCTGGCTATAGGCAAATTATGCCACACATTGGCTGTTGGTTTAAGGAATATACTGCATTCTTAAGGATAGCATCTCAACCTCTCATGGTGTTGTCTCACAGCTGGTGTCATAACTGAGCCTTTGGGAGACCACTATACCATTTAATAATACCAGCTTCTTCTGGATGATGGGATCTGTGATAAGACCACTGAATTCCAAAGATATTAGTTAATTGTCACACTTCCTTTGCTGTAAAATGGGTCCCCCAAGCAAAGGTAATCTGTGGTAGAACAAGGCAATGGTATGGTTATTCTGTAATTCCATGAATAGCGGTATTAGCAGAAGTGCTGTGGCCTAGGAAGGAAAAATCTTATCCAAAATATCTCTACAGAGGACAAATGGTTATTCCCCTATGATATTAGATGTGCAATATAAACAACCTAGCATCAGGTAGCTGGTTGGTTCTTCTAGGAAATAATGCCATATCCCAGAACCCGCATTTGATCATTGCTGTTGACAGTTTGAGCACTTAACATGAACAGTAGCAAAATCAGTGTATTATTGAAATTGATCAGTACTATTATTGAATTCATTCAGAATCTGTCCCTACTGACATGGCCGTTTAGTACATAGGCCCATTAAACAAGCCCTACTTAACTAAAGAAGCTGATTAACATCTACAAGACAGGTCGTATTAACTACCTGATTCAGATCAAAGTATTTGCAACTATTTCCTGTAATTTTTTCTTTATGCATGTTATTTAGACATGTATTTTTAAAGTTTTAAATATTTGGGGCTTCTCTCTATATTTTTATTGATTTCTAATTTTATTCTTTTTAATATATGTAATACATTAACTATGTTTTATACATAAAAACTCAAAGAATATATGTGAAATAGCAAAGGATATATAAATATTTTTAAAGAATGAAATCTTTTTTTTTTTGAGACGGAGTTTCACTTTTGTTGCCCAGGCTGGAGTGCAATGGCATGATCTTGGCTCACTGCTACCTCTGCTTTCCAGGTTCAAGCCATTCTCCTGCCTCAGCCTCCCGAGTAGCTGGGATTACAGGCATTCACCACCATGCCCAGGTAATTTTGTATTTTT